CCCGTCCGCCCCGCCTCGGGATACAGCTTGACCGAAACTTATGCTACCGAGACCACTCCCGCCTACAACGACCCTTACTCCGCCGGCTCGGTTTACTCGGGCCACTCCGACAGCCCAGCCGCCGCCTTTGGTGTTCCTAACCGCGCCGCCTCACCCTATGCCCGCAGCGAGACCTCATCCACCGAGGCCTGGCGTCAGCGACAAGCCCCCGGCGGAGAAGGTGGTGGTGGCCTGCGTCGTTATGCCACCCGTAAGGTCAAGCTGGTTCAGGGTTCCGTGCTGAGTGTTGACTACCCCGTCCCGAGTGCCATTCAAAATGCCATCCAGGCCAAGTACCGCAACGATCTGGAGGGCGGCAGCGAGGAATTCACCCATATGAGATGTAAGCAGCGGAGAAACACATCCATTTTTCACTTTTCACCCAAGAACAAATTCGCTGACAGCCTCCAGATACCGCGGCCACCTGCGACCCCAACGAGTTCACTCTCCACAATGGTTATAATCTGCGTCCCGCGATGTATAACCGTCACACCGAATTGCTCATCGCCATTACCTACTACAACGAAGACAAGGTCTTGACTGCGCGTACACTGCACGGTGTGATGCAAAACATTCGCGACATTGTGAACTTGAAAAAATCAGAGTTTTGGAACAAAGGTGGACCCGCTTGGCAAAAGATCGTCGTCGCTCTAGTCTTCGACGGTATTGACCCCTGTGACAAGGACACTCTGGATCTTCTGGCCACCATTGGTATCTACCAAGATGGAGTCATGAAGCGTGATGTTGATGGCAAGGAAACCGTGGCCCACATTGTATGTTGGAAATAAGGACAACCTGAAAGACATGGCTGGGTACTAACCTAGAAACAAACAGTTCGAATATACCACCCAGCTTTCCGTGACACCAACTCAGCAACTTATTCGACCAACCGATGATGGTCCCAGCACCCTGCCCCCTGTGCAGATGATGTTCTGCTTAAAGCAGAAGAACAGCAAGAAGATCAACTCTCACCGTTGGTTGTTCAATGCCTTTGGTCGTATCTTGAACCCAGAAGTCTGTATTCTGCTCGATGCCGGAACCAAGCCCGGCACCAAGTCACTCCTTGCTCTCTGGGAAGCTTTCTATAACGATAAGGATCTCGGTGGTGCTTGTGGTGAAATCCACGCCATGCTGGGTAAGGGTTGGCGCAATCTGATCAACCCGCTGGTCGCAGGCCAGAATTTCGAATACAAGATCAGTAACATCTTGGATAAACCACTGGAGAGTTCTTTTGGTTATGTCTCTGTGTTGCCCGGTGCCTTCTCCGCCTATCGCTTCCGCGCTATTATGGGACGTCCTTTGGAACAGTATTTCCATGGTGATCACACCCTATCGAAGCAGCTGGGTAAGAAGGGTATCGAGGGTATGAATATCTTCAAGAAGAACATGTTCTTGGCCGAGGACAGAATTTTGTGTTTCGAGTTGGTCGCCAAGGCCGGCTCGAAATGGCATCTGACATACGTGAAAGCCTCCAAGGGTGAAACTGACGTGCCCGAGGGTGCTGCTGAGTTTATTTCGCAGCGCCGTCGTTGGTTGAACGGTTCCTTTGCCGCCGGTATTTACTCACTGATGCACTTCGGTCGTATGTACAAGAGTGGTCACAACATCGTCCGCATGTTCTTCCTGCACATCCAGCTGCTGTACAACATGTTCCAGACATTCCTCTCGTGGTTCTCTCTTGCCTCCTACTGGTTGACTACCTCTGTTATCATGGATCTTGTGGGTACGCCGAGTACCAACAACAAGGACACTGCTTTCCCATTCGGCAAAGCCGCAACCCCCATCATCAACACCATCATCAAGTACGTTTACCTGGGATTCTTGCTGCTTCAGTTCATCCTTGCTCTCGGAAACAGGCCGAAGGGTTCCAAGTTCTCCTACATGGCCTCCTTCGTCTTCTTCGGTATCGTCCAACTATACATTGTCGTCGACTCCCTCTACCTGGTGGTTCGCGCCTTCAGTGGTGGTGCCCCCATGGACTTCACCACTAATGAAGGTCTTGGTGCATTCCTCAAATCGTTCTTTGGTTCTTCCGGTGCTGGTATCATTATCATTGCCTTGGCTGCCACCTTTGGTCTTTACTTCGTCGCCTCGTTCCTCTATGCAGACCCCTGGCACATGTTTACTTCCTTCCCGCAATACATTGTGCTCCAGTCCTCGTATATCAACATTCTCAATGTTTATGCGTTCAGCAACTGGCACGATGTTTCTTGGGGAACCAAGGGATCTGACAAGGCCGACGCCCTGCCATCCGCCACAGTCACCAAGGACGAAGGCAGCAAAGAAGCTGTCATTGAGGAAATCGATAAACCGCAGGCGGATATTGATAGCCAGTTCGAGGCTACTGTCAAACGTGCCCTGACTCCCTTCGTTGCCCCCGTTGAGCACGACGAGAAATCTCTCGAAGATTCTTACAAGAGTTTCCGTACTCGTCTCGTCACCTTCTGGATCTTCAGTAACGCCTTGTTGGCCGTCTGCATTACCAGCGAGTCCGTCGATAAGTTTGGCTTCTCGGTATGTTCCCTCTCCCCTTGTCGCTTTTCTCCTAATTTGAATGAATTTTCACTAACAATTCTCTAGAATACCGCCACTGAGCGTTCTACACGTTTCTTCCAGGCTCTCCTGTGGTCCAACGCCGTGATGGCCCTCTTCCGTTTCATCGGATGCTGTTGGTTCCTGGGTCGCACGGGTATTAAGTGCTGCTTCGCCCGTCGTTAGATATGGTCGAATCAAGCCCATCCGTTGTTCTTTTTTTTTCATGAATTGTTTTTGGCATATCCAGTTTCCTTCCTTTCCCTTCTCCCTCATTTTCTTTTCTACACCTGTTTATTGCAATCTGTATTCTAACCAAAGATGCCCAAACCTGTCCGTTTACCTATTTTGTCATGTCATTAGTGTTTTCTTTTTCCTTTTTGCGGCACAGAGTTGAACCTTCACCTGAATGTCGTCTTTGTCCGGATAGCGATGCAAAGGGATGCATTCGGGGCGCAATGAATTTCGTCAGATCTGAAATCTGGAGTCTACCCAATTATTTCCTCATTGTAAATTTGACTATAATTGGAAAGAAGAGAGAACAAAGAAAACCAAAGAGTAGTTCCATGTAAGTACTGTAGTAGTCCTGTAGTTGTACTGTCCTGTATGTACGTCATGTCCAATCGCGGCAGGCGATAACCGCAGCCGCGCCCCATCGAAACCCCCGCAAGACTTGACTTTGTCTCTTCCTCAGCCTCGCCTCCCTGCAACCCTCCTCCACTTTAAAACTTCCAAACCACTCAAGACAACCGGCCACCTACGCTGCCGAGTCTACGATCTCCGAATATTCCCCCAGAACACCTCTAAGCCCTCGCGCTCGCTCCTCTCTCTCGCATACAAGTCGTGCCACCAAGTGGGGTGGTGATTTCGAGCCAAGATGTTGAAGATCTGGTCGATGGTAAAGCTCCTAGACTGCCGATCTCATGATGGATCCTTGAAACTGACGCCATGTATAGAAGCAACAGCAGCAACAGGCTGAAAATGCGGAAGGTGCTGCTGGCAAGAAAAAGAAGAAGGTCACCGCCGCACAACTGCGAGTGCAACGAGGTGAGTGCTCCGATCCCAACCTACCCTTGGTCGGGCCTCAGTTCCCTACTCTCGGTATTCTAGAAAAAGCTACTTGAAATTTGCTCCTAACCATGGCTATTCTTCTCGCACCAGACCTTCAAGAACTCACCCTCGGCAATACCATGAAAATGTCCTTTCCGAACCCCGACGACATCCTAAACTTCACCTTGAGCATCGAGCCCGACGAGGGCATGTACAAGGGTGGTGTGTTCCATTTCAACTTCACCGTCAACCAGAATTTCCCCCACGACCCGCCCAAGGTCAAGTGCACGCAGAAGATCTACCACCCGAATATCGACCTTGAGGGCAATGTTTGCCTGAATATCCTGCGCGAGGACTGGAAGCCAGTATTGAATTTGAATGCGGTCATTGTTGGAATGCAGGTTAGTCTATTGCTTCTTCGCTTATCACTCCTCTCTTTTCCACTCTCTCACTGGTGGGCTTCCATGACCGAGCAAGGCTGACCTCGTTTTTCGATAGTTCCTTTTCCTGGAACCAAATGCCTCCGACCCTCTTAACAAGGAAGCCGCCGAAGACCTCCGGTCAAACCGCGATAGCTTCAAGCGCAACGTCCGATCTTCCATGGCCGGCGGGTCCGTCCGTGGTGTCTCGTTCGAACGTGTGCTAAAATAGAACTGATGTATGGACTCTGCTCTTCAGCAGTGAATGATTGGATCGCATCTGGCTTCTCTTGAACAGCAACAACACGACTGAGGAATGAGGGCACGAGGGCAACGAGATTATGATTATGCTCTACGGGCTCGGCACGGCTCGACACGGGAAAGGATAGGGTCGCATCGCATCGCATCGGACCGCATTCAAAATCCATTCCGGGTGGGTGGGAGTTTTGAGTACATATACCGGCGTATTTAGCGTTTGAATTCGATAGATCATCACGAATCAATGGCTGCGGGAGGGATGTGGGATAACGCCAACCGCATCGTTATTGATACTGTGGAGTTTCGCATTTCATTCCCATCCGTTCCCATTTCCTTTTTTGGGGAAATGACTACGGATATAGATGTTGTAGATTAGATGGAAATAGGGCAGGGTTAGAGTTATAAAAGGTCTTGTATAACCGGTACTTAAAACACAGTCTTCGCAGGCGTATATGTACAATCGATTGCCTAGTCATCCACGCCCCGACATGACACGACACGACCCAACCTGACTATCAGTGCAGCCTGCCCCAAGACAGGCGGAGGTCTAGCGAGAGCGAGAGCGGCATTTGATCAATGAACATGTTTTATTGTTATTTTGGGAGAACGGAAGTTGCTTGACATAGAGAACATGTGCCGACAGGCGAATTGAAGATGATCGAGGCGAGGCGAGGCGAGGTCAGGCGACTAGCGGCGAGCGATTTATTCGCGGGCCTCGGCGCGCTCCTGCTCCAGGCGAGCGTAGTAGGTATCACGCTCACGGACACGGGGAAGGTGGAAGCCTGTGAGGAAAGGGAGGAGAGTGTTAGTAGAGCTCGTGGTGGACATGCGATAAGTTGGGTGAGGTCATTATCACTTACCGTACCACCAGAGGTAGCCGAAGGTAGTACCGAAGCCTGGTCAACGAGAGCGTCTGGTTAGTGATGCGGTTCTCTTTGTATTTGTATTTGTCTCTGTCGTCCTTCATATTGTGCTTCGGTGCGGTCGCAAATAGTAGAACCCGGGTTCATCCCGCTTCATGGATCATGCCACTCGAGTTTCGACTTGGGGGTATAGGTTCACTCACCGAAGGCGGTGCTCAGGTCGAGGACCAGGTTGCGGCGGAGCATCTATAAGATTAAAGGTGACGTTAGTAACTCATTCCGAGGCATTCGAGGTCGTCCGACCTGCCCGATCGGGGCAACTCGGCTGCAATGAGAAGGGGCACGTACGCCGGTGATGGGGGGGGATAGCGGCAGGCATTGTAGCGGATGAACAGTATCAATCGACAGGCGATATAACACTTGATCGGAAAGTGGACAGAAGGAAGCCTGCCTCGGGGTGGTTGGGGGGGGTGGAAAGCGGAGGGGGAGAGAAGAGGGAGCGAAGGCGCGGCAAGTTGAAGTTGGAAGTTGAAGCTTTCGGGCGGACTACATAAGCGAGTCTCCGGATTGGTCGACCTCATCGTAGTACTACAGTATTACACTTACAAGTATGTACACTTTTGTACTGGATGTAGAGTCAAGTGATAATTAATCCAAGCTCTATTAAACTGTTTCCTCTCCTCTCTTCTCTTTTCTTTTCTCTTCTTCTCCATCTCTACTAATACCTACTCTACCATTCTGCACTGTCTGAGGATCAGCTGATTATTGCCTCAGGTGTCAGTGATATCAGTCACGTGATTGACCCTCCCCCATCAACAAGCTCCGTCGCATCAACTCGTCGGTTTCAACATCATCCGGCCATGGCGTCGTCCGGCCTTCCAATGAAGCGCAGCTCTTCCTCCCAGGAATCGGCTGATGTGAAGCGACCAAAGCAACATTATCACCATCACCACCGCCTACAAGAACCCGTGTCCCTCCCGTTGGGAACCGAGCCCGCCGTGCAGGATGACCGCAACATGGATCACCTCATGAGTCGCTCGATTGGGCAACTCCTCAAAGATGTCGGATTCGACCTTGCAGAACCAACGGCGATGTCAAGCTTACGGAGCGCAGCTGAAGAGCGTATGTGATGAATTCCAGCTATGCTCGGGTTAAGAAGGATTTGACGAGCTAACCTCGATTCCCGCCTGGTTTCTAGATCTCTTACGTCTTTCATCATTCGTTCGCCAATCGATGCTATCATCTCGCCGTATCCAACCCATTCCGCATGACTTTGAACTGGCTCTCAAGCGCGGTCGCCTTTCCCACGATGAATTGAGGGACTACATACAAGCACCTTTGTCGACCTCTACCATCCCGACACTCCTTCCATCACCACCACCCGAAGACGAAGTCTCCCGGAGATTACCCTTTTTAAACGCCCTGAGAGGAGAAGAGAGTGAATCGAATCGATCTTATGTCCCGAGTCATTTCCCCGACTTCCCTAGCAAGCACACATACTCCGCGACAGCGGTCTTCACAGAGAGAGATAGCGATCCGAGGAAGATTCGCGAGCGAGCAGCTGAAGATGGACGACATGGCGAGGAGGCTCTGCGAAAATTAGCGAGTGCCGCCTTCCGCGACAATCCGACAAGCTCAAGCAGTCGGGATAAGAAGCTCTGGGGCCGCCGACACGAGAGTATGGAGACAATGTTTGAGAGGACGGTTAAAGGGTTGGCGAAGAAATTGCCTAAAGATTCGCATGGCCACTCGACGATTGGTTCGGCCATGGATATCGATTCGGGTATACCGGCTGAGGCCGACGCGAAGGCGCGGTCCAAGGTCTCATGGAATCTGGAGCTGGGTCCGATCGTGAACTGCGAGAGGGACCAATGGCGGCGAGCTACCTCTGGGAGAAGCACTGAAGATACGAAGACGTCTAAACCGGCTGCCGGTTCTGAGCTTATAGGGGGGTACGGCGGGCTGATGAGGGGTGGTCAGGCGACCTGTAAGAGTATTATCGGCGTTACCTTTCTTTTTGTTGGTTTTTCATTCCTCCTTTTTATGGGCCGGCGCTTTGGTTGCACGTTTCGGAGTCGTTCTTGAGGAGATACCCCATGGCAATCTGCATGACAGTGATTGAATTTGAGATGTTCTATCGTACATAAATCCATTTAAACCAATAATGATCCTCTGAACTCCACCCAATGCAATTATAATTCGATATGCCAATCTTGCTTTATGGTGTTGTAGTCCCCGTCTGTTTCCTCGCCTCGTCTGCCTGCCTGAGAGGTTCCCAGGATGTAGTCTCGACTGTCAGTCCGCCGGCGCAGCTGTCACAATGCATCAGTTCACTGGTTCGGGTAGGATGTCATGGTTCTACGCAACGAACTCACCGTCGAAATAACCGGACGACTGGTTTGCACACTATGACCCCAGGCTTGGGAATCTCCTCTTGTGGCGGATTGCAGGAGTACTGAAGCATTTCGAGAAGTTGGCATTCCTTTAGATTCACATCGGGGCCTTTGCGGCGCTTGTCTTGGAAATTGCGCCGAATCGTGTTGACATGGTCGGGCAGGGTTTCCGCATTGAAGCAGGGGACGAGGGGTGCCATATCGTTATAGTCGGATCAGAGAGGGTGGGGGAGGAGAGGTATTCAAGGTGGTCGAGTTGTGAGTTGTGAAGGTGGAGAGTTGCGAAGTTGAGAAGTGCCGCCGCAAAAGCTCCGGCCCGCACTGGCAATGTGCAACTTGCAACTTGCAACTCGCCGCTTCCGCAAAGTGCATTGCATTGCATTGCATTGCTTGAATAAACAACCTACAAGGGCCAGACTGCATCCATTGCATTCACCTGCCCAGGGCCATGTTCATGACATCCACTGCCTGTCATGGCTGCCAGCTTAGGCGCGTCCTCACTGGCCGAGGTACATCTTGAGGGATTGGATCAGGTGTGTTGATCAATGCTGATGTTTATGGCGCCTCATGTGACTAATATATACAATAGCTACTGCATGATCTGGCAAATATATGCTCACCCAATGAAAGCCCCGAATCTGGGCCACTCGGTGTACCTATACTAGATGCTCTGCTCGAGGTTTTCATGCTCAAGACCGTGAGACCAGGTGAACTCACCCAGCGCCATCTGCAATCACCCGCCCAACGAGAAGAGAATCGTCTTGATAATGAAGAGATGATATTCCAGAGTGCTGATCCGGAGAATGATGTGCTTCCATTTGATCCTGAGACTGGCCAGCCTTCCAACGCTTTCTTCTCGGACTCCCTATACCGCAGCAAAAAGCCCTGTCCAGTTGTCGAGATATCAAGCAGTGCCTCTGCGGCAGGCAAATCCCAGCTCCTATACTATCTGACTGCATCCATGATCCTCCCTCACTCATACGAAAATCTCCCTATCGGAGGGAAAGAGGCTGCTGTGATCTGGATAGATGCCGATGATCGTTTCGATGCTGATCGGCTTCGTGTTGTAGCTCGTGGCATTATACATCAAGCACGACAGACCCTTGACCCAGACGCTCTAAACGAGGATGCCGGGGGTTCCTTTGATGAAGATCTGGAATCTATGCTAGTCTCCTCTTTACAGCATGTTCATGTCTTTCGTCCACAGTCATCATCTGCGGTCCTTGCCACCCTCCGTTCCCTCGACTCGTACCTATACGATCTCTCACGACACAAGTCTGCTTCCCGTCCACTGCAGATGCTTTGTATAGACAGCGCAACGGCATTTTTCTGGCAGGATAAATTACGGGACGAGATCGCCCGCACGGAAGATATCGGCCGGCCTCGCATCCAAGTTGACGAGGAACGCGGGCTGAACCAAAGCTTCTACCTCTCCGATCTGTATACGGAACTGGTCAAGGAATTGAAGCGATTGCAGAGCCGATTTGGGTGTGGGGTTGTATACACGACGACCGTCATGACTGGTCGTCCCCCTCCTAACAACAACTCGGGCCCTGCTGGTCCATATGATCGAGTGTCATCACGGACTCCGTCGCTCAAACCCGCTCTCCCTACACCATGGGGAAACTTCCCAATTTTACGTCTCATTGTCCACCGTGATGCAGTCCGTCCATTTCCTCCAGCTGTGACCGTCGATGATGCCGAGAGAGATGCATCAATGCGACAGGATGTCGTCAACCAAGGCAAGTTCTCTGTCTGGGTCAACGCCTGGGACCGTGAGGAATGGCCGCGCCGTGTGGCAGATGGGGTAGACTGGCACAATGGTGGAAGCTTTGCCTTTTATGTACAAGATGTCGGAATTACGATACCCCAGCCTGATAGATGATTACAATTGTATGTCATTTCTCTATATGCAAGTGCGGTAAAGACTACTTAGCCGAACAACTTGGCAATAGCTTCTACAGTTGTATTACCTCCGCTGAACACGACTGCCACGTCCCAGCCCGTCTCGCCGCCCTCTTGTTCGACACGCTTCCGGAAATCTTCATCGAAAAGACAAACCGCCAGTCCAACGACGGCACTCGGTTCCACCACGACCTTCATGCGCTCCAGCACCAGGCGCATGGTTGCCTTGATTTGCTCTTCCGTGACAGCGAACACACCCTCCACCTTACGCTTATTGGAGATGACCTCCCAATTGAGCAATCCAACCGGCGTCCGCAGCCCATCGGCAATCGTCAGGGTCGAAACCTTGGGCACACGCTCTCCAGCCTGCAGTCCACGCCGACAGTCATCCGCCCCTTCAAAGGCAGGCTCCGCGCCAAAGACGCGAGTCGACTTGTCGGAGAAGAAGGTGGCCACGCCCGAATTGAGACCGCCGCCACCAACAGGCGTGATCACAGCATCGAGAGTCCCTGATCGGACTTGTTCCGTGTATTGTGCTTCTAGCTCCAACGCCGTTGTGCCCTGTCCGCAGATGATATTGAAGTCGTCGTACGGTGGGATCAGAATGGCACCTGTCTTGGCTTGTACCTCTGCAACGACGGCTTCTCGCTCCACGCTTGTTGAGCCACTGAAAATGACTTCTGCGCCGTAAGAGCGGGTGCCGGCGATCTTGGACGAAGTACTGATACTCGGCATCACGATGTGGGCGGGGATGTGGAGGGTTGAGGCGGCGAGAGCGAGGGCTTGTGCATGGTTTCCTGGTAGCAAATATCATCAGATTAGTACTTGCGCTTTCCGAAGTCATTTCATTTCATCTCATGTTGGGGTCCCCATACCAGAACTGTGGGTAGTCACCCCGCGCCGTTTCACTTCTTCCTCCCGCGTTCCTCAATCAACCGTAGAAGCGCATGGAAAGCACCCCGAGCCTTGAAGGCACCGATTCGCTGTAGGTTCTCGCACTTGAAGAAAAGGCGGAACTTTGGACGGGCGGGTGTTTGACCCTCAAATGGAGTGCCGACGAGGGATTCGGAGGATTGCGGGGTTGAAGCGATGGAGTCGAGAGTCTTGCATGTTAGCAATGGGGTGCGGTGCACATATGGCTGAATCAGACCGTATGCGGCCTGGACGGCGGCGGGTGTGAGCAATTGTGCCCGTTCAGCGGGTGTAGTCATATCGATGGAGGGGTGATTAGTAGGAGTCAGAGAGAGAGAGAGAAGATGAGTAGTTGAAACGGCGAAGACGAGGGGTTCTCGGTCTCTTCTCCGGAGGAGGTCCGATCTCAACTAAATTTTTACAAATCGAGAAGCTTCTCTTTTCTACAATGAAAGATGTTTGAAATAATAGAAAATTTGGCTCATTGGCCATTTGATATTGTAGTATACCCGATCGCAAAAACAGTTTCATAGTACATCATAAACTTTTTCCAAAGCCCTTCCCAAGATGGTATCACGATATTATTTATTTCTGGTTCTCGGGGCGGAGGGAGCGGACGGCCTTGCCGGCGCGCCAGATCTCGAGGTCGCGGATCTCCTGGAGCTCCTTCTCGTACTTCTCGCGGTAGTCCTTCTGGGAGTTGTAGTCGAGGGAGCGCTGGGTCTCGGTACCGTCGCGGACGGAGTCGTAGAGCTCGTTGAAGAGGGGCTTCAGGGTGTCCTTGAACTTGGGGGACCAGTCGAGAGCACCACGGCGGGCAGTGGTGGAGCAGGCAGCGTACATCCAGTCCATACCCTGACCACCGATGAGGGGGTACAGAGACTGGGTGGCCTCCTCAACGGTCTCGTTGAAGGCCTCGGAGGGGCTGTGGCCACGCTCACGGAGAACCTCGTACTGGGCGAGGAACATACCGTGGATACCGCCCATCAGGCAGCCACGCTCACCGTACAGGTCGGAGTAGACCTCCTTCTCAAAGGTGGTCTCGTAGAGGTAGCCGGAACCGACAGCGACACCCATGGCGATGGCGCGCTCCTTGGCATGGCCGGTGACATCCTGGAAGACGGCGATGGAGGAGTTGATACCACGGCCCTCACGGAAGAGAGAGCGGACAGTACGGCCGGAACCCTTGGGGGCAACGAGGATGACATCAACATCCTTGGGGACATCGACCTTGGTGAGGTCCTTGAAGACGGGGGAGAAACCGTGGGAGAAGTAGAGGGTCTTGCCCTTGGTGATCAGGGGCTTGATGGTGGGCCAGGTCTCGGACTGAGCGGCATCGGAGAGCAGGTTCATGACGATGGTACCCTTCTCAATGGCGGTGGTGACATCGAACAGGTTCTTGCCGGGGACCCAGCCATCCTGGATGGCCTCCTTCCAGGAAGCACCATCCTTTCGGACACCGACGATAACGTTGAGACCCTGGTCACGCATGTTCAGACCCTGGCCGTGACCCTGGGAGCCGTAACCGATGAGGGCCAGAGTGTCGTTCTTGAAGTACTCGTGGAGCTTCTCGACGGGCCAGTCACCACGCTCGTAAACATCCTCCTTGACACCGGCGAAGTCAATGGTCTTGACACCACGGACGGGGGTGATGGGGGTGAGAGCACGGCGGGCAACCGAAGCCAGAGCCGGGCGGGGGAGGGCGGCGGTGACCACGGAGCGAGGAGCGGCCACGCGGGCCATGCGGAAGGCACGGGGAAGGACACGAGAAGCCATTGTGAAGGAATTGAGTGGAGTGGAGAGGGTGGGAAGAAAAGAGATGGGGAAGAAGGATGAAGGGAGAGGAATCTGGGCGGATTTAAAAGAAAGTTGGGGCAACCAGAGAACCCAGCATGACCCATAGCATAGCTCCGCAACCAGGAGTCATCGGCACGTGATGCCCGGAGAGTTGCTGTTGCTCCCCGCCGATGCCGGTGAATCAATTGGATGGTGATTGGTCGAGAGCGCCGGGTGGGCCAGTACAGCAGATGGGGGGGAACTTGAACCTTGGGAGACTCAGAGTCAGATCTGGTCAGAGATACTAGCGATAATAAGTATATCCAGTACTATAGTAACTATTACTACCACTACTACTATTTACTATTTATTACTGAACCCTAAAACCCTAAAGGGGGCTATAGCTAAAGTTGGTGTAAACAATATGTATGAACACTGGGGAGGAAGAAGCAATAATAGTACCACGGGTAATATATATACTGCTGTACTGGTACTATATACCCTGACTACAGAATATAGCTGTGGCACACTTTAGGGTTTTAGGGTTCAGTAATAAATAATAAATAGTAGTAGTCAGTAGAATACTAGTATACTATTAATTCTATACTTTTATTTTTACTTTTACTAAACCCTAAAGCCCTAACGTGTGCTATACCTACTCAGTACAAAGTAGTACATACTCTGCCCAGGTGGAGTACTGGTATATCTACTCCACAGAGTATGGAGAGCATGCAGAGGATAGCTATAGCTATAGCTCCCTTCAGGGTTTTAGGGTTAAGTAATAAATAGAGGTAGTAGTGTAGTTCAGTTGTCTACTAGTATACTGCTGACTACTACTACTAGTATAATATTCTGGACCTCTCGTACTTGCGTACTTCGTACACTGCGTACACTCATCGAATCTGCCAATGGCACCCGCGCAGCTGACCCGGCACGACGGACACTCTCCATCCCTCCACAACACACCCAATCGCCATGTCCATCCCATCCCCATTCTCTGTCGCTTCCCCTCTTTGAAAGAGTCTGGGAGGCCGAGGGCTCGCGTGTTATACGACTCATACTAAGTACTAGTACCATCTCTGCCTCAGGTGTCTGCGCCCCCAACCGCTCACTCGCCAAACAACCTCCCTCTTACCCGCCGAATTGCTTCCCCTCTACGCTCTACTCTTCCTTCTCTGGTCTGGCCTATTGCCCTACCATGTCTATACGATGAGCTTCTTCTCCTTCGGCGATCTGCCTACGATCCAAACCCGCAAGGCTTTGCTGCTGCTCGACTTCCAAAATGATTTTGTGCGCCCCGCCGGCGCCCTCCACGTCGCCAACACCACCGATATCCTCGAGTCCCTCCCCCAGCTGGTCGCCGCCTTTCGTCGCGTCGGCGATGTCATCTGGGTACGATCGCAGTATGATGCCCCCCAGGGTCTAGACGACTGGAACTTTGGCGACCGCATCGTCTTGGAAAAGCAACCCCCGAGGCGGGAACCGGTACCTACGTCCGATATCATTGAAGCTTCCTCCGACCGCGACACTCCCGAGCCTGTCGATCCCGAAGCTTTTCTTTCGGGCCAAGCTGCCACTGCTTGTTCCCCCCAGACTTCCGGCTTTCAATTCCCCGCCCCGATTCTAGCTGCCCTCGATCGGGAGCGAGACACGGTGTTGGACAAGACCGGTTACTCCGCCTTGGAGTCCGAGGGTCTCGTCTTCTCATTCCGATCCCGCTTTATCACCGAGATTTATCTCTGTGGTTCGCTCTCCAATGTATCCGTCTATGCGACCGCCTGCGATGCTGTCCGCAACGGTTTCTCGGTTACCCTCATCGAAGACTGTCTCGGCTACCGGGACTTTCAACGCCATCAAGAGGCTATGCGTCGCATGGCGGATATTCTCGGAGCAACAGGCCTGAGATGCTCGCGAACTGATCCAGGAGCTGAGATTGGCAGGAAACCCACGCCATCGCGAAAGGTGGTTCCCAACCAAAACAACGAGCGACCGCGCCATCGGGCATTGAGGGCTTCATGGGTAGCTTAGGGGTCCAGACGGATGATACCATCCCGGAAGAAACTCCAGATGATGACATGCGCAGTCTGACCGAGCTGGCCTCGCTCACTCGAACCCACCGGATGACAGCAGGGGGTTCTCAGCCTCGTCCGGGAGGAGTCGAGGGCAAGAAGCATGTCCGCGCTCGAGTGCGCCGCCCGAAACGTCGTGAGCCAACCCCTGATACCGGAGCAGCAAATGGAAGATCTAGCAACAGCATTGGAGAAGGTGATTCTCGTCTCATTCCCGAACTTGACCTACCCGCAGATTTCTTTGAGCGTATTCACGGAGAAGTCTCCTGGCAGAAAATGTATCACCTTTCAGGCCAGGTGCCTCGGTTGGTGGCGGTACAAGGGGCCATTCAGCCAGATGGCTCGATGCCAATATATCGACACCCCGCAGATGAATCTCCGCCCCTGAAACAATTCACACCCGCAGTGGACCAAGCAAGAATCGCAGTCGAGCGAATCCTGGGCCATCCTTTGAATCATGCACTCATTCAACTTTACCGCGACGGAAACGACTCGATCTCTGAGCACTCGGATAAGACACTCGACATCGCTCGGGGCTCATACATTTGCAATGTGAGTCTAGGCGCCCAGCGTGTGATGGTTCTCCGCACCAAAACATCTGCGAGCGAGGCCAAGGAAAATGAAGGCCATGAAGTGGTCCGCGCGACACAACGTGTCACCCTCCCGCATCGATCACTTTTCGTTCTCGGCGAGAAAACGAACATGCGTTGGCTGCATGGCATTCGACCGGATAAGCGCCCAGATGCCGCCAAAGCACCCGAGGAGAAAGCATACGGCGGCGAGCGCATCTCTATTACATTCAGGCACATTGGCACTTTTGTTGACCCGGCAGCCAACCTCATCTGGGGCCAGGGAGCCGTGAGCAAATCGAGAGAAACCGCGCGCACCGTGATTCATGGTGATCCCGCGCAGACAGAGAGATTGATCCATGCCTTCGGACAAGAAAATCGTGCTACGGAATTCAGTTGGAGCGGAGTCTATGGCGGCGGATTTGATGTTGTCAACTTTGTGACTCCATCAACGTCACGTTTGGTATTGGGTGGCGATGCGGTAGCCGATCTGAGGGTGCGTATGGGTCTGGGGAGAGCGGGATCCGATATGAGGCGAGTGCTAGCCTCGTCGTGGATCTTACTGAAAACGACTGCAATTCCACCAAACAGCCAAGCTTCACGGGCTTCGATGGTAATACTGTTGTTGGCGATTTGAATATCTTGAAATGTCTCGCCGAGCGGCCCGCTGAATCTGTCCGCCCTGGTATCGAGATCCTTCGAGGCGGCAGTCACATCCCATGGATAGAAGAAATATTCTCTTGCTGGCGTAAGCACCGTCAGAGCAACACGGGGTCCATCTTTGATTTCGGGCTCAGTATGTTTGATCGTGCCCTCGATGGACAATCTTATCTCGGAGGCTCAACGTTTGGCATTGATGATTGCTCGTTATGGCCGGTTTTACGAGAGATCTGTCAGGCCCAGGGTCCCTTTGAGAACCGATTCCCGAATCTTCACCAATATTATCAACGCGTCGAGAAACGAGGCATCGTTCGATCCATCCTCGAGGAATTGCGCTGAGTTTGAACAGACTTGTCGATGTTGCAGCCTGTTTCCCGCGAATGATACCCTTGGTTGTTTCTGTCTTGTAGCTTATGGACATATATGATGATACTTTATGAAACTTGCATCTGAATTGATTTCATTCTCCTTCTTATTTCTACACACATTCTTTGCATTGTATCCCCTTTACAGACAGTCGCCGGGGAAACTCGAGGTGTTCAAAAGATTCTTGAGACTAACGTTTCCGCAAACGACTGCCTTGAAAAATGCCTCAGCAACGACCTGTGCCCCCGCGGCACTTGTGTGGGTGTGGTCGAGAGGGAAGTATGAGTCGACGGTGCTAAGGCCCTGAGACTCAAAGATATCGGCCACATATGCCCCGTGGTCCACATATGATGCACCTGCTGCCTCGGCCGCCAATTTGGCATACGCCACAAATCGCGAGGGAGAGTAGGTGAAAGTTCCCGTCTCCCACGGGTTGTTGGGGGTCTGACTCGAGATGAGCACGTTGGCACCCTTGGCTTTGAACTTGGCTGTTGCGTTCTCCAGGTATTTGGGGAAGGTCAGGACGGTTTCGGCGACGCCGTTGTAGGTGGTGCTGCAGGTCTCGTCGCCGGTGCCAGAGCAGTCAGTGCGGCCGTTGTCGGTTGTGGATAGAGAGCCGCCGTCGTTGTGGCCGAATTCGATGACCACCCAATCTCCTGATTTGACTTGGCTTGCGATGGTGTCGAATCTTCCCTCTCGAGTATAAGATCGGGCACTGCGGCCAGCGACAGCTTGGTTGGAGACGGTGGCTGTTGTGTAGGGGGAGACATATTGACCCCATCCTGTTCGTTTCAAATAGTATCAGCATGTGTAGCGGAAATGAAATATCCATGGGTGCCACCACGAGGAAGACATACCTGCAGTGCCAGATCCGGTTCCACCTGTTGCCATAGTCGAGTCACCAGCAAGGTAGATTGTCGCTCCCAGCGCACTGGGAATGATGGCCGAGAGGAACAGAGCAGACTTCATAGTGAAGGATGTTTGAAAGTGAAGGCGAATGAATTTAATCAGATAGTTGAGAGGAATGATCTGTGACATACATGCATCCACTATGCTTATATAGTTATCTGCTAACTAGCAGTTAGTATACTGGTACTCCCCGTATATCCACCCAACACTTGATTGACCCTTTCTGCATAAATTAAGCCAAGCACCGGGATACGTGGGAAAAAGCCCAAGCCAAGCTCTTCACGGATGTCGTCCGCATGCGCTCGGTCCTGCTCGGTCCTACGGAGACGATGATCTAGCCTGCAGACGGCGAAACCAACGCCGGCGCGGAGACTCGACGATCACCCAGTGCTTTTGATTCATGGAACCTGCATCCTCACCCTGCAAGTAATCTGCAGAGTTCTTCCTGAGGGGTGGAGGTCGGCACTGGCGTCATGTCAAGGTACTACCCCTAGTATTTTGACTTCTGTCAGGAGAAATGTCATCCTGAAACTTGAAACTGCCGAAACACACTCTGTTCCGGGGCTTGTTCCTGTCTTGACCCCATCCAGGCGGAATGAACCCGAGACAAACAGTCTGGCCAAGGGGTCTTGTGAATCAGATAGAATGTAAGGTAAAAATATGGATTAGGATTCAAATCAAAATACTATTTGGTGTATATACTCCGCTGTTTGCACTTTATATACAAGGGGGTGGGTCGGGTCAATCCTCGGTGGAGATAGCCCCGAATCCCGGAAACAAACACAAAAACATCAGACGGGTCAGCTGCACGCTTACAGTTTCTCAAATGTAGGCGTACGCTTCTGCAATCCGGATAAAAGGGCCGCGGTGACATCCTTTGTCTGGAGAGCGGCGCCATTCCACACGCTTGTGTAGCGCAGACCATCCTGAACAGAATGGTCGCGCGACCAGTTCAAGATCTCCTTGGTGCCTTGGACTGCAACAGGACTCTTGCTCGCAATCAGGCCAGCGAGCTTGAGGCCTGCTGCGATAGTCGCCTGACGATCCTCGTGGACCGAGTTCACGAAGCCAACACGAAGTGCTTCCTCGGCGCCGAATACCCGCGCTGAGAGGGCAACCTCCTTCACCCAGCCAAAGTTGCTCACTACCTTGGGTAGTCGGCTGAGGGTACCGATGTCTGCCGCTAGACCAATATCGACTTCCTTTACGGCAAACTTGACGTCCCGAGAGCAGATACGCACATCGGCGGCTGTGGATAGATCGATGGCGAGACCAAGCGCAAAGCCGTGCATAGCGACTACAACGGGTTTCTCACAGCGCTCGACAGCTGTGATGCAGTCTTGGAACTCGGTGATGTGGCGGCGCATGAGAGTTGCTGCACGTGCGGGGTCGAGCTTGTTCTCTGAGAAAAGGGGGCCACTTGATGCAGCTTTGACATCTAGGCCGGCCGTGAAAGCCTTGCCAGCGCCGCTGAGAACGATTGCGCGGACATTGCTGTCCTCGGACAGCTTCTCGAAGACTTGTTTCATTTCGAGCCACATGCTAGCAGGACGGAGTTAGTGACGCGGGGCCGAGTGATATTGACTTGGGAAGAGAGACCCACGCTTCAAAAAATGCATTCATTTTGTCCGGGCGATTGATCTCGACGTGTGCAACATAGGGATGATCGGCTGGGAACTGCACGGTGAAGTGCTTGAAGGAGTAGTCTTGCGACATGATGGCGGGTGAGGAGGGGAGCAGTGGGAACAAGCTGCGAACTTTGAGATGAGAAATCGAGGAAATGCTTGAAATGAAAGGGTTGAAGAATTAGTTCAAGGACAAAAGAAGGGTAAACAGTTGAGAGCAGAGGGTAGAGGGTAGAGGGTAGAGGGTAGACGAGATCCGGCATGATCTCGGACCAGCAGCACTTCTAATCAGACACCCACATGCCTCGGTCCGGATAAGCTGCGATAAGCCCCACATTTCACTTCCCCGGTCTTCCTAAGGATACCTTGAGGATACCTTGAGGTTACAGTAAGGTGATGGATGCTCTTAAAGGCACCTTAGAACAAAGATCTCTTCCCCCAGAAAATGTACTAGTATGTTCAGTCTAAGCCTCATGGTCATATAATCATTGACCCACTGACACTGATTTTATTCATTAAGGTCTCCGATCCCTGTAGCCAATAGATAATAATTTCATACTTTCACACTGCCAACACAGCGGCCCTCAACTTACTTGTACTGGTCAAGGCGATTTCGAGAATGGCTGTAAGCCCTCCCATGGTCAGATTTCAGTCCCAGGCTTCATGCTACTGCGGCCACTTCCAATTTGAGCGTCCAACATACGGAGGATTTCAAGGGCCTTGGCAATGGCGTTTAACGTTGGTTCGCTGTTCATCTGCATGCGATGACCATGGAACGAACACCAATGCCAAGACCACATCCTGTGACAGGTAAATGGGCGGCAGTTCCTCTGAAGTTCAATATGATTATGGTGTAGATTTTCACCTCTAGGATTTTGTCCTTCACGATTTCCCCTTCTTTTAGTGAATTGTTCATTTGATATTTCAAGAATGATTGACCGTCCAGGTTCCAAGTGTAAGCATTAGATGCTAGACTCGTATTGGGGATCGGTTGTGGGTATTCGGTATTTTTTTAATACTAATAGTAATGATCAGCTGAAAGATCTGGTTCTCCGAAGAATTTTGTTCGGAGGTTTTCTAAAACTCATCGTCTTTCTATCAACCAACCAGGCGGTTTGATCGCACGTCACCATTCTCCTTCCGAAATTATGGTGCTTTCTGTGGCCCATCAGGAACCTAGACCTCTGTTAAAACATAACTTGCATTGAAAAGCCAAGCCTCTACTCGCGGTCCTCACGGTTAACGCGAAGACCTGATTAAATTGTAGTATAACAATGACAAGAAAGCTCATGTTGCGTCATGACTTCGCAAAGTTGCTAGACACATGCCAATTTTAGATGTGTTCTAGACATGAAGTTGGACTATAAGTAAAAGAATATAATCAGCAGGCTTTGTCGGAGAACACATACCCTGGAATTTATTGACAGGCCAACTTGCAATTATCTAACTCTCCCCATTATAATGCAACTGAAAACGGGCCTTTTCCTTGGCTTGGCGACGTTTACTGCCCTAGCTGCGTCTTCTCCTGATGATGATGGGGAGGACCTCGAAAAGAGGCAGTTCGCTTCTGGACCTCAATGCTTCTGTTGCTCAGGCCCTGTAATTCCCGAACTTGCCGGAACGAAATGTGCACGAAGTAAGTTCTCCTTGCCGATATAGTGGAGCTAGATTGTTGAATTATCCAAGGAAGCAACTGTGCAACTGCATGTGCGAGCGACAAGCGACCCCTCAAATGCCCCAATGGCGCTATCTTCTGGCCACCAACTGTAAGTTTCCCCAAGAGTGAGCATCAATCACAAATTGCTAATTGAGCGCCCAGGGAGCTTCTATTTCCGTTCTCTGCCAGAAGGGAGACCAACCATCAGCTGTTCCAGTGCCGTAGCCAGCCGAACAAAAAATCAAGGGCTCTTCCGGCAATCTGACCTATTTGCCAGATTTGAGAGACTCTTATTCCCTTGACTTGAGACGTTTTCTCGCAATAAAAAGTTTTTCCATCACACTCTGCTGGAAGTTCACATTTGAATGCCATGTCTCAGAAAAAAATTGTTTCCTAACCTGTCTCCAACGAAAAGGGCGCGGGATAGGGTCTCGTTTGCATGGCATTGAAAGTTCACTTTGACGTTATACCGTGGAGGTATTTACAAATTTGAAACAGAATATCTTACAGCAAAGCTGGAATATTCGGCTGTAGTACGTATTGTAATTCTGCAGATATAGTCCTGAGGAGAATAAGGTGAGCTTGCAAAAAGAAATTCCAACAAAGTATTCTTGAACCAGAGAAGCAGCTACTCATGCGAAATGGGTTACCAGCAGGTGGCGGAGCTTTGCCATTTGATTTTCGGTGCTGAGAAGGTTAGTGGTAGTAAGGTGGCCTGGCATTTAGTGTGTAGATGATAATTTTATTTTTCCGATTCGGAGGCCTCGTGAGCTGTTGAACTTGAGTCGATTAAATTCAATAGTTGCAAAACATAGTATACATACACGAGCAACATCTTCAGATACTTGCACAAGTGGTTCCCCGCTCCGCCAAAGGGAAACAGATATCGAGTTGTCCAGCTGCACTCTCGGGTCATTAGGGCCATTAGGGTCCAAGAAAACTTCTCTTTGATCCTCACAAGCAACAAAATTCGAACCATGGAGGCTGGAACAGGGACTACAACGATGGCTTTCTCTCAGCATGACGAGAAAGATAATAGAATACTATCAAATATCAGCAGGCTGCTGGCAACGAAGGTAATTAATATCAGTATCGTACGATAAACCGTAGACGAGGATTTACACAGTACGTTTAAGCAGTGCTATGCGGCAATCAGATTAAAATCGACAAGACGAAGCTTTTAGGTGAATGGTCCGAATTGACCATCTCCTGAGACTTCCTTCGAAGGATGGTTTTTATATCCCGCATGATTAGCATGCGACACCATGACCTACCTAGCAGAGACCATGGAGAGCGCGACCGCGAAGCATGGATCTTTATTCCCATGGCATGGCGGCGGAATGGGAGGTCGATAGGGGAGGGGCGATGGGGACTTTCAAGTTTGCGGTCACTGTACATTTAAGACTGGGGAAATTCGAAATTCGAAATTCGTTTCGCGATCGGGCAACTCTAAACGAGAACCAGAAAAATAAAGGCTTGATAATTAAGATTACTTCCATAATCACACAGCTTGCAATCAATCGCGAGATCACTGGACTCATCTATGGTAACAGAAGGCTGCTTGGCTGAATCATCTACACTTCAAGCGGATCAGTTGCAAACTTACCGCCACTGCCAAGAATATTTTGCAGACTGGGAGAAATTTCATTATTGGTTTCATGATGGATTGGCGATGATCCACCTTGAAACTTGACAGAAACCGGGGCAGGTTGTGTTTGGTAGAAGACTGCATATCTAGAACAGCCCATTCTCCGCTTTCGGAAAGCACGCAGGGTGCGTAAGGGTTGTGTATGAACCAGGGGCGAAATTGAAAAGCACCGGTTCCTGCCCAATGAGATCCTATTTGAAAACTTGGTGTCTATCCTAGCCCCATCGATGAGATGATAAATTTGGCAATGGAACCAAGTAGAAGTATGGCTGGCAAGGTCTAGTGATTAACAAGTAATGACGTCGCAGAATCCAAGACCAACCACTCATTGCTGCTCTTTACGGCAGCCCCTTTTCAAGATTGTGAGAATCGGTAAGATCATGCGTGGCGTAGAATAAAATGGAAAACAGGCTCATGTTCCAGCTCGGAGAGTAAATCAAATTAACCAAGGAGCCATAGAACGAAGGAGAGGAGATACATATAAAGGCAGAGGTTTATTACCCTCAGAAATCTGTCAGCACGTGATAGCAGAGACAGCTTTGTAAGAAAACTAACTATGCCAATCTCATTCATTCTTATAGGCTTACTTGAAAGTACCTCAGCTGCTGTAAAGCAGCGAGCTGGCCTCACTTTACCTATCCCATAGGGTGAACAGAATGCGATATATTCGCTTTCCTAGGGTCTGCTCCGGTATGGCCCTATACGATAATGTCAGTTTTAAGAATACTTCAAGTAAGTAGAAGTTGAATCTTAGTACAGTTAGAATGGATTTATAGTAACTTTCACCTCCCCGGCCCCTTAGTGTATTTACTCAGGGTATTTACTTGGGGTATACTTGAATATTACTAGAAGCTGGATTTAGCGAAGAGAGAAATTGATAGGTATTAGATTGATTGAAGTATTACATGATAAGAATATGGATAAAAATAGGGATAAAGATATGAAACGGCATAGAAAGAAAGAAGCAAAGAAAAAGTCCACGTTGGACAAGGCGACTAAGCAGTGAAAGCATCAGGTCGTGTGATTCGTTCATTTTGCGCATTTTGGTAACATTTGACCGAGGACAATGATGCCCAGTGTGCAGCGAGGATCGAGATGGAAATCATTTACTCGATGGTGATCTTCTTGACCGCGGCAACAGTGGCCTTGGGGATCAGGATGGAGAGAATGCCATTCTTCAGGTTGGCCTTGACGGCGTCCTGGTCGATGCGGCCGGGAAAGTTGAAAGTGCGCTGGAATTCGCCGATCGAGCGTTCTGAAGCCCAAAAACGGTGGTTGGGAGCAGATTCCTCGCCCTCGTTCTCGGCCTTGGGTTCGGTGTGGTATTCACGCTCGGTGCGACCCTTCACGACCAGAGTCTGGGGGTCGGAGAACTCGATGTCGATATCCTTCTGGGCGATTCCAGGCAGCTCGCCATCTAGGTGATAGGCGTCTTCGCTCTCACGAACATCGAAGCGAGGCGAGAAGGAGCGCAGCGAGGACTGAGCCTGCTGGCGGGTCGAGCGGTGGGAATCATAGTCGTCTAGTAGACGGAAGAGGGAACCGAAGTCACCCTGAGGGGCGAAGCTGGTGCGGAAGAGAGACATGATTGAGGTGATTGGGTTGGTTGAATTGAAGATAGCTTTGAGAAAGAGCTATGTAGAGCAGTGGATGATTGAGAATTGAGAGTTGAGAGTTGAGATGATGAGGATGAGAAGATGAGGAAGTGGAAAGGGAAGTTCATTTTATAATTGCGCTGAGGCAGCTGCCTGGAGGAAGTTCACCCCATGATGGAAGGTGCGAGTGAGGTACTGACAGTGACTGACAGTGACTGGCAGTTGCCTGTAGTTGCGTGATGTTTCCAGAAGGTGCGAGTGACTGCGAGTGACTGCGAGTGACTGCTGGATGTTGCTGCTGGATTCTGCTGGATGCCCGTCGATCCTTCTCCACGATTCCATATCACGTGATATAATCTGGGGTTGACAGAACAGCTACATGTGCTATGTATGGGATGTTATGTATGGAGTATAGCTATAGATTATCTCTATACAGCAGTTACTATTGACACCGGGAGTAATACATACAAGTGGCTAAGCGACCGGGCCATGGTTTGTTTGAGAAATGTCAAGTTCCAAGCTCCAGGTCCAACTTGTGAGGTGACCAGGCGCTACGCATAGAAATGGGGCATCAATGGCATCAAAAATCCTAGTCAGCCCCGAATGAACCTTTTGTCTTTATCGCCTGCCAGTCCTGTCCTGACTACCCGGTCCGCCTTGTGTAATGAGCGGCTATGTGCTTGTTGTGCACTGTGTAGCCCAGCGAGTGCCATCAATGCACTGATCATGTCATGGGCACGAGGATGAGGATGAAGATGGCCAAAGATATCGGAAGAATTCAAAGTCGCCCGGTCTTCGGGTGTATCAAGAGTGTCTTTGGATGGTCGAAGGTGGGGGTCCAGATGAGTTGGTGTTGGGTGTTCCGTTTGCTACGGGCGGCAGATGTTCAGCGCATCGGCGTCAGGAGGTAGAGGGAGTCGGTTGATCGCACAGAGTAAGTATTACTCAGACTCGGATTCGTCCAGTTGCATGATCTTTTCGTCCAGATCCTGCCGAGGAGTTAGTACAACCGTAGGTTGTGCAAGGTCCTCTCCCTTTAGAGAAACCGGAGGAGTGAGAGGGTGGCATACCTGATCCAGTCGAACTTTGAGGTTCTGAAGCTGGCTCTCCTTGATCACCAAGTGATTCTCATCATCCAGATCCTCCACAATATAGTCGTGTCGCTCCTCATCGTACTTGAGGATCATGGACTTGATCGACGGATCGCATTCGATGAGCAGACCTAGTCGAGTCGAATGAGCGCACAAACCAGAAGAATCAAGAAGCTGGGGAATTTACCTCGAACGGCACGAGGCATCGTGAAGATATATGGAAGATATGCGAAGGTCGAGTATGGTTGTGAAACAAACGTAGTTGAAGTTGTGAAGTTGTGAAGTTGACCTGGGGACGATTTGGAGGGCTGCGGAAGGCAATCCTCCCGCCTGAAGAGTCAGGCACCAACATCTATCTTAGTAAGCATCTTTGTACATAGTTAGTTACTCGACTAGTTAACTAACTAGTTACTTGACACATCTTTGTCACTTCTTGAACAACATCCCATAAATCAACATTATTTACAGATGACTATTCTATACCCAGGCGCACCCCCTATTCATCCACCTCATCTGACTGTGGCTGTTCCCACTCGGGAGTCCATCCAGTACCCGCCTGAAATGCGGTGGCTATCAAAGCGACAAAGCTCCCTGCGAGGAAGAGCATTCGGATTGCATGTTCATAGCTCTCGATAGCAACAAACCGATCCACACCCACCAGACGAGTGACGGTGGCCGGACTCCCAAGAAGTGTACGCACGAGTTCCGGCCGAGGTGGCTGTCCACGATCGGCGAATCCTGTCTCCAACGATGACTTGAGGATCCGCGTGAAAAACCCACCTCCAATGGCCGATCCAAAACTCGCGGCAAACCCTCGCGACATGGCGATCAAGGCGCTGACAATATAGTGTAGCTCACTTCCGGTGAGATAGAGCACATGTGACAAGGTATAGGTCATTAAAGCCCCGGCACAGAGTCCATTGAAGAAGGTCGTGATCACATACACAGCTGTATGTGATTCTGGAGTCGAGAGAACCGATAGCGCCGCAGTGGCCAAGGTGAAAAGCACAAAAATGACCAAACAGGACCTGGAAGGGATGAGTGAGAGTTGCCAAATACCAGACAAGCCAAGTTCCTTACATATAATAACTCCCAGCTTTACGAATGTGCAACCATCCTACCAACAATCCGCCCGTCCCAAAGCCGGCATTTGTGGGGACCAGAATAAGCCCAGCAGATGCAGGGGACCAGCCCCGGACCGCCATGGCATACGTCGGTGTGTAGAAGAGTACCGCCCAACGAGCCATCATCAAACCGAGACCAGCAATACATGTCAACAAAACACTGCGATTCCGCAGTAGTCTGATGGGGATGACGGGTTCTCGAGCCCGAGTCTCAACCCAAATGAAGATGGCGAAGAAAATCAACGCCAATGGGATCGGCCAGAGCAGAATCTCCGGCGACGCGAGACTGAAAAGCAGTGAAACTACCGACAAGGTCTAAGAAAGCTCAGTACATTCATCCAAACGCTGCAGGTGGAGTTTGTGGAACATACTAATGTCAGAGCACCTGCATAGTCGACCCTAGCAAGCTTATGTAGCAATTTCCGAACCTCCAATGGGTTATCTTCTCCCGCAGCAGGAATGGCGAAGAAAAGCAGAGGCCCCAGGATCAATGCGGCTGGGGCTTGGACCCAAAAAATGAGTCTCTGGAAAAGAATTGCATTAGGAGATTTTGGGGATTCCCTTGATTGAATTGAGCAGTACATACCCATCCTAAAGTTGGTGTTAGCAGGCCCGCTAGAACGGCACCTGTAGCAACACCCGTGGTGAAGCCACAATTGATGAGTCCAATACACAATCCACGCCGTTTCGAACTAGAAAGGTCTAAGGCTAGAATGATGGATGTGCTCATTAACCCGGCACTGCCACAACCGGAGACAACTCTCCCAAGAAGAAAGATGGATAGCGAGGGTGCTGCAGCAGTAATGAAAAGACCAGCTGAGAGAAGTATACTTGAGAAAATCACGTAGAGGCGCGGTGTGAAAATCTCCGAAAGTCGCCCTGTCAATGGAGTCACACTGGATGCAGCAATCTACGGGAGGTTAAAACCTCGCCGAATGAATGGAGTTCAAGTTTCTCTTTATAGATATCGAAGCATACCATATACGCCGAAGTGAACCAGGTAACTTCTGCAAATGCATCCAAGTCTGCTGCAATCTCGGATTGTGCGGTAGTCATCATTGACATGTTGGTAGCTGCCGAGTTCAATCTTAATATCTAGCCGTAGAGGAATCAAGATCTGAGACATACCTTGGATAAAAATGAGGAGACCCATTAGAGCAATGATGCTCAATCCTCTCCAAAAACTGACACCCGATTCCGAGCCATGATCAGCGTCATGGCTCGAGGATGTGATGAGCGGCGTTCGCTCTGACGGGGGTGTTTCTGTATCTGTCATATTGCAATTCCAATGCCATGAAAATTTCAAGATCAGGAAGAAGAAGAGAAATCAAACACCAGAAATTTCCCCTTTCAACTTGTTATTGACGAGGCTTCGGGGAGGGGCGGATGTTGCATTTCTAAGCAACGATAAGCGCGTCGCAACGGTCTCCGCAGATCGCATGTGGGGAAAGCTGCTGGCTGGACTCACTGTTTGGCACTAAAATTGGGTGGCGAATGCGATTAACTGAGTGGATGGTATTCTACCAGTAAAAGTGAAAGGAGGAGCCAGTAATGATGAGTGATAGCTGTGTGTTACGACAAATATAATGCCAATCGATCTCTATTTACTGTGGACTAAAGTTAGACACCCCGACAGCCAGTCTTCGCTAATTATTAGACTACTTGGCCCCAAATACCGAAGGCCACCGACCGTGGATACGGGTTAGCACCTTTCGCAGGTCTATCTCACCTCCAGTGGGCTCAGGTGCCGTCCAAGTCTCTTCCTGCCACCCCTGCTCAAAAGCTCTCAACTTCTCGAAAAATGCCGTGGAGTTATATGAGGCTGTCGGAGTGGATTTAAGATAGTCGATGAATATCTGCCAACGAGGAACATAATACGTGGAAACCAGACCGGCCCATCCCTTTGAGGCGTAGTCGGTGATCTCGCCATTTGGTCCCCATAGTGTAATCTGATTGCGCGCATTATACTCATAGAAGGCGGCCTGCTTCTTGTCACCTTGAGCCCAAGATCTTGCAGAGTTTATCCATTTTGAGAGTCGGAAGTTTTCGTTGGTAAGAAGGACGTCGTCCAGATCACCCAGAAGACGGAGCATTGTCCGTCCTTTTTTCGACAAAGTATCTGAAGACGCATTGGATTCATTGTACGTCGTGACTAGATCCGTATACAGTGGGATGAAAGCGTTGTCAAGGACTTGGCGAGTTACATCAACCATGTCATGCTGATAAGCTGTATTATGCCACAGCTCTGGTTCCGCATGAGCAGCTTGGTATAATGACTGCCACGCCCTGACAAGGTCCGCGGGATCGTATGTAAGAGCCCTAGGATGGGTTCCGGTCCTTCCAAGGACACCATTAATACCTGGCTGCGCTTCCACTATTGGCTGGATGACGGCTATGTTGGTCATATTGGTATTGTTGTACACCGTCGATCGCATCAGGTCCCACCCTTCGTAAAGCCCGCGAGGAACAGATCCAGACCCGGCATAACGGCTTGAAACCCAATCATGGAAGTATTGCTGCGTGTCAATGGCCTCGGAGGACCAGGCTTGATCCAAAAGTAGGTCGTACATGATTTCGTTACCTTCTTGACCCTCAGGGCTCAGCCCATAGCCCACCATTGACGGAGATTCGAGCCGTGCTTGAGTCGCGTTCTGGGTGACATTCAGAATCTGTCCATACAGACCCATGTTTCCTCCAAAATCGTGAAGTTGGCACCAAATCCACGGCTTGCCGAAATAAGATTTGGTTCGACGCCATTCGGGGATCGACTCTGAGTACAAGTCTAAGATGATCATGTCCTCATCATTTTCAACGCCTCCAAGATAAGCTTCAACTCGATCATTGGTCCAAAAGGAAGAAAGAGCATAGAATAGCCACCCTTGCATCAACCAAATCGCATCGGGGTCAGCTTCTTTGAGGCTCTTCATTGTGCCACGGGAGATGTTCCGGAGGAGATCCAAATCACCCGACGGAGGGGTGTTTTCGTTGTACTGATCAAGAGTATAAATATGGCTAATGTTGCCATATGCAGAATTCTGCTTGCTGATGAAGCTATGCTGCAGCTCGGCGAAATGGTCGTCAAAGGGCTGCAAGAACGAATCATTCGTGTATTGAACAGGAAAGCCACCCCATTGTGACCCGTGAATGATATCTGCGTCCGGAAAAACGCGGCTCGTATTTGCAGGAACAAACCCAGTAAACGAAGGCAAAACCGGTGTCATGCCAAGCTCTACCATCCGGCGCACAATCTTTTTCTGTAATTCGAACTGTTGGTCGATCCATGACCGGGGAAGGTCACCGTGCCAAAAGCCCTGAATATTACCGAATCGGTTCCAAGCCTGAAATGCCGGACCACTCAAAAAAGTTGCGATTTCTTCATCGGTGAGGCCAATCTCTTGGAAAACATCTACTAGGATCTTCTCTTGACCGACCCAAGCGAGAGGTAGGTTGACTCCACGCAAGGCCATCCAATCCAATTGAACCTCCCATTCCTCCCAATTCCAGAAAGCAGTTGTATAGGAGAATGTGACTTGAACAAGTAAGTAATTAGGTTATTCCGGATTGGCAGAGGTGATAGTTACCGGTATTAAAATGATATCGCCAGGGAACAGTGCTAGCACCTTTCAATGGGACGTCCAAAAGGGGGGAGCTCAGAGGGCGCCAGATGAAGCCGACTCCCGATGAACCAATAGATGTCAACGTGAACAACATCAGTCAAATATCGATGAAGACTATTTATGCTGTTATTATTGGCCTGATCGGAAAGGATGTTTGATTACTTACCCCGATGATAGTGCGCTGATCGAGCTTCCTTCCACAAGAACCGTCCCATTATGCGCAGTTTTCACAGTAAACTGATCATATCCACCGTTGTCTGTGAGGTTGGAGCTAATGGAGAAACGGAACTGGTCGACATGTTCTGGTAGTCGTCGCTTGACGAGGCTGTACATCCCGTCGGTCGATTGCGCGACAGCCGATGCTGCGCCGCACCAGCAGAATAATCCGGCCCACCGCATGTTCGTGATGATTAGAAAGGACCTACACAAAGAAAACAAAAATAAAACTTGAAAATTGAGAAAAGGGGAGACTGTTATGTACATAGACTACGGTCAAGCCCCTGTGTTGTTGCGGCGCGTTGCATGTCCCCGCACTACTGCGCACGCACTGCAACAATTCGATCCTACATCTGCCGATCCTTGATTGCTTACGGCTTTAAGGCCGGACACTTTCTTGTTGGGCTCTTTGTTGAGCGAATTGCGTTTTGATTACTGCTTGGAAACAAAATCCTTCTGGCCCTGAAGAGCCTTGGTCAAGATATCCGGATACCATCGTTGGCCCACGTCCTGATGGCTTGTCACCCGCGCGACGAGGGTACCCTCTCCGATGCTAGTTTTGAACATCTTGTTAAAGGTTGCCTCCGCATCCGACTTCACCTTGTCATCCTTCACCAAGTCTCGGATATGATCTGGTACAACGAGTGTAATATTTTCGGTCGAGAGATCCATACTCACCCCTTGAAAGACCGGGAATGAATATCGCGGCCCCAGGGGCTTTCCATCAGCATCAATGAAGTGTTCTTCTCGCAAGCTCACCCGATGCGTAGTCGCTGTACAAACCCCACCCGTCAGAGCCTCGAGAGCGCGGCCGATATTGACCACAAATGTATTTGGGAGTGGAGGAGCCGATACCCATTCCCCGGCTTTGTTTTGCACCTCGAGACCACGGTGTGGCGTTGCTTGGAGGAGGAATGTGAGAAATCCAGAGTCCTTGTGAGCACCGACACCTTGAAAGCCAGCTCCGTTGCTAGTCTGGTCGGACGGTGGTGGTGGATACTTGATTAATTTCAGTTTGTGCTGTTGAGGATCATCAAAGACTCCATCCATCGCCGTAGGGGGAAGATCTAATGACTCGGCAATGAGAGCCGTGAAAGACGCCGATAGAGCGTCGACCTCCGAGAGATATTCTTCTGTCGCCTGACGGAACCCGGGGATTGCAGTTTCGTCTGGCCACTGCATATGAAAGGGGTCACAAGGTTAGTCTGTTTATCGATAGAGAGGAGACTATAGAATACAAATACCTGGTTAGGTCCGCAGATGTTTCTGTACAACGGCTCATCGGGACCAGGAGCTGGTAACTCGGTCGCAAACTGATGCAGTGTAAGCGTAATGACAAATGAGAATGGATTCATGGATTGAGAGACAAACTTACATCGAATTGCTCACGATGGTCAGACTTCAAAGCGGTAATCTCGGCCCCAAGCCTGGAATATCCAAGGAAGTGAGGACTGTTGACCATCTCAATCTCCAGCTTCTTTTCAAGGGGCTGGCGGAATAATTCGAATCCCTTTTGAGTCAAAGCATCTTGAGTAGCGACAGAGACTGGTGGATTTTGAAGATACAAAAACCCCACATTGATGAGCGCATCGCGCAACTGCGCCAGGAATTTCGGCTTGGTCGTTGGGGATAATGCTTGAGTATAGTCTAGAACGGGAATTGAAGTGAATGAAGACACCGAGGCGTCTGTTGTGTTCCCTGTCTGCTTTTGTTAAAGATGACAGGACCGAACTTGATTTATGAGGTATCTTACCATAGTAGAAGCAGGTTGATTACCTAGGTCTCAGTATACGACTCTTCTTGAGTTCGGACTTGGAGGTTCACTGCACGCCTTCCAAGCGAGGGTTCGCCTTGAGCGGATTGCGGTGAACTGATTTTCGACTGGTCGAGCAGTAGTCGAACCTTGGTAAAGGAAGTCTCGAACTTTAGCTCTGAATTCTAGTCAGCACAGATCACGAATAATCCCGAGGAAATATCAATATACTTCAAGTTGATCCGAAAAGAAAGTGGTCTTCGATCCAACTTGAAGACCCCGCAAAGCCTCGGAGTTTCCCACACGACCGCAGCGAAAGTTTCTAGCACCGTTCACCTGCGTATGTATACTTCAGCCTGAAGTTGAGTCCACAAAGAGTGATGTTATTTTATGGCTTGAAAATACCCAGGCATCCGGTGAAGCCTGTCAGGTGTTGAGCGGAGCGAGAAACCAAAAGGAGCGTGCTGTGGTGGGTAACAACTCCGAGGGTGCTGACTGCAGCGCTCTGATTGGGCTGTTATGGCGGAACCTTGACCAGGGATATCTGATGAAATGCTTGACAAGGATCACGTCTTGCTCTGCAAAGACGATATTTGGACAGGCGATAAAATCGATGTTTGGGGACTTTGAGGGAGTCGCATAATTACCCAGTCCACAAGTGGGGGCACTCCCGCGATAGTTAGTTACTTGTGATACTCGATCACGATGCTGTCCGTTTTTGCTATCAGATCCACTGGCATGGATATTAGTCAAATAAAACTTGATATGTGTGTTTCTAAGATCTCAATTTTGTTGGGCTCTCCAGGGAATGCAAGAAAGTTTAAATTGGACTATCTAAAGTCGGCGGGTGAATGGATGGGAATAATTTAGTAACGATAGCGCTTGCTCGATCAGGTGTACTATGTATATCGCTCTCGTCTTGAAACACTGGAACTTCAAATGCAGGAAAACCCAGGATCAATAAGTTTGTAAATGTGGAGGTTTTTATAGAATATAACGGAATCCGACCGCACTCGCCTCGGAATTGTTTGAATCCGAGGGAATATCCTCGGAGCTCTCAGCCTCTTCCAACTGTCGATTCATTTTCGCATGAACCGTGCGGATCACAAAGGCTATGATTGCAACCAACAGAGCGATCGCTGCAGTAGCGCTGCCGCCGGGAATGTACCGTGGACCAGAAGAGGATGGCCACATATAACTGCCGTAGATCGAAGCTGTGTTACCGATCATGTTGGCCAACGCAATTGCGGCAGATCGTTTCACCAATGGCCGAGGGAAGGAGTTAGCCACCCAGGCTAGAATAATCTGGTATGCTGACACCGCGCCCATTGGCATCCTGGAAATAAAACACTAGGGTTAGCGGCGGTAGTTATAGGGTTGCAGACATGGAACGTACAGGAACATGGCAAAAAACTTGGCCCCAGTATTAGTTGTCACAGTGCAGATAATGCCACCCACAACACTAATGAGCATCAGGCCGATGATGTGCAGACTGCGATCGTCTGTGCGACCAGAGGACCAAGTGGCTAACAGGGATACAAGGAATGTAGCAATCCACACCGGTGCAGTGATCAAGAGGGTTTCAATGTTGCTGTACCCCAGGGTCTGCACAATGGTGGGGAAGAAGTATTGGAAATTCTGCGATAGAAGCGATGCGTGCTGAAGAAGGATAAAAAGATAAATGCGCTTGTCGGCAAACACAAGGGCTAGAGCTTCCTTGATGCTGGCTGATTTCGCATCATCAGCCTCTCCAGCATCATCGATGAGACGCCATTGCGCATATGCTTGTTCCTGCTCATCTAGCCAAGAGGTTGTCGCAGGGTAGTTGGGAAGAAAGATGCTGAAATAGTTAGAAAGCGACTAATTTGACCACAGTTGACTGGAACATACCCGGCGAGAATAGATACACCTACGGTAATCGACCCCTCTATGATAAAGAGCCATCTCCATCCGGTGATTCCGTGGCTACCATCCAAGTTTCCAAGGACACCGGCCCCAATCAAACCACCAAAGGCATTGGCTAATGAGCTACCGGCATAGAACCAAGCAATGCGGTGGCTCAGCTGAGGGGTGTTGGAATGAGGTACAATCCGCGTAGGGAAAATATAGAGTTCTTACCTCTTTTCTTGTGTACCAACTCGACCTTGACGATATCAGTTGGAGAAATTTACAATTCAGTGAAAGGAGAGTATACATACATCAACATAACTGCACCTGGGAAGAAGGGCGCTTCGACAAAACCTAGGAAAAACCTCGAAACAACCAGTCCGGTGAAGGACTGACAGGCCGCCTGGCATGCGGATATGACACCCCTAGGTAATACATAGGTCAGTAAAAGCTCGAAATGGGTTGTTTATTTGATAGAACGAAGGTACCAAATGGTCATGGCCGCCCCGAGAAATCGCGAGGGACGGATGCGAGTAAGGAGCAGGTTGGATGGCAACTGCATGAGTAAATAACCAACAAACAAAATGCTCGTAGCCAGATTATAGTCAGTGCCTTCCATCCCAAGATCTTTCTCAAGGGAGCCCAGACGGGCTTGGGACAAGTTACTGCAGCGAGGTATCAGCAACGTCGGCATGTATGAGAAATTGTTCGCTCGAGTGTTCCTTACTTGCGATCCAGGAAGTTAAGGAGATACATCAGAATCAAGAAGGGCAGAAGGTGCATGTCGACCTTGCGTAACAAGGTACGAGTCATCTTGTGATGCCATTCCGGGCTTTTGGAGGCATAGGCCTGGTACAGAGCATCTTGTTCAATGTTGAGACCCTTTTGTTCGCTCTCGCGATGCTCGATCTGCTCATCTCTGGATTTGGCCATCGCGTGGAGCTCAGCACTAGGATACTCTCCGATTTTGGTTGAGGCTGAGGCTCTCGATCTTTTTTTTTTCTTTTCTCACGCTTTGGCCCCCCTTTATAGGCAATTCGGTAGGTGTCTGGCTAGCTTGAGTGACTCGGCGGAAACTCCGACAGTCTGCCAAGCAGTTGAGAGTCTCGAGCAGGAATGAAGAAAGCTGATCGAAAGAACTAGGGTCTACGATTGGTTCCGAACATGGTGGTGGGGATTGAAGGGATTTGTGAGGGAGACATGTTGGGGGGAAGGAAGTAGCAGTTCGGTCTTCGCGGTGTCTTTTCCCCGGTGAGCCCGAACGCGGGGAAGCGGGACCCGGGGGTGAAAGGATGGAAGGGTGAAAAGGGTGAGATGCCTCGGGTTCCCAGGGTCAACCGGTGAAGAAATACGGGAATAAACTAGATGAAATGAGGAGATTCCATTAAATGTAATATACTATGTATTCGAGGATCACAGAGATTCAGACGTACGAAGACATGTGCTCGTATAGATGACAACAGCATTATTGAAACTAAGATTGGGATCATACCATAATGTGAGAATGTGAGAGTCAGAGGTGCAGGGCGAGCCAGTCCCGGAGAAGATTCAAGTGGACGATGAGTGGGCTCGGAGTTGGGCCGATGAGGAGAGAAGAAAAACATGAATGGGGAACCCAGGCGGGTTTGCGCTGTGGATTGTATTTTGTATTTTGTACTTGGTGTGGGAAATCAGGAGAGTAACAAGAATGTATATTAGAGAAGAAAAAAAGGGAGAAAAGGACAAAGTGAGGTTATCAACCTTGAGTAGAAGTGGTGGAGGAGAAGAGAGAGAGAAGCCTCGGGGAGTCTCGGCGTGTTGTGGTGTGGCAGTGGTGGCTGTGCGTGTGTGTGTGTGTGGCAGTGACCATATTAGTAATCGTGGCTATGGTGGCTGCGGTGGCTAATAGCATGTGACCATTGATCACCTGACATGTGGGGAATGGGATGACATCACCCAATGGCGGCGACGCCGCCAACCGCCAATCTTGTCTTGCATTTGCTCATGCAATTTCCAACCATTCATCATTGTGGATCGTCCTCTTGGGAGCTTTGATGGGAATAGAAAGATATGAGATCAGATTTCATCCGATGACCTCAGATCCCAGGGGGTATCGCCTCCTCACTGGCTGAACGCCACTGGATCTCGTCCAGATTCCTCCGTACACAGTGTGGACTAGACTCTTTTCACTCACTGCCTTTGATTCGAGCGTATTCCATGACGATGCTCGATGAGGTGTGGACCCCCTTTTTGGCTTTCCACGATCTCGTACCCTACGAGTATACTCCGTACCAGTCCCAGTACATTACTCGTACTTCCGAGTCGTCCTGCTATTCTCTTATAAAGGAGTTTACCCCTCTTCCCAAATTAACCATCTTTCCCCTCAACCTTCCACCCTCACCTCCAACTTTCTTTACCTCATATTCATATACCTCTACTACCCCATCATCATGGATAAGCTTTCCGGTCTCGCTTCCAAGCTCGGTGGTGGAAGCAGCAACAAGGAGTCCAACTCCGGCTCTAGTGGCTCTGCTGGCCAGGAGGACTACTTGGACAAGGGTAAGCTACTCTTCTATCTTTATTACACGATCCTCGGATCAACCAAAAAGATTATGCGTAAATAAACCTAACATCTGACTTAGCCCTCGACTCTGCCGAGCGCAAGTTTGGCGGCGGCAAGGTTGACCCCGCGAAGATGCGCAGCACCAACGAGAAGATCACCGATGGTGCCCGTGAACAATTCGAGAAGGCTACGGGGTAAGTTTTCTCATTCAAATATAGATTGGAGAATACGGCTGATCACCTTCCTTCTACAGCAAGCACGTACCCGAGAAGTTCTCTAACTAGAGATTTGCATACGGACGATTCTCAGCGCGAGTAAAGATACGATACCGATACCCCAATGGGATATGTAGCTATGGCAGACGAATTTAATTGCAAAGACCTTGAAGTTCCAAAGATCATAATACTCCTTCCCTTCCCAGAATATAGATAGTAGTAACATATTCTTCTGGAGAATCTGGCGCAATGTCTAGAATCGTTGCCGCTGGAAAGCCGACAGGATCCCCTCTATGCCCGAGCGTCGATTCCCAGTGGTCCACATAGTATTTGCGCGACAAAGTTGTAACAGGTTATCAATGCGTTTCTCTGCCGCCGGGTTATTGCCTCGGCAGGAGACCATGGCCCGCTCAAAGTATTCCTGGGCAGGCTCGTACTCCTTCGCAACAAAATGAAGGTTGGCCAACATCTCCAAAGTCGCGAGGGTCTCCGGATTCTGAATGCCTCGCCGCCGCTCGACCCACTCCACATACCGATTCAACCATGGAAGGGCCTCGGATGGAGGACTGGATCCAACATAATACTGAGGAGCTTGCAGCGCATACATCACACCGATGTTTCCAACGATATCCATGGTTAGTGGGTGCTCTGGCCCGAGAGCTTCTTCTGAAATCGCAAGTGCTCGTCGAAGAGTTTCGGACGCTTCCATATTCTCCTGCGCGCAGATAAGGACTCGGCCATGTAGACAGAGGGCTCGGATGGTGAGTGGATGTATGTGACCGAGCCCTGCAAGAAGTTCTTCATGAACAGTTGGGATAATTTCAAATGCTCGTTTGACATCGGGTCGGTATAACATTATGTTTACCCCGTTGTTATCACCGTGGTTGTAGATGACATATTCTAGCATGTCGAGAGCAGCTACAAAAACGAGGACATGGTTGTCTCCAAGCAAGCGCTTATAGCTGTCGGCGAGTTTCTCTGCGGTCGCAATAGCGTTTTCTCTCCTGCTGAGAGCATTATAGGCCATAGCCAGGCGCCTTCGCGTAGCCAAGGTATCTAGATGATCCTCGCCAATATTCATCTGTTGGCGAGCGAGGACATTAGCACACATAGATTCAGCCTCCTGGTACTGTCCTCGCTGGCACATAATTTCCGCCATGAGGCTTTCTGTCTTCATCGAGAGTACATGTCTTGTTCCAAACACTCGCTGAGTACCATCGGACACCCATTGGCACCACTCTGTTGCTTTGTCAAGGAAACTGCCTTCTAATTCTATCTCTGCTAGGTTATAACCGGCAGATAGTGTGCTGTGGTGATCTGGACCAAGAGCTCGCAGATGCTCCTGGAAGATATCGTACTCGACATCCCGAGCGTGGTCCCAATTGCCTTTGTTTTTCAGCTCAGCACATTGGATTGCGCGGGGATCGTTATCGCTAGCGGTGTAGATGGCCCCGAATATTATTTGCGTTGGCGCGGCGGCGCGTCCTGGTGGTTGGTATGGATTGCTGCTATTAGAATGCATGCGCGGTGGCACCGGCGGCGGAGTTGGACCAACTGAAGAAGCAGGCGTTGGCTGCGGGATGAAGCCTTGTTCAGTTAACAGCGCCTGGTCGACAAGTTGCTTGATATTTCCTTTGATAAGACGGTACATTGGCCCACGAGCACCGACTTTGCACATTTGCGAGTGATCCGCATCGAGTTTGAGTTGGGTTTCACGCAGGCCTGATAATCCCAATACCGCGGATTCCTCGTCAACGACAAGCTGGAACTGATTAGTCGCTATAAGCTCAACGATTCTGGACCTCACTTACGTGACTCAGAGAGGCTGGGCCCATTCCTCCAAGCTGTACTTCCTTTCCTTCTATAAAACTGATCACGCGATAATCTTCCAGCTGATGGCGAAAGCGATCACTCATCTGCCGAGTGAAGAGAGAGTTATGTTCAAGACAGTCGAGCAGATCATTACTGGCATTACCTTTAGAAACAAATTTGGCAATTCGGGCGGCAATCTTCCCTAGCTCCACTGCTTTCGCGCCACGATGAGGAGTGCCAAAGAAAACGAGGCCGGATGTAGCGTTGCGAATGGAGTTGTATTTGGGGTCTTCCTTGGCATTTAACAGAGCCTACAGTGCACGTAGCATGTTAGCTCACTGTATCCTTTGCTACTTGGGACAAACTCACCTGCTTAATCACCAAGCCCCCCTAGACTGTGGCCGATGAAGATGATCCTAGGTTGTGAAGATTGCTATTCCACGCAAAGAGGGGTGAGTTAAGATGGTCGTATCATGCAATGGAGAAAAGGGGAAGGGGGTCTCACAAATTGAGGGCTTCTCTCCATGTCCAGCAAATTTAACAAAGTGTTGGCGTGATCCTTAATACTTGCAGTGGACATGGTTTGAGGGTGCGTGATGTTGGAGTTGTAGCCATACACAAAGACCCGGGCGTATGGGATATCTTCTGCCAGGAATTCTGTTGGCCAGAATACGCCATTTGCGTGAGTCCATGTTTCAAAAGGGTGATCATTACGGCCTCGAGGGTTGAGACCGTGGACGAACACAAAACTAAGCAAGTGTTATCAGTTGATGATGCATGCGAACGAGCCGCTGTAAAAGGAATCGATCATACTCGATCTTGTGGGGATCCCGAGGAGTGAAGACTTCCTGAAGGAACGGGAACTCGTGCTCTGCGGAGTCCTGGAAAAAGGTTGTCAACGATGTTCCTCTATTCATACACAAAATAAATATCCTTACCATTCTCACCATATAGAATGACTCGGGGAGTTCTTCAAAACCAAAGGCCTGAGATAGCTGAAGAAGAAAAGGCTTTCCCACTGGAGCGAGACTCCAACAACACGGCTGGGCCAAATACGAGGATGACCGTGCATGTGACCCTGATCTGACGGTCACTTGGAAATGGGGCTGGCAGGATTCGCCTCAGATGTAACCAATGGCTTTTTCTGAGATCAGTCGGCACAACTTGCCCTGAAATTACGGATGAGGCGTTTCGACCTCGGGTTGGCTGGAGATCCCAGAAATAAACCCAACCGAAGAAATTCTGCAGGACGCTGACGGCATGAGCGCTTAAATAAATGAAGTGATTGAAACATTTATATGTTTAGGCTTATGACTAGTGTTCTCATTAAGCTCGATCGGGATCTTCGTCGTGATCCCGCCCCTCCTCTCTAAAAGTCAGGTTTTGAAGACAGGGCGCGTAGAACAAGTTTCCTCGCCAGGCCCCCATTGCTGTGTGAGACCCAACAAGAGCCCATAGCAATAGTACAGCAGCACTTACGATCTTAAACCGCCGGGAATTTGTTAGTAACCCGTACGCAGCTTCGAACAAACACAAAGTAAGAACATACCGTTCCAAAAACCTTGAAGAACATAAGGTCTAATTCGATCCCAAGTTCTATTGAATTGGCCGCATAAACCCCAAGGGGAATGTAAAGCCCCACCAGCCCATGTTAAATGGAAAAGGAGAGCTGTACACAACAGTGGCGAGCGCAAAGACTAGCCAGATCAAGCCGAAGCTCCACATTATCAAGGATATGAATACACCAAGGACATAAGCCATAGGACCTGCGATGGGATCTAAAATATCGGAGCCCTCGAGCAGCTTTCGCGCGACTTTCCCAATATAAAGAATGCTGCGACTGGTGAGCAACGAACTGGCCAGGGGAAAACATAAAGCAATGCTTACCCAAAGCCACCGAATCCGAGCGGTCCCAAAGGTAGGAAGCAGCTCACGATCATTTCTCGCGGGGGAAGCTTGTGGACCGCCAGCCGCTGATAGTAGATGACCAACACAACGATGGCGAGTGGGGTCCCCATTCCCCAGAGTACAAAGGAAGCAAGTAGAGTGCCTAATGCATGTTGTTGGTTAGGAAGAATATCAGCGACTTTAGAACCTGCACCGGCAGCGACGATTGTCGCGGCAATGGGCAACAACTGAAGTGCAGTGATGCGGTCCAATGAGGTTATGTGACGCTGAGAAATCCTATTTTCATGAATATTAGCGGGCGATTATCATCATTTTGAGATGTACTAGACACTGACAGAATGAATGATAGTGAGAGAGTTACCGAGGCCGCGGCCACGACGTCCACCATCCACAACGCCCATGCAACAGACACGGCCCAGTCCCCCCCCATTGGGGCACACAGATGGAGACCCACATCTCGATCAGTGTCGCGAAGCCCATGGGGACCGTCGCCAGAAATAGAGAGTTTGTAGGATCTTGAATCATCACTGGCCAGATCTCTGGATACAAAGTGTATCGCAGAATAGAGGTGGCTAATGCCAATACAAAGATGCCGGCATTGAGGATGTAAAAGACGATGGAAAGATAGTACAAGACCCTCGTGTGAAATGGCACCGAGTTGAGTAGTACCGACACAATACCGGTGCCCATTGTGACAGCAAACCACCTACTTCATATTAGCGAAATATTCCGAAGAGAGGAGAGTTAGCATAATGTGTATCATACGAGGGACTAAAATTGCGAACAACTCTGCGCCAGCCGACATTGTACTTCACGGGGGCCGTGGCCGTGGCCGCGTTGGTATCAGAAGCAGGTTTCGCCATAGTGTTTGGTATAGTATACTAGTTGCATTGAGGGAGAGAAGAGTTGATCGCTTGCAGGCATAACTTGTCGCAGTTGGTGATGGGTGATGGTAGATGTTGAGCGGGACTCGGGGTTGGGCGCAATCGGCCGAGTTGGCGGGCGGAGCCGATTCTCTCGCCCGCGGAGAGTTTACTTACATCTAAGGTTTTTGCTTTACTTTAGAGTTAAATATAATGCCAGAACTTGAAGATCCCAACCCGGGATACATAAATGTCAAATGCCTTTTCCCTTCTATGTGCATGATGATAAATAAAACCAACCTTGGAAAACGCCGTGAATGAGACTCGTTAATCCTTACATGCAGTTTTTACCAAGCCCCGACAATACCCGCAATTGGAATGTCGATACCGGTTGTATAGGAACTGGCGTCGCTCAGGAGATACACGTAGGCACCTCCCAGCTCACGAGGATCCGCCAGACGAGGCATGCCGCCGTAGTATTGCATCTTTAGATCCCAATCGGGGGACTTCTCCACGTAGTAAGTCATTGCCGTCCGCACGAAACCAGGGGAGATGCTGTTGACGCGAATACCGTGCTTGCTCCATTCCATGGCGAGAGTGTGGCACATGTTGCGAACTATCAAGAAGAATGGAATTAGATTAATGAACATGTTGCAAGTTTTTGCTTTGGTAACTTACCGGCAGCCTTGGTGGCACCGTATGGAGCAGAAGGAGCAGCCTAGATGATGAATGAGTCAGTGGACTTTGATTTGGACTTTAATTCCTCTTTGTCAACGATTTGAATGACTGGCTTACTCGGTTTGGTCGGTAAGAGGTCATGCTCGAGGTCATCACGATGGAGCCCTTGATACCAAGCTCGATGAACTTGCGAGCAGCAACCTGGGCGCAGAAGTAGGCGCCGAAGACCTAGCACTGTGTAAGTAAGGAATACCGCGAGGAAGCAACACCACGAGACGGAACCCATGGCCTTACATTGAGGTTGAACAATTTCTCCAATTCAGGTCGGTCAAAATCGAGTGCTGGCTGGTGCTTGGTCATGCCAGCATTGGCAACAAGACCGTCAATACGGCCGGACTGCTCGACGACCTGGCTGATGGCCTTCTCAACACTATCCTCCGAAGTCACGTCTGTTTGAATGAAGTGGAAGTTGGGGTAACGCTTCTTCAGGGCGGCAAATTCCTCGCCGGGCTCCATTAGGTCGAGCGAGTAGACCAGATTGGCCGAGTTTGCCAGGCAAACCTCTGCGATTCCAAGACCAATTCCACGGTTGGCACCGGTGATAGCGACGACCTTCTTACCAAGAGTGATCTGCCAGCTAAAATCATCGGCCGGCATTGTGCTCAAGACAGGAGCGGCGGCGCTATCAGTGGCAGCAGGAGGCATGATGCTGATTTTCGAGGCAGGTTTTCGGGAGAAATTGAAGTTGTTGAAGGCTGCTTGCTCCTATACGTTCGTTTAACGTGAATGACGTGAAAATTCCCTCGGTGGCCCTGACTGCCTTTAATAGTTACCATCACTCTGGCTGCACATAAAATCATATCTACCCACCCCTCCTTCAATGCTGTCATTTCTCGGGATTGGGACGACCAAAATGCGGGGATGTGCATCCTCGACACGAGGCAGGTCCCCCATTTACCATCAGCATCAGCATTCAGCCTGCGCGATCGGCCAGTGTGGGGCTGAATTTGCCACGCGAGCACTACTCGTATGTATGTATAGTCTGTATGGCGTACCGGGCCTTCAAATGAACGCAGAGCCAGATAAATGCATTTTCTGTACAAGACCGCCATCTCGAATATCAAGGGGAGCTGTTCGAAAAGAAATATTGAACTCAAGTGAACTAAAAACAGAGGTGGTCGCACAGAAGATCGTCAGCGCATCAACACCGCGCAGTCTTGTCCTTCCTTGTTCTTCCCAAACTGGAACGAACAAGCCTGGTGAATGCTAGCCAGGTTGAATTTCGACCGGAAGTTCAATAATGATTCGTTCATAGAAACAAACAAACTGTATGCCGCCGATGGGAATGGCTGTTGGATTCAATGGTAGAATATGGAGGAGAGATCAAAGGCAGTAACCAACCCGCCGATCAAGCACAGATAGAATTCCAGATCCCCCTTGCTTCCTTGTTAAGGGGTCAGCCCACGCCATCTCTTGAAAGAATGATCCTCAATTGTTGAGCAAAGTTGGCGAAGCGAATGACCTCCGGGTCTACTCCGGACTGCTTCTTCAGCCACCCCATAAAAAGCTCATCCACTTGAAATCTTCGGTGCAAGTGCTACATACCTCGTGTCGATCTGACCTCGTGGGTTCGGTACCCCAAGACTACAATCTGCCTCGCGACGAGTCACTCGGAAGCCGGCCACCGGCAGTATTGGCGATTGGGTTTGGCGGAGCCGTTCTGGCTTTGCGGAGGCGGGCCAAAGTGGACACTCAACCCCAGGCCAACTTCCGGATTCCGGTCTAGCACGACCGTATGGGATGATGGGATGCTGACCCCTACCGTCATAGCCTACAGCCCATACGGGTAGAGGACTATATTGTTCCTACTAGTGGCTGAGAAGCATATATATTCCACATTCGCAGACGAATCGTCTCCTTAGCCCCCTGTCATCTCTATCACTCCATCGCTTTTTTTGTGACATTGCCTTTAGAGCCCATCATGTCTTTAAGCACTGCTGGGGACTTAGCCAAGATGGAAATATCTTCCGAGAAGATTGAACATGCTGATATCGATGAAGAACCCTCTTTCACCCCCGAAGAAGAGAAGGCGTTGGTGAGAAAGATTGACATGACTCTGCTGCCGACGATATGGATCATGTATCTGCTCTCATATATGGACCGTACAAAGTATGCTGCTATCAGTTCAACCTTCATAGATCAATGGACTGACTTAAACCTCACTTACAGCATCGGAAATGCAAAGATTTCCGGTATGGGGACGGACCTGAACTTAACTTCAGATCAGTACTCGATTGCCTTGGTTGTTTTCTTCGTGGGTTACGTGGTATTTGAAGTGCCTAGCAAGTACGTTGTCCAGAAATCCACGAATGGTCACTATATGGGCTGACCTGATCTGTTTACTAGTCTAATCCTCGGCCGAACTCGACCCTCCCTTTTCTTGCCAGGAATCATGATTCTCTGGGGGACTTTGACTTGCGTGATGGCAGTCATTAAGAGCTACAAGCATCTCGTCATTCTTCGAGTCATAATCGGTTGTGTTGAAGCTGGATTTGCGCCTGGTGTCTTGCTCGTACTATCATCATGGTATAAGCGCACAGAACAGTCCAAGCGATTTGGAGTTTATATCTCTGCGGCAATTCTATCAGGTGCCTTCGGAGGACTTATCGCAGCTGGTATCGTTGATAACCTGGAGGGTGTCCACGGGATTCGAGGATGGCGATGGCTGTTCATCGTTGAGGGAGCTGCTACCATCGGATTCGCCATCATCTCCCTGTTCATTCTCCCCGACTTCCCAGCAACGTCACGACGACTGTCTGAGCGTGAAAAGCATATCGCGGTCGCTCGATTGGCCAGTGAGAACGTGACTGCTGTCACCGCGGATGGGGAGAAAAATGGGCGATTTGGAGGCTATCAAAATCGCAGTAAAGGATTTACGAACTTGGGCCTTTGTGATTGGATACATGGTAAGAATCTCAATTATCTTCAAAAGCCAATGACTCCGGGTCATTCTGACACAAGGTTATGTTTACTAGGTCATCGTTGGCTCGAGCACTCTCACCTACTTTTACCCGACTTTGGTCCAGGGATTATTCGAAGGTGCATCTACCTACCGCGTCAATCTTCTCACGGTCCCAATATATGGCGTGGCCTTCGTCTGTACTGCCGTTACCGCCTACTTCAGCGACAAGATCCCAGCTTGGCGAGGCCTTGTTATTGCCTGCTGGCTAGCCTTCTCGCTAGTATGTTCTATCATTGTATGTGTGGTGTACAACTTCACTGCTCGATACGTCTTACTTGTTTTAATGGCTGCTGGTCTATGGGCAACCAATGGTGGTACGCTGGCGTACGCCTCATCTGCATTCGCCAGCATGCACCCTCAAGCACGAGGTGTGAGTCTGGCTCTAGTCAATGCACTGGGTAACCTGGCCCAGATCTATGGATCGGTAAGAACCTGCAATTTTCCACCATGTGACATGTATGAAGCTAACGATGACTACCTCTAGTACCTGTTCCCGGACTCTGACAAGCCCAAATACATTATGGGATTTTCAGTTATTTCTGCGATGTTGGCTGTAGGAATTGTTACTTTCGCAGGCCTGCATGTTTGGTTCCGCCGTCGCACACAATCTGTGATTGAAGAATAGTAACATTGGAAGTCGAAAATAGGTTTCACTGGCAAATGCCGGACATGTTATACTATATTTACTACCAGTAGGTATTACAATGCAGCGAACTAGTTATGACAACTTCAAGTTGAAGTTTATGAATCAATGACGATTGTATTATTTGCATAAGGGTCATATTGGTAGACTGGTGCCCAAGTTCGTTTTCCTTTTTGTCATTCTTGGGAAAATTCCATGTGGTACACGTACGACGTAGTAACTACTTCAATAGGCGAGTTAAAGCTGGAATTGTAGAGTACTCGTAGCTTGTAATGTTCTAGAGGCCAACTCTTTTGAGTTGTTTGTCGTGCTTTCTAAATGGCGACATGTCGCTGACGAAGGAGTATATAATACACACTCTGGTATGAGTTGAAGCCATATATATCTAAATGGGTTCTCAAGTTGAGAAACTTGGGAGGGCGTCTTTGGCATATTCGAGCTCAAGCTCCTTTCGGAGTGAAATCAAAGGCCACTGGACCCGCCGCTGACAAGACTCCAGGAGCTCTAACAAGGCTATGCGCTCATGAGGGGTATAGACACACATTCCAGCTAAAGAGCCATTAATCCGGTGATCCTGATCGTGTGATCCGAAAGAGACTTACCTCCAAACAAGCAGTGTATAGAAACTAGGCTAGCCGCATGGTCCTGTTCATCGATGGTCCTTGCAATACCGCAGATGGTATTCACAGACAGACTTAACAGATTTTGCGCCGCACGGTAATCCTCCATACCCCCAGTGGACGGCCGGTGAAGGACCACAAGAATACGGGCAAGGCTGTGCACTTGCAACGCCGCAGCGTAGGCAGATGGATTTACCCAGACTGGTGGGAAGGTGTGAATGTCGGAAGAGAGAGGTAGAGAGTTGTATTCCGGCGGGAGGTGATCAAACCATTCCTGCAGCAGGAACAGAAGTTCACTGCCACGTTCAAGACGTCGGGAGAGGTCCGATGTTTCTTGCTCTTCTCTTGATGTATAGTTGACACACTGTGCTAGGAGATATGTTGCACGTGTTGCTAACTCCGAGGCAGTCAACAAGGACAGGGGCTTCTTTGGTTGCCAGAAACTAAAAACTCGACGCCGCTCTCTCATCGCTACCCACACATCTTGCCGTATCCAAGCCCACCAAACTGCTTGTCTCAGGCCACCAGATTCCCCATCGTTGTCCTGAAAGCGTTGGATCCAGAAGACGCCTTTAAGGTGTCGCTCCCAGTCCTGATTGGACCCGTCAATCATTTCATAGGTACTGATGAGCAGAGAAGTTGCGATCACTTCAAGGCTGCGAGCATACGATGGGTGTTGCATGGCTCGATTCAGGTAATGAAGGGTTTCATAGTAATATTGCACAGCCAAGTTCCTGTCGATTCTGTCTGGGCTTGCGGTCTCCTCTGAGAAGGGAACTTCTGCATGAATAGACTCATGCCCGTTTTGATTTTCATCGGAATGCAGAGAGAGGTGGCGTGCCGAAAGAGCCAGGAGTGCACGCATCAGCCCGACATTTCTCAGGGCAAGGTGTGGCACAACGGTTGAGAAATGCTTAATAGGGTCGTAAAGATCCAACCATTGGCTGGAGAGACGCACGAAGTGTGTAAAAAGAACATGTTCCAAGTCAGACAATTGTATCGGGGCGTGCGTGCTCCATGACAAGGGGTCGTCCGATACGGCGGAGGCCCCATCGGGAGTTTGCGAGGCAAGGCGTTGCTCGATTTCCGGGTTTCGAGCAAAGGCCGCGGCATAGAAGCTTTCACGCTCTCGCAAAGTCCGCGGTCTTAAATTGGAGCTATTCTGGGGGTCTTCGACCGGCTCGCCGGCGCGCGACCGGGGAAATTGCTGGGGAGGCGAGAGCAAAAATCGGTCGTCTGCATTAGCAGCATCGGTGGCAAGCAACTCAAACCAACTGAGTGGTGCAACCCTGGTCGACGCAACCGACGTATCTGTTCCTGGAGAGGGGACGAATCCATAGGTTTGCCCGGGCGTTGTGAGAGTGGCCGAGGCGTTTGTGACGGAATCTGACTCGGCTGTTGTAGCTGGTGTTGAGTAAGACTGGACTGAATCTAAATGAATGGGCTCTTCCTGGTGACATGCATCAACGAGGACCTGCAGCGATTCGTGAATTTGATTCGACTCGATCTCTCTCTGGCCCGCGGGTGTCTGCATGTCGGGGATCGGACTTTGACGCAGAGAGTTGCCGCCGATTGAGGCATCATGGGAGGTGTAGACACAGGGACGTTGACCTTTGGCGCAGGGTCCACATTGAGGTCGAATCTGGGTGGATTAGAGTGAAATGAGAGGGAGGTCTATTGATGGCTGCGCGATAAGAGCGCCCGGAAGGGAAGCAAAAGAGTGGCCTACCTCGTCACATTTCACGTGGCAGCGCTTGCAAATGACACTATCTCGATGGATTAGACTCGTTCTAGTTACTCTGTAGTCTATCTGCAAAGCCCAAGCCCAAAAATAAGAAAATCCGGGGGAGGGGGGCAAAGCAAAAAAAAAGCACGTACCAGCCAGTAGTGGCTCTCAAGCCGCGACCACGGGATTTACGCTTCTGCCGCGACGCGATCCTAGCCATGGCGCAGAATCATAATAAAACGGGTACTCTTCGACTCGAGGGTCATGGTGAAAGAGGAAAACAAGATCGGGACGAGGTGTGCAGGAGAGTCGAGAAGTGGTTAGAGTCGAAGTATCGAATGACCGGGGAGGAAGAAGAGAAGGATGAAGTTGCCGGGGAGGACCGAGTCACCTGCCTGTCACCTGATATGATTGGCCCGTGACTTCCATCAACCTCCACCAGCCTCCACATCTCCACATTTTCCTTTTTGGTCGTGCTGTCTGCCTCGACACGAGGGGGGTTGGGGGGTGGGGGGGGGGGAACTCCGTCGCGAGGTTGATTCCCCAGAGACGTCATTCGTGGGGGAACAACTACGGGGGCATCACTATACATAAACTCGCTCAGTTCAAAAAGACCTGATCACCGCTTGGCTTGGTGGAAGAGGATTCAATTGCATCACAGTCATGACGACAGAAACCAACAGGACTCGTCAGATCCTAGAAGACGCAGAGAAGGGCCAATATGGAGTGTTGGCGGCAATTGTGTGAGTTGAGCATTGAGATTCAAGATTGAGAGAATCACCATGATAGGCATTGACAACCTCCTTCAGATATAACATCGAACACATCACAGCCATGGTGAAGGCCGCCGAGCAACGCCGGTCGCCTTTGATTATTCAACTCTTTCCATCATCATTACTGCAAACACCATCGCTGGTCTTTGCTGCAGCGGCCGCCGCGAAGAGTGCCACTGTCCCCATCTCTGTGCACCTTGACCACGCACAAGATTATGAACAAATTAAACATGTCGCCGACAACCTGCCCTTCGATTCAATCATGGTAGACATGAGTCATTACGAGAAAGAGGAGAACTTGCAAAAGACCCGCGTACTACGCGATTACTGCCATGCGCGTGGTATATCAGTCGAGGCAGAGACCGGACGCATCGAAGGTGGGGAGGATGGTATCATAGACACGGGAGATTTAGAGGGTAAGCATTTCAGGAGGAATTTCAGGGGTATGGGCCCAGTCTGATAGCAATCATAGGAATATTGACCAACCCAGAGGACGTGGAGGAATTCATCACAGCTGGTGTTGATTTCCTTGCCCCTGGAGTTGGTAATGTGCATGGAGATTACCCCCTGGAAGGTCCTAAGCTGGACATGGACCGGTAAATTTCCACCAAACGGAGGGCAAATTAAGATAACCAACTCGCTAACAAAACTCTACTCACTCTAGACTTAATAAAATATTTCACTCAATGAACGGTCGTGTTCGATTGGTCCTGCATGGAACCAATGATTTTTCACCCGAGTTAACGAAAGAATGCATCAAGGCGGGGGTGACCAAAGTCAACGTCAATAAACTCGTGCTGGACCCCTGGCATGAAAATCTGCAGAAGAACGCCACTTGCCCTTTAACAGAGTTGATGGAGATGGGAATCCGGGCACTGAACGAAGAGATGCAGCGTTGGATGGACATCGTCGGGAGTAGTGGAAAAGCATAAATATTGAAGAGAATGAATGTCACTCTTCATAGAGAACATATTGTCATACTGTTGATAGACTACTTAATGTTGATGATATATTCGTTCCAAGGTTCATGTTAGAAAACATAGACGAAGGCAACTATTTCTACTCCTCATTGATAGTCTCAAGGTGGAGAGCGGGTACATTCAAGGTGTCTTCTGTCGTCATTCTTATTTAAACCACCGGCCAGCCAGATGAAAAGTCGATTGTGTTCCAGCCAAACAACTTTTGACTATCAGCATAACCCACGGTAGTATCGACATAGTGGTAGTATAACACCGGACCGAGGCTTGAATCAGTAAAGACTCCCCTGCTGATGATTAGACATTGCGACGGAATAGTAGTATTGCCTACCACGTGGTCGGGAGAGAAAATAGGAAATCCAATATAACTTACTGTCCACCGGGTCCATATACTGTGCCATGGCTCTCCAAAACCACTGTGCCCCCTCCACTGGTGCACGCGGTGCCAGACTTATCGACCTATAGAGATGATATGGATGTTAGTTCAGGAGTTTGCAAGGCCCAAGAGGTTGTAGCTTACAAAGTTACCAGTCGCAGAAGTCGATCGGCAGACCTTGATCTTATATTCGGCTCCACTCGCCGGACGGGAGGTATCATACCCGCAGCAAATCCCAGAGGAGTAGAACAAGTAGTAGTAACTGCCGTACTTATACATGTAAGCACCCTCTTGAGCGTGGGTTCCAGATGAATCGTAAGCGATATTGTAGGACGAGGATGCGACCTTGGTTGCCGCGGAATTCATGGGTGCTTGGTAGAGGTCATGCCAAAAAGACCCAAAGTTCATATAATAAGTGCCATCCACATTTATCAGATTCGGATCAATGGCATTATAAGCCTTGGAAGATGAAGAGGAAATTCCTGTGGTGCCTTTGTCTGTCCAAGAGTTTAGATTCATAGTATCGGACGTAGCAAGACCGATTGCAGAATTTTGGGATCCAAAAGTTGAAACTGCGTAGTACACGTAATAGACGCCATTTACGAGCTGGGCATCAGGGGCCTAGGTAAGAGATAATCAGCAGATCGCTCTGATTATTGCGGTAGATTACTGTCGCTCACCCATAGGTCATCGTTTCCATCGAGATCAATGGAAGACCCAGCAGGTACCACGGAGCCAATCGCAGTCCAAGGCCCCTTGATGGATGATGCACTCGCATAAGAGATTTTATTTCCAGTGGAAAACCGGAAGTAAGTACCATCAGAAGATCTTTGTATCAAGGATGGGTCATGAACATTGCAAGACCCGGAGCAGCTGCCAGGGTTCGCATATCCATGCACTAAGCTTCCAAAGAGAGCCGCAGAGATGGATAATACACGAAACATCATTGTGTTGGATGGGATCATGGAAGTGAATGCAGACGATTCTAAAAGCAGTTCATAGTTTGGGATCGCTATTTATGAGTTATATACGCAGCATAGTGGATAAGCCATTCGTGGAAACCAGTCCAGATCTAAAAAGGAGCACGGGTGAATGACCTTAACGGAAAGGTCCGTCGATTGGCTTTTAGTATAGAGAACTTGGGCAAATTTGCGAGCGGGGCGGGATTTCTCTGGGAGGGAGCGGGCCAGGGGTGGCTGTCTTAGTATGAAACTAAACTGTAACCTTGCTCTGACTGGTGGGAATTGGTTCAAGTATAATGCTGGCGCCACCACGACGGGGTGCAGAAAGACTAACCAGAGAAAGAGCTCTCAGACTGCGGGGGATTTTCTTCAGTCGGCTAATAGGCAGATGAATCCAAGGAAAAGCACCAGTAAAATTCACAGAGTCATGGTGCTATTAGCCGAAATCGAATGATTTCCATCCGTAAAGATCGACCGTAGAATCGAAAGAAATATCATTAGCGTTGTCATAGCAAGCCAGCCATCACCCGTGTTAACGCCTCATCCTCTGCCTGAAACACATCTAGGGGATTCGGGGCACTTCCGGAACCACCCTGAGACATTCCCATTTCCGCCTCGTTAGCGATATCGGGTCGAGGCTCAAAACAGAACCCGCCGGCTATTTCAAAGAAGCTGCTAAGATCCTCGCATCCATTTGATTCCACTTCGGGGGCTGCATTAGGAGATAATGGCCAAAAGCTTGCCGAAGAACCTTGGGGGTGGGAATCCCAGGCGTCTGATATAAGTCAGATGCAATCTTAGACGATGGAGAATCTTTTGTCAATGACGCTGAGTCTAAGTCGAATGGATTGCGAAAAGGAAATGGTTTTTCTTTCCACGGGGTGCCGAGGGAGTGAATGGTCGCACTAGAGGCGCCACGGGAGTCAACAGTGTGCTGGCTCGCCCGTTGAGCCTGCCATGGCACACTAAGTTGAATGCGTTTGAGGCTGCGGATCATTTTCTGCAGCCTCCGAGAAGTTCTCGCCCGGGTCGCCGAGCGGCGCACCATACCGACTGCGGTGTAGAACTCGGGCCGACATAGTTGGCTGAAACGAGCCGGCGCATGCAAAACCGCAAGGAACAAAGCCGCGAGAGCCGAGATTAAGAAATAGTTGAAGGGCTCCGGGCGCCGAAAATAAACATTTGAAACACGACTGTAATAGTCTAGCATATGAATCGTGCTCTTTGCTGTTTCCACGGCTATCAAAGCGCCGGGTATGTCGTCTAAAATCCGATCGCCACTGAGTAGATTTTGTCGATAGACAAGAATACGTAGTTGGTTGGCCTGTAAAGCTAGTAGCACCTGGAGCATTCTGGTACGATCCGTATGTTCGGGCCCAGCAGGTGAACGCCAACTAGGGTCGAAGCGTAGTTCGCGTGGAATAGAATGGACCCACTGCTGCACTTGAGCATCGAGAAACGAGCAACCCTCCGAAGTCGCTTCGCGTGATCGATTCGACCAGCCCACTATCAGGCCCCATATTTTAGTACCCAACCGGGCATAGGAGATCAGACATGTCAAGTACGGTGTGGAATGGCCAGGTTCCGGAAGGTTGGTATCCATGTCGGAATCTTGAATGGCAAATGGCAGACCTGTGCCAAATGACCACTTGCGATCGAGTACATAGATACACCAGAACAGTCGACTGGCCCATATCCATTCTAAAGCGCCTGGAAATACGCCACCGGTCTTTTTCCATGTCTCTTGTCGATGAAGACCAAGTTCCATACTGCCTCGAGCCGCCATACCTGTAAGCCGCCACGCGATGACCTCGTCGTCGCGATAGGAATGAAATACTGACTGTGATAGTTAGTCGACCAACTGTGCAATGATATGAAGTTGGAATCTTTGACTCGCCAGTAATGTCAATATTAGGCACTCTTTCATATCCACCTGCGCAACTTTGAGTCGACTCGCAAAACGATCTTCCACACTATCAGCCAGTTGAGCTGCTCGCTCGCTCTGACCATGGCTTTCTACCAGCAGGGCAGTAGCAAGGAGAATATTCAACACTTGAATGTCGCGGGCATGAAACCAATCTTCGTCTGTTCTTGATGGCCTCCGTGCCGATGATTTGTTAATAGTCGAGGTTTGCGAATGATAGTATTCCACGACATAAGTACGCAGACTAGCTAGATCGACACAGGGATACATAATACCGACTGTGTCTTCGTAGACTTGTACAAGACGCAATGTTTCTTCCAACCCCAAGTCTTGCAAGGAATGTTGGCTTGTAGATTTCTCGGTTGGCATCGACCCCGCTAAGCTCTGGGCGACTGGAGAAGCAGGATTCCCCTGGAAGCTTTGTGCATGAACCTTGTCGCCATCATCAAGTGCATACAGCAAAGAGTCATCTGGATGGTCCAAACCAAACTCAGCACTCGTAGGCCCGACATAGGAAGGCGATTTAGGTGGGTTCAAAATGCGCTGTAAGCTACTCGGTGCGGCACTAACAGTCGGTCTTGACGAGGCAACATAATTAGCACTTTCAACTTCTTTCAAGCGAGCGGAAAGAGTCCGCATTTCCTCACGGAGCGTGTCGAGTTCCCGATCGACAGCCCGGAATCGCGCATGATTAGGCCTGAAAGACGCAAAAGAACCCATTAGTCACTCCAGAACAAGTAGTAAATAACCAAGTAGAAAGAAAAGGTTATGCAAGATGTCATAGGGAGAGGTTTCCATACAAATCATCATTGGGCGCGGGCTCCTCAAGTTGTCCTGTAGAACGCTGCGAAATATAGATGCAGGTAGTATTATCGCGTGTACATCGCATGCATACAGAGCCGCCGCTGCATTTCAGCTTGCGCCGCTTACACTCATTGCTTGGCCCAAGACGTTAGAAATCCCTCGAGAACGGAACTTCGGAATGGGGCCTACCAGGCTATTTGGGTGTATTTGGCCCGTTTTCGCGGGCGCAACGCGGCTAGATCCTCATCGGGTCTGATATCCATGGTCATCGCACATCTACTTCCTAATGAACTGCGGGAATGGTTGAAAGAACGAAAGCGAGATGAATTTAGATTCTCGGAATGACGGAAAAAAGGATATTAATGTGGAAGATAAGCGGAAGCCTGTGGTGGAGACCGTTAAATTAGGGTCCCATGGTTGGCATGGCCCCGTGGACTAGTAGCATGATGGTGCCAACACTAAAACTTGAGTTATCCTCGGTATTTCGGAACTACTCCACCTTGTAAGTCAAAGGATCTGCCAAAGCGTTCGGCGAGAAGGAAGGGCGGCGCCGCCTTCAACTCTACCTTCTTACAGGAAGAGTGCGGGACAGAGAAAACTGATATGATTGTAAAAAATCGCTTTAAACTCGAAGCTTATGAAAATGATCATCAACGCCTAGTCAGATAATGCAGGCGTCAAGTTTATACTCCAACATTTGAAAGTTTCCCTAGCCCTTCCGGTAGAAGTCGAATACAGATGCATGTATATTACAGTCGTTTCCTTGATCATAGGCTGCCGTCTAGATATGAGACTTACGGCAGCAATCCTTGTCTGCCAGTCGCGAAGATACGTTCTTATTTGAGGGAACGTCGATGGAAGGATTCTCTACGAAAAAGTCCGCCGGGCGGATCATAAGCTGGAATGTTTCAACAGGCCTGCTGCTATTAGTAAAAGGAAAGCATGTGGTTGCAAATAGGTTGGGGAGGAGATCATACATGACGGGCCAGTCTTCCACGCGAGGATTGTGGGTGATGCCAAACGAGTTCCAGACCACAACGTCGGTATCAGCCACAGAGTCACCTCGGCGAACGGCGTCTGCAACGCCATCAATCTCATATTGACTTTGTAGGGTGTACCGGCCACCCGCGTAAAGCTCGTTATCTTGATACTTTGTTACCCAGACATGATGCTGCGCGAACTGAGCACGGCGGGCTTGAACGGACTCTGGGTCGGCCAAAAGGTTCTGGGTGGCGAGAGGGATGAACTTGAAGCCAATAGGATTTCCACTGATTGGGTTAGTCTTGTGTGGATTGATCATTTTGATTGTCCTGTTATACTTCGGGGCCGCATCGATCCAGGATGCTCTCTCGACTGTATTTTTCGTGATCTGATAGAAGTTGCCATTGGGGTTGGTGACGGCGTTCATCGGGACTGGATGTGACTCCTCCACCACCACCGAATTCTTCTGTCCGTCGATAGCCGGGTCCATGCGGACACAGAATATGTGTTGGTGGTTCTGGGCGAGAACCCCTCCACTGACCACGTTGCCGTAGTCGCTGACCTTGCCCGCATCGATGTTGACGACATTTAAAATGCCGGTCGCTCGGGCCTCCACGGTGATGTCGCCTGACTGGTTAAACTTGTAGGCAAAGATATACTCATAATTCGCGAGCGTGATGATGAACTGCACGACAAGCTCCCTGTTACGAGTTACCACAGCCCGACCGGTACGCCAGTTGGAGTGCTTCCAGGCGATTCCGTTATCTTGTTCGTGAAGGCAAATTGCGTTAGGTAACTTCTCAGCAGTTCCATCTGGCTTTGTGATCACGGCATCAAAGTATTTTATCACACCCAGGCAGTCACACCCAAGAGAGAGATTGTTGGCCATGTTTCCACCGCCGCCATCGCCGAAGTCGAAGGCCTGTTTTCGATGGAACGGAGGACGAGGATCGGCGTACGGTACAGTCTGTTAGGGAAGGGGGCGTGAGCTCCAAGAACATAAAGAAAGTATGAGGCTATATGTGTCGACGCAAGCGCAATGAGGCAGACACTGGCCAGAGATTGGAACATACCATTTCACTGATGGCCAACCGATGCATCACGCTGCGGCCATCGTACCACAGATCGTGGATCGTCGCACCTTCACGTGGGTTGAAGCCCACGCGGAACCGCCACTTCTGCCATTCGACCAGCGACTCGTTGGTGACGCGAAAGGAGGGACCCTCAGGTTGCACGACGTTCAGTGGCTTGAGGTCCGCGCGAGTACCCTCAGTAAGCAGCTCGGGCACATATTCGGAAGGCTTGCAGTGACCAATGATATCACGCTTGAAGGTTTGTTCTAACAATCCATCTCCTTTTCCTCCAGTGGCCGGTCGGTCAACACGGATGATCTGTTGGGTGTGTGCATCCAGCACAGGGATAATAGGCAGAGGAAAGGAGTAGAAGTTGGAGTCCGGGTTGCCAGATCGCTTATCTTGGGCAAAGCATAGTCCCTGGAAAAAGCGACGGTTCTCGTCGGTATTATCCAGTCCTCCATATGGCCAGGGCTCAATGACGACCTCGAATCCATCGGGTAGGGAGAACTGAGCGATGGCTTCCTGGAACAAAGGCGAGCTCATACACCGATCAACGAGCACGTCGAATTCGCTCCTACAAAGAGTTTGAATTAGCTGACAGGAAACTAAACAACCAAGCGTAAAATGAAGATTAAAACGAACAAGGTGAGGGACGCATGGTGCTGCTTTCCCACAACAGTATGTTTGATCTGCTTGTGAGCAACGAGATCCACCACCGACTCCTGATACTCAGGTATGCGATCAGCGCCGATGACGTCGTACTGGCATAAGGCCAGGCGCGGTGGGCGTGGAGTGGTTGGGCTGAGACGACCTGCATGTTCAAGGGCAAGAAACTCCAACAATTGAGGCTTAGGGGGTTCCTGCAGGAAGATCTCTCGGAAATCGATAAGAATGTTGTCGGGATGAGCAGCGCGGACGAGGTCACGGGCCACGTTGGTTTCCTCCGGAGAGAGAATGGCAAGGGGGTGGGCCACCATTATGTGTACTAGCATACAAAAAATGTAATGTAATTAATCTTAATTATTTTTGAAGCAAATTAGATAGGACACCTACCACCTTTTATCGTCTTTGATCTTTCTTGCTACGGAGTATCCCCAACGACATTCCGTCAACGGTTCCGAGCTTCCGCAAGCTCCACTTGACAGACTTCCTTGGTTCGTTTTAGTCTCCATTTAGTGCGAGGCGCGAGTTTTGCCCATTTAGGCATCCCCGGATTGACGGGGCAGCAGGCCTGTGGGATATAGTGACCAGATAGAAGATATCAAAGGTAGAACAGAGAGGGTAGAAGGGTTGCTCTGACAATCAATTAGATACAAAATATCAGCCGCCACCATGCGATGCTAAACAAGCAGCTAGCACTATTCTTGGAATAGTACAGTATTTTTCTTTTTTTCTCTCTATCGCCGCGCTGCTGCTACTGTTATCTCTCCCCGCATTTCAAAACCCAGTCTCAGCAATCATTCCCATTGGTTGCGACTTCGTATCTGGCGGGTCGATCATGGAATCTAGGAAGGACGGAACTCCCCCGCATTTCGTGGAGGCAAATGGCATATCAGGGATGCTTATGCCGATGACCCATGGCCATCAATGTAGCCACTGCAGTGGCCTGCACGCCCTTTGTCCTGATAAGGTCGTGATAAGCCGGCATGCAGCCCAGGTGCGGATTCATGCCCGCCATGCCCCTTTGATAGAATTATCTTAATTTCCGCCCTGTCCGAGGCTATATTCCTACCCTTATATTACGGAGAAGCCATTCCACTCCGAGGGTCTGGGCAAGAATAATCGGGCCCAGTCACCTACATAGCTTTCTAGTTTCAAAATGGATCCCCATACCGATCGACATCCAGACACTAAGATGGTCGCTTCAGACCCGGAGAAGCCCATTAGCGACGAGGAGCAGTTGGCAGCACTTGGTCATGTGCAAGAACTCCGCCGTGAGTTCTCACTATGGTCCATTGTATGCTTACAGATATCATTGATGGCCACCTGGGAGGCTCTTTCATCCGTCGTCGCCACGGCCTTGACTAACGGTGGTGCCCCTTGTCTCTTTTATAATTAGTGAGAAAACCCTAAACTCCGAGTATCTGCACTTTGGTTTCTAAAGGCCCTTTTCGTTATTACACAGCCTTATTGCCTTGATTGGAACGGTTTTTATTGTGCTTTCTCTTGGAGAAATTGCCTCAATCTTCCCCACTGCTGGAGGTGTGCCTCCCGATAAATTCTCCAATGCTGTCGGTCTTTTTGCTGATATACATTCAGGACAATATCATTGGGTGCATTGTCTCAGTCCACCTTCCTACCGATCAACTGCGGCCTGGTTCACTGGCTGGGTCTCCATCGGTGGACAGCTCGTTCTTTCAGCTTCCGCCGCTTTCGCTGCTGGGCTCCAGCTGCAGGCGCTAATTACCCTCAACAATCTCGATACATATGTTCCACTGCGATGGCAGGGAATGCTTTTCTACTGGGCGATACTGGCGTATTCTACAGCGGTTAATGTATGGGGATCTAAAATTCTACCACATACCAATCTCATCGCAGGTAAGAAGCCGCCCGCTGTCAAGAAGCTCCCCGAGATAGATGTATGAAGAGGCTAATATGACCACAGGAGTACTGCACGTTGTTGGTTTTATTGTTATTGTTTCAGTCCTTGGCTCAATGTCATCGAAGCATACTGCAACCTATGTCTTCACTGAATTCTCCAATAGCAGCGGATGGTCCAATGACGGGGTCTCCTGGCTAGTTGGATTGCTGAGCACAGTATACCCCTTTCTCGGGTAAGAATCCCATTTCCATAGAATCCAACTGGCAATAGGCCGCTGACAGACATTTATCTTACCAGGTATGATGCAGCTTGTCACCTGAGTGAAGAGCTTCCTAAGCCATCTCGAAACGTCCCCTTGGCTATGATTGGAAGCGTTGCGATCAACGGACTCATCGGTCTGGTATACACCATCGTCCTACTTTTCGCTTTGGGAGATCTCAACGGTCTTCTGCAATCAAAGATCGGCTTCCCATTCATGCAGCTCTTCCTCAACGTCACCGGATCTCCGGCCGGGGCATCGATCCTTGCTCTGTGTATTAGCTTGATCGCGCTCGCCGCAAACGCAGCCGGCGTGACCTCAACAAGCCGCACGGCGTGGGCCTTCGCTCGGGACAACGGTTTGCCAGCATCGGGATTCCTGTCAGTTGTCAATCCAAAATTGAAGGTTCCGGTTCGCATGGTGCTACTCGTGTCTTTTCTGCAGATGCTGCTAGGACTGATCTACCTCGGTAGTTCCACTGCATTCAATGCCGTTCTGTCCATGGCCATCCTGGGAATGTATGCATCTTACTTTTCGCCAATTCTCTTTATGCTGCTCTATGGCCGCCGCTCCTCCAGTCCCATAATCCGAGGACTTGGATCGGGTCCGTTTAATCTTGGGAACCGGTGGGGGCCCGTCGTGAACATCGCAGCCATGTTGTGGCTGGTCCTTGCGATGGTCTTTAGCACGTTCCCCACAGTTGAACCAGTCACGCCAGTCAACATGAACTACTGTGTGGTCGTCACAATGGGATGGATGGTAATTGGAGCGGTGTACTACTATCTACTGGGCGGCAAGAGGCACTTCACCGGGCCTATAGTGGAAATAGTCGAGGGAATGTAACGGCACCTATTAGCTAGTGGCAATCTAGATGAACGCAATACTATTCCTGATGATCGATACTATTTCGAGTTAGTTCGTAGCGTAAAGGCAACCACACAAACACGGCAAGGGAAAATAAAGCCTATTGGGATGGACCGTCTCCGAAACCTTACGCCAAGGGTTGGAGGGGTTGAAAGCGGGTCGCGAAGAGGGGCATATACAGGAGGGGACGGTGTGAGAAATCGAGAAAAAAAAAATATATAACCTTGGAAGTACCGTGCAAGTCTTGACAATCTCTTTGTTTCGGCTCCCAGCTGTGCTGATGAAAATAAGCAGTTAAGAAATATGACAACTACCAGCATTATCAATGTTCCACATCTGGGGGGCATTGAGGCGGCCTATCAAATGCCCGAGGCCTATGACTCGAACAAGCCAACGCTGGTACTGGTCAACGCTTTCACAACATCTTCTGAGCTTTATCGAGCTCAGTTCAGTGACTCGAGATTGACCGATCAGATGAATTTGGTTGCAATCGAGTTACTGGGTCATGGACAAACTCGTACTGCTCGTGAGCAGTGGACATACTGGGATACCGCGGAGATGAACTTGCAGGTTTTGGATGCATTGAAGGTAGATCGGGCATTCGTCCTGGGCACCAGTCAAGGTGGATGGGTCACCGTTCAAATGGCTCTCCTGCGGCCGGAGAAGGTATTGCCCCAATGCTGCTGGCTCTTTTCGTCGCTAAGAATAATTAGATCCTGGGGGTTATTCCTCTGGGGACCTCGATGGATAGCGAATCGGATCGAAGTCGTAAACTGGAATGTTGGGATGGCCCGGCAATTGTTTCCAGCTTTGTGGCACAGTGGGCATCTAGCCAAGGTGATCCCAACTTCGAACCGGACGACAGCTATTGTAACGCGTTGATCAACATCGGGTTCAATGAATGCTCGGATGAAACTCGGACTTTCTGGCAGTCGACTCTAAAATCCACATATCGTGGAGAGGAGGGTCGACGCCGGATTCGCATGGCCGCGATCAACTTAGCCGAGCGTGGGGGGCTTCACCTGCGACTTTCAGACGTTAAATGCCCCGTCAGATGGCTACACGTACGTGTTTCGCTGATTAGCTGACAGAGAGCGCCACTAATTCAAGTTCCAGGGAACCAAAGATGCCGTATACTCAGTGGCTAATGCGAAAGAGGAGATTGAGATGTTCGTCAACTCGTCGGATGCACAGTTAGTCCCAGTGGAGGGAGGCGCCCATTTTTTGAACTGTTCTCATCCGGCTGAGGTAAATCAAGCCATTTTGGAATTCGTGGGCAAATACAAGTAGTTATCTGGGGAACAAGTATGCTCCGAGTCCATCATGATGAGAAGCAGGAATATCGAGGGACAACTTGAAGATCAGAAACTGCCTTTGGCGATTGATATAGCACTTCCTAGTTATTAACCATTTCATAATCTCTGGTTGTCTTCCATTTTAGTCAATTTTCTTTCATTATTTCGTTGCTGCCGTGAAGAGATGGACTCTTTGAATATGGTTCGTAAAGCTCATGAGAATTAGCTGTGGTCATATACTATCCAACTATCTTTGGCGAATTGCCCCCAATAACGCTGCAAATAATCATTAACTCTGGTTGGCTTTATCGAACACAGTTTATTCAAAGCTGGCTCCACTATAGACCCATCACAGGCACAGACGATGGACAGCTGAAGCTCCATACGGGCGATAAACTGATGGGGGGAACCGAATTAAGTTTTGTTTGCAGTTGTTCCACTGTGACCTTGCGAGCTTCTACTGCCATGCCGGTGTGCTTCTGACAGAGAGCAACCAGCTCGTCAAAAGACAAAGTATCGCCAGCCATTCCAAGCTCTCTGCCCGCCCACGGTTCGGGTAGATCTAGAGCGGCAACGACAAACCGGCCCACATCTCGGATATCCGTCATTGTCAAATTTGGGGTCGTTCCATCCTGACGAACAGGTACATCCACCCATGGTGAGTGGCGGTTGTCAAGGTGAAACAGATATGGCCCTTCCTGGAAGCCGGCGAGAGCTTCCGTTCGGGTTGCATCACCTGGGCAGCCAATTCCGAGATAGTTCATGAACATTCCGCAAGGAAATCGAGCAGCATCGATGCGCCCTAGGTCAACAGAGGACTGCACCGCGCGCCAAACCACATTCTTAGCCTCTAATATATCCACCCTAGCTTGTGCCCAGCCCGATAAAGCAAACTCAGAAGGGGCAAAGCGATGACAGCCTGCTTCTTCCGCCGCATGAAGCAGATTTATTTGAGCCGTCACCCAGTCAGGACCGGGTATCAAGAGGACACTGATGACCACTTCGACATCGCACAGGGCAGCCACAAGCGATGAATGCGAATGGTAGTCGACTTGGCGAACTTCTAGGTTGCGAGGCCAGAGTTCCGAGGCGTGATTTGATTTGCGTTCTCGGGACAAGATGACCGGAAGATAGCGACCGCCAGTCGCCTCGAGGGCGGAAATGATAGACACACCAAGAGTGGAGCTGCTACCTCCAGCTATTGCGACACGCGCCATCGAAGGAGAAGGAGATCACCGAAGTCCGTGGAGGGAGGTAATACAGTGGGTGACTGGTGACTGATGAAAGGTAACCTGGGGGGGGGTTTATGTAGGCGCTGCGAGGTTGCGAGTTTCCGAGGTTGTGAATACGAGAATGTCCAATCATGTCGTCATCGCACGGTCGGAACAAGATCTCGGAGATCTTTGGCTGGATCAAAGTCCGACATCTCTCAGTCGTGAGTTCTCAGCCTAATTGCTTTGGGCTCGTTGAGGTTGTGTGGCTGCACGATAGAGAGTTGAGAGGTGGTGGGTGAGAGGGAAAACTGTTAACTAAGGGACGGGTGCATATGGTGTGTCTGGTCATGTGACCTGTCATCATAATAAACGCTCATGAACTTGACATTCAAGTTTTTACCTACATGAACCATGAGAAAAAGGAATATTATTGTTAGATGTAGTACGAATGCACAAGGGTTTCATTCATTCCAGTTCCACTGCCAGTGGTACCAATGCATACCCGGGCACATGGGCATGCTTTGCACAATTCTGCATACTACTGCCACCTGAGCATCGGTTAAGATATTCAAGTTCTCTGTATGATGCCCAGGTGGGTATCCGCTTGCAACTTAAAGCAGGGTTCTCGAGTGGGATCCTTACCCGGAATTCTAATATTGGCCCTTTGAAACCCCCGGAAATTGGGATATTCTAACAGCGGACCAGGAATATATATTTTGTACTAGTAAGTGCTACTAGTAGTACTACTACTAGCACTCCGGGCTGATTCGAGGTGTAAAGCCTGTGTGGACTCACTGCCCAGGTGGTAGGTGTTCCAAGGTTCAATTTATATACTACTACTACTAGTAGTACCTAGCAGGTATGCTACTTTCCAAGGTTTGTTGTAATTATCTACTAGTAACTTTGGAAACGACTTGAACTCCCAAGGTTCTGTATTGATAAAAGGCTGAAGTCCAATACTAGAATAGATGATGAAACCTGAGCCGGATGACTATAATTCGCGTGTTCCATCTAGATCAGTCCCATCAAGGAATCGTTATTTGGGGATTCTAGTTCTCTAGGGTCATAGTTGTAGCATACCAAATAGCTGCTCCACCGTACCAATTTAGAGAAGCTGATTTCTCTTGACCCGTATCTAGTGTGCGTGAACATGCTCCTCCAGCACTCTCGCACTGTTTAGAAATAACAGGAAGATTTCAGGATAAATGTGACCAACCCCGATAGTGGTCTGCAGCCGAGGGATTTCATCAAATATTCTCTACTCGCCTGCAACTGACTTTGTTAGGATGTCAAGGTGCAAATGCTGAGATAATAAGGCATATTTTATGCCCGGACAAGCCGCTAGAAACGGGAGACTTTGTTGCTCCAGGGCAAGAGGAAGGGCGAATGCAAACAACGGAGGAAAAAAGCCCAGTAGCAGATGGACTTCCGCATACATAATGCCGTTAGCTGCTTCGTCGACCGTACGGCTCGAAGGGAAATGCACCAGCCACAATAGCCATGACGATATATAGTGCAGCACATATGAAAATGGGAACAGGAGTTGTGGTCTGGTGTCAGGGTCAATATCAATTGCAAATAATGTGATGGATAGGATACGGCAGGGAAAATGATAACTCACATCAGCGGCTTCTCCGACAACAGCACTCACTATACCCATAATACGATTGAGACCAATAGCAACCCCGTTGCCGGTACCTCTGTGACCGGAAGGGAAAACCTGGACAGATTTTAGACCTGACTTTCTGCTTGAAGTGTTCATCCTTCGAAAATAAAATGATATCGTTGACCAACCTCTGGTGTATACGCATATAGTGTACCGTAATATATGTTCAAACAGAACGAAATCGCACATGTGAAGCCGAGATTCTGGTTCGCTGTGCGTACTTTAAGTGTAGCAGAAGAAAAATACCATGGTAATCATGGCGCCGATTATCATTGTTCCACGGCGACCCCAGAACCAAGGTGAGCGGCACATGAGCCCCGCTAGGACAGGACCGAAAATACCGCAAGTGTTGTTGATAGCATAATTCCGCCAGGTAATATAGTCACTCGCTTGACCAAAGCTCGCACCACGCGATGCGAGATATGTTGGCAAGAAGACATTGTATAGGGGATAGGCGAGGCCGATGAGAAGCCAGGAGAACCACACCAGTGTGGTGGAGATCGCCATCTTTTTTGTTGTGAAAAGGCCTTGTAAATGGTAAACCACTTCCTTGGAAGAAATGAGCCGTTTTGTCATTCCAGTTGCGGTGGTCTCGTGGCGATGAGATGCACCGCAGGCCTCCAGACGCTCTATGCTAATGCTGCACGGACGATTATACCGTGTCGCAAGATCTTGGAGCACCCGAACAGCCTCTGCATCCTTTCCTTCCGCGACGAGAAATTTTGGTGTCTCCTGCAGCCGAACGATGGTGATCCGAAGAACGGAAAGAACAAAGACAAAAGCCCCCGAAGTAAACCAGACATACCGCCAACCTTGGTTATTTTCTCTTGTGCAGGTGGCTGCATCAGAACAAGAGTAGTTTGGAAGGAAAGCCCATGCGAAAAGGCCTGCAACTAGTTGACCGAGGCCTGAGAAAATTGAAATGATTAGCAATGTCACGCAAATGAGGTGGTGGGAGAAGGCTAGATTGTTCCTTACCCCACCAGGCCGCCATGAGTGTCAAAAGCCATTGGTTTTTGCTGGGAAGATATTCGAGGAAGACTGTCGTATCCAGCACAAGGTTTCCCCCTGCGCCGAAGGCACTCAGGCAGATAAATAACCCTAGTGTTATCCACGATGGGGAGGCCCCAGCCACTACTGTGAAGACCGAGGAAACGAAAAGGGACACGTTGAATGCAAAGCGGCGACCGATGATATCGGCCGAAAATCCCCAGAAGATGGCGCCAGCCAGCATACCAACATAAACCGCGATTGTCAGACCCGTCGCGTAACTTGGTTGGAACTCTAGCCTAGCCTGGCCTGAGATAATGGACTGAATGAGGAGAATGAGCGAGTCGACGGCGTATCCGAAGCCATTCAAACAGAAAAGTTTCCAGTGGTGACGCGTAAATCCAATTTCATCGATGGCCTAAGAAGAATGGTTAATGGCCCGACATCATTAGGGCCGACAGATGAAGGCATTTCAAGGAGACACCCACGTCGTTGACAATCAACATCTTCGCTGCGAGCACTCGATCGACTTCCCCGCCCAAGAGGTCGTTCTCCCCATGGTCGATCGAACGCTCCCCGAGCGAGGGGCTGCTGGGACCCTTGGACGTGGCTTTGTCCTTGTCCATGGCCTCAGCAAGGCCGCCTGCGGAGCTCTCCAGATCCATAATGAGACGAATGAGTAGGTCTGGATCGGTAATGTTATGTTGCTAATATTGCGTTTTCTCCGACGACGCGTTCAAAGACGAGGAAAGCGACAGACAGATGAGGGGAGAGATCCGACAGTTGGGGACAAAAAACCATAATGTTGACCAAATTAAGCGAATTTGCACGATGTCCCTTTCCCTCAACTTGCCCGCTTGGGCTTTTTCTTTCGCCCGTGGCATCGTGAGATTGTGGTGACCCAATCAGTGCAGAGACGACAGAGACGTGCGACTTATCTAGCATGCCATGCTAACTCGATATGGTAAGAATCGACAGTGTGGGGAACTGAGAGCGAGTGGGGCTTTCCTTTGAACGTGACCCTCCCTGGCAGGACTTTCGGAGATATTGTGGAGATAATGTTAGATAGTCTATCATATCCCAGACTACTAGCACAGACAGTAATGCGAAGCCAGGAGATGGTTGTATGTGTAGAGTAGTATCCATAATTATACTAATAGGCTTTCTATCTGGTCATAGGTCTGAAAATCCCAACTTTTGGTAATATTTGCCTAGCTCCAGGGTTCCTTTAGATTGAGATGGTCCGAAATCAATGCCAGGTGCCCAGTATATCTTGCAAGGGAAATTTTACCTTAACTGGAGGAGAAATTGAACATGGGAGTACGAGAACTTTAAATTGAAAGCCGGGCCAAATATCTAAACTCAATGGATTTCACTTAGTTCAGTGTACTGAATTCAACAAAACTTATGATAGCAGTAAGCATGCGCTGTAAACATTGCAACTGACCGTGAAAGAACTGACCATATTAACTTGCGTTTGACGCTCAAACAACAACGCCAAACCCCATCTAGCACCTGGGACCCTGAAGCACAGGAATACAAGATCCCGTAAAGACAATGGCACCAAGCTGAGTTCCATTGGCGTTGTGGACGTATACCTGGGAGGACCGGGTACCTCTACAGGCGCCGAATCCGCTCATGGAAGCAAAGGCAGCTCGGAATGTATTGGTACAGGTAAGTTGGCCTGCGACCTTGGCATCGTCATAGCTAACATCATCGCTCTTGGCAAAGGCAGCAGATCCGGCAGACGCTTTTCCTGTGATGAAGGCTTTCGCGCAGCTATTCAACATCAGCTGGACCAATACCGTGAAGCTTATTAAGGCTTTAGAAACGATGACTGGGTAAAATAATCACACAACTAGCCTGTCGAAAATACCGTCAAAGGTATCATCCTAGAAGATTGGAGCTAAACTAGAGCAACCATCACCACCGCCCTCGGTCTTCACAACGTCTTTGAGTTGAGCTCAATCGGCAACAACAGAGATAGGCAAAAGGACAGCTAAAGATTATGCCGCGAACATAGAGGCGCACGTCTTGAAAAATCCTAAAAGATTCACACAAGTTTCTTAGGAGGGGATTGTTGAGAGACCGATCATGAAGAGAACGATTACAGCTTATACTGAAAGTAACATCATATTTATACTATTTCAAGCGGAGAAATACTTGGTAATTAGGAGAGAAGTCTTGAAGAACTTCAATGTACTTTCTCAAGTTAGTCTAGTTGAACTTGCAAAGAGGAAAGGCGAGATCGGGAATAAGGGTCGGCGTGAAGGCTCTGGTGTAGGAGACCCATTTGGCTTCCACAACAAACGAGATAAATTCGGCGACGAGAGCCATATTTATTGCATTCAAGTCATGTATGACTAAAAGGGGCTCCTCTTGTATCCGGAATAGGTAATATAATGTAGATCGGGTATAACTTTGAAGGATGAACCTAAGCCTGAGTCAGTTGTGCCCAGGGTTGAGTAGTATATACGATGTTGGCTCCCACTGCCAAGCACTGCAGCCAATAGGTAACTACGAGCCAAGAGCCTTGAAATCCACTATAAAACATCGGGAGAAAAAGGCCCGCGAATAAATTAGTTTCGTCCGCGGTATTCAAGGCCGAAGACTACATCGCAACATGAGCAATTACTTGGCTATATCGGGGAGGTATCAACATTGGAAGCTGCGTTGAAATTCAATTCAAATTGACGTCGGTCCCAGAACATTATCACCAGCCTTTCAAGAGAGACCTACGACCTCATAGTTCCAGTTGCAAGTAGCATTAGCACTCTGCGCCACGACATTCTTTGTCCCAATCGCTGATGCAACAATCTGATTAGAGCCATCAATGACCTGAATTATCTGCCCACCTCCAACAGCAAGCCCTAAGACACTATTATAGTTCAATCCCTTTTGACCAACAAAACTGCCAATTAATTTGCTGTTACTGTAAACCCTGATAGTATAACCAGCAGAAGGCAAGATAACAGCAAAGTTCACCGCATCACGAGCCGATTGATAATTAGCAATCGAAGAAGAGCAGCTTGCAGTAGTCAAAAGGGGTCGATACCAAAAAGCACCAAGAGGCTTAGTGCTAGGCGGAACAATTTGAGAGATACTTGTCGCGCCACCCTTGTAGGCTTTGATGAACGGTGTAATGACCTGCAACCAGCCCTTGTGATCGTATCCGTTGGCGTAGTCTCCGATATTGCTACCTGCAATTTGTTCTTGCCAGAAGTCACCGACGTAGTGACTCTCGCCGGCGTCATTCCAGGTGATGACTTCCACGAAATCAGGCTGGAGCTGCAAGGCTTGGCTCATGCGCTCGGGCAGGTTTACTTCGCCAACACGGTACCAGTCTTGACCGCTGCCCATGTACTTGAACTGTAATGGCGACATTGCTATTATCAATCTTTTAGTAGCTTCCTACTTGCGATATTTAAGGCTGAACTACTCACGCATCATGTAGAGCTTTCCGGCCGCACGAGCCTGCTGCAAAGCCGCCGAATCAACCTGACTGCTGACATTGGTGGGAGTATTACCGGGAGCTGGCCATGCAGATTCCCAGCTGAAGACACCATCGAGGATAGGATAGGACGTGAAAACGCCATTGGGATAACCAGAGAAGTCATCAAAGTCGGGAATGAAGAATGGCTTGATACCATACGTCGAGGTCATAGGCTGAATAAATCCGGAATTCCATTGCGCGTTGGAGACTGTGCCACCAGTGAAGGTGCTAACGAAAGCTTGTCCATTTACCTTGTAGTATGCGCTTTGGCTGGCGTATGGTGCCAAAAAGGCTGCAAGCTTTGTGACATCCAAGCCCCAGCTCATGTCAAATGAGATGAATAACTTGAAGTTGGTTCCTGATGCAGCGGCAAAGAGATAGTTCAGCGCGTTGATATTCCAAGTATCTGATGAGCTGATTGTATGAGTGTTCAGGGCAAAGCCGTCAAAACCTGCGTTTATTGCATCTCTCACATCGATAACGGCCTCTGCTGATGTCATGGATCCGACCTAATTGTCCTCAGTCTCTTATAAATAGAGGGATTGGGGCTGAGTACCATATAATGCGCAAACACGGCCTTGGTGCTACTTGGCAGTGTGGGAGTGGTTGTCGCAGACTTGGTGGATGTCGTGGTAGTGGTGGTAGTAGTAGTAGGGCCTTGGTGATACTCTTAAAGACTGAAGGGTAAATAATCTTCTTGGAATCATACCTTTGGTTGTAGTGCGTGTAGTAGTAGCCGTTATTCCACTTCCAGCAGAAACCTAAACCGGAGGAGTCAGTAGTTTACTTTTCATTACCTCGTCTCCGGGCGGCATACAAGTCTAGCAGTAGTAGCAGATCCTGCCTGACCGGAGGAAACACAAGTACCAGCAACAGTGCCAGTTGATTGGTAGACACCAACAAGTCCAACCTGGCAACAGAAGTCGTTACCCTGTAATCCTTGCCACAGCGACCAACTTGAGTCGGCGCATTTAGGTGAGCCCTCAACCGCACCAACACAGACTGAATCTTTGGTGCAGGGTTAGTGTGGGCCCAGGGGTATTAATTCAATATAAATATAGGTCCTTACTTGAAGTGCAGCACGAAGCGACCTCAGCGGTCTTTGCACTGAAGCAGTAAAGACCACTTGGGCAGCATCCTCCATCGTTACAGGATTGGGATCCGCTAGGGCAGGTGCTAGCCTGAAGAGACCAGCCCTGAAGAATGGAACGCTGGGATATCACTGCCGCAGAGGCAATCTGAAGGTAAGAGAGCTCCAGAAGCACTAGAGTGGAATAATGCATGATCAAAGGATTTCAATAAACTGATTGAGTACGGTAGAAGCTGTTGCTGACCAAAAATATCTCATTTTGCAACTCTTCGTCGACTCTATATATGACATTTTCTGAAATTTCACAGTAGTGAAGTCTTAGAGCACGTAGACGCCCCACCATTGCAGCAGGATGCGGGGATTCCAAGACGTTGACTTCGGAATAAGAAGTTAATCTAAAGGGCGAGACAGATACCAGTAGAAGAAATTTAGCGATGGTATGTTACATTAAATTAGCGAGCACGGGAACTAACCATGCTATGACCTCCTCGGCTAGTATGGCCGCTTTGGTCATAGATATAGGCCGAATACCCAGGTATGTGGACTTCCAAGGGCGAGAGATATAGCGATATTTCCAACGGTGATTTGGTAAGTGTAAATTATTGATATGGGAAATATCTAGAGATTGATTCTATTGAGAAAATTGGGAGTACGCCACAGAATTTTCTCGCTGAAATTCTCAGCCTCGGCTAAGTACTTCGTGGCTGAACTAGCTCTAGCGCTCTCGACCACGGGATCACTATTCTCCTCCGAAGGCTTGATACTTACAAATTCTTCATGATTCGCCAATGGCGTCCACGAGTCCCTTGTGCGCCACCTCCAGGTTTCAACCGGTCTGCTGGACTTAAGCCCCTCACGGTCGGCGAGTCATACCGAGAATCACAGCGAGGGCTTTGACAACGAAAATATTATCACTTCCTTCGAATTACGATCAAATATCACGAGAATATTTTGAAAGGCGTTAAACTGCATTTCCCCAGAAAACCCCGCGAAACCTAAAGTGGGAAAGTTCGGACGACCATGTGGTGGCCATTCAAGTACTTGTTCCACAAGTGTAGCACAGATAATGAGGTATCGTGTAGATAAAAACTGATATAAATGAGATTGCATTCCATCTGTTCTTCCTTTTATGTTTCAGAGACATTATCTCAGATCGCAACTCCTCTACCTCGCCCTTACCATCTGAGTAGCCACGTCTATCCATAGCCATGGATTCAAAGGCGACTGCGCATGTCGAGCATAAGCTCGCAGTGCCTACCCAGTCTCTGGGGAGAATACCATCGGAATCGACGATGATGCTCTCCTGCGTATGTCGGAGCAAATCCCCGACTTCGCCAACGTGATTGAAAAGGCTCATCGGGCATCCAACTTTGAGCACAGCTTGACCAATCGCGATGCCTTCAAGATATTCCCCAAGGCAATCGGATTTTCGCTCGTCCTTTCTCTTGCTATCATCATGGAGGGATATGACACCTCCCTTCTCGGCTCATTCTATGCCTACCCCACCTTCCGCGAGAAATTCGGAGTCCAAACCGAAGCAAGTGGCTATCAAGTTACCTCGAATTGGCAAACTGGCCTGCAGAATGGAACCAACGTTGGCCAGATCCTCGGTCTAATATTTGCCGGTCTCATTGCAGACCGCTTCGGCTACAAGAAGACTATGCTGGGCGCGTTGATTGCGCTGATCTGCTTTATTTTCCTCATGTTCTTCGCCCAAAATATTATCATGTTGCTGGTCGGTGAAGTTCTCTGTGGTATTCCATGGGGAGCCTTCCAAACCTTGACAACGACTTACGCCGCCGAAGTTAGTCCTATCGTCCTTCGACCATACCTGACAACGTACGTGAACCTCTGCTGGGTCACTGGGCAGTTTATCTCTGCCGGAATCCTGCGTGGACTCTTGGGACGTACTGATCAATGGGGCTGGCGGATACCATACGCAATCCAATGGGTGTGGCCTATTCCTATTATCATTGGTGTTCTCTTCGCACCTGAGTCTCCGTGGTGGCTCGTCCGACATGGGAGAACCGAAGATGCAAAGCGATCTCTCAATCGCTTGTCCAGACCCCAGGTCTCAGAATATGATCCTGAAGATGCTGTTGCATTAATGATCCTCACGAATGCCAACGAAAAGATCTCCCGGGAGGGTGTATCATACTGGGACTGTTTCAAGGGCGTTGATATCCGCCGTACAGAGATCGTCTGCTGCGTCTGGATGTGCCAAGTCTTCTGTGGTATCTGGTATGGTGGTAACATCGTATATTTCCTGCAACAAATCAATTTCAGCAACGAGCAAGCCTTCAACTTCGGACTCGGATTGAACGCCGTTGGCTGGTGTGGTACCGTCTGCTCATGGTTCGTGAGGCAGCGAGTTGGTCGACGCAAGTTGTTCGTCACCGGTCTAGGAATCTTATTCTGCATCCTGATGCTGGTTGGATTCCTCGGTATCCCGAGTGGCAAGAATGCAGGAATTAGCTACGCCTCGGCTGCCCTTTTGATGGTTTTCGTCTTCACTTATGATCTGACCGTTGGGCCTGTTACCTATTGTCTTATTTCCGAGATTCCGTCTACTCGTCTTCGGATCAAAAGTACCGTTCTTGCTCGTGACTGCTACAATGTTGCCAGTATCGTTGCCAACTTCTTGAACCCGCCCATCCTCAACCCTTCCGCCTGGGATTTGAAGGGCAAGGGTGGATTTATCTGGGCCCCCTTTTGTCTCGTCTGTTTTGTCTGGTCTTTCTTCCGTCTCCCCGAGCCCAAAGGGCGAACTCCGGCTGAACTGGATATTTTGTTCGAGAAGAAGGTTCCTGCTCGCAAGTTCACCAAGTTTGAGGTTACGCCGTTTCGATCGGCTAACTTTGAGGTTGTCGACACGAATGCTCTGTCGGAGAAGTACTAGCTAGCGAAATGAGGTGTTGGAGAAGGCAAATAGCTGTAGCATCGAGGTTGCCCCTACCTTAGGATGAGAACGTGCTTGGATTGAGATTGGAGTTTTAGGGGTGAGATTGCGCGTCAGAGAGAGAGAGAGAGGGGGGGGACGTTTAAAAAATCACATATGCCCAATTTGATGATAACATCACTCGGTTATTCCTTGCAACCGAGACTTTGTATAAATTGATACACCACAGCTCTAAAAAGTAATGAGGGATGAAAGCTATAGGGGGAGATTACTTTGTCTTCAAGCGATAACTTATTGATTCATTCGAAGCAATTAAAAGCGTACTGAAACCTGTAGACATTCTCGCATTGATATTGTAATAGCATAGCATGATGGCAGATTAATAATTTAATACAAAGTGAAAGCTTCTTCCAGATCATCCTCCTGTTTAGGATACTTTAGCATGAATGGCAGATATCCCATAGAGGCGGGTAGCTGTCTCAATCTTTGATGTAAATGACACAGTCTTTCTGATTTTGATCCTCCTACATTTAATAGAAGATGTTCTATGGCGACAACAGCATCAAGTGGACCGGGATGAGACGCCGTGTTTATAGGCAGATGTGGCATACAAAGTAACAAGTCCAAAATGGGATTTGCAACTTGAAGCAGCTTGATCTCCTATGAATGCATTTCTGATCAGTCCTCATGAACCCGTTCTTAAGTATTCTGAGAACGCAACTAACCATTCCATAGCCATGACTACGCACAGATTCAATTGACACGTGGGAGATTGATGTCAAATAGTCTCTAGCAATCGAGAGTGGGTAGTCAAATGATAAGGGCTCGATTGACGTCGCCGACGAAAGCATAAAGTGCGAGGCAGAGTATTGCCAGAGTAGAGAGCGAATCCACGCGGAAGTAGTCTGAATATCCACATACTGAGTTTCAGATCTCACCTCAAGTCCAGGCTGTTTGACCTCAATGAGATGTTGAATCTCCGATATCGCGTTCTTGGAGTATGTCTCCGGCGCTTCAATAGCTTTACTGTTAGACAAAGGGTGAAAAATAGGGCGTTGAATGTGATAAAAAAGCTTGACGAGCGTGCAAAAGCCAGCATATAGATCACCATTAGGACTGTTGTGCTCAATTTCGGGAAGATCGGGCATCCTATATAGGGTGATTGGAAGGTCATGCTGGATGCAGAAGGTCCTATAAATATCATTTAGAGTGATCACTTGTAACAAAATGTCGTACTAACCTCTCAGTGATGAAAAGGACCCAGTAGCTCCGCAGCTCCAATTGCCATTGCTTCTGTTGTATCGCATCGGCCGGTTCATCACGACATAGGTGCATTAGGTCCGCGTATGTGATAGCTTCACGAAGAGAGATTGTAGCTGGTGTGACCTGGTCTTGATTGGCATAGTACATGTGAAGGAAGATAGATGTCGCAAGAGCTTGAAGTGATGGTTCTTGGTTGTAGCTGTGCTCCAATCGAACTGTTAGACATTCCTTTGCAAATTCGTGGGCTGTCACAGCAAGACCTTCGGGGCATGGATCTTGTATAAGCCAGAGTCGGGTTTGTGCCAACGTTGCAGCACACAAGGCCGCTGCCATTGAGTGAGAACCGGGCTCAATTGCTTTCTCGCCGCTTAATTGCAAACGAAGATCTTCTGCGTCGATGATCGGCCATATATCATATAGATGGAGTTGGAAGATACCGAGGACAGTGCAATAGTGGGTGAGAGAGATACGAGAGTCCGGGGCGCAGAGCGCTCTAGGGCTTTGAAGTGCTGTTGCCATCTCGACAGCTGGTTCAGGGACTCGCTGTATCTCTTCGATCTTGCGACTGGTGGCCGATCGAGGGCCTTTTGGACCAGGCCTTTTGCGGACCCTCACAAAGGTACATATTTGGCTTCTGGCGAGGCAGGCTAGGCATGGTTGACATCGATCGCATTTCACCCGACGAACGAAACAGCTATCACAGGGGCTGTCCATATCTCAGATTATTCTTCGATGCCAGGAATTACAGCGAAAATTTAAACGTCGACACTCGTCAACGCCTGTTCCCCGCTTTTGCTGGATACTTTTGGCATCGAGGCGGGGTGAACGCCACCAAAGGCTAACTACGAAAGACAAAACAGGCGACAGGGTGAGATTCGGATACGCCACTAATTATGTGGCTTGTGTCGCGAAGTAATAAATGTCTCAGCGAGAATTGCGGCGAAATCATCGAAGTAACACAATGGGATGAGATGACTGCCGTGTTGAGAATCCTTAAATGATAAACCACAATATGCACTGTCCATTCTCCTTTATCACCCCTCTCTCTCTTGAACCATCTCAGTCATGCATCGATACTCATTTCCTCATGAGCCCGTCGCTCACCCCAACGCCATCGTCGGAGGTACTGGGAAATATCGATTCACAATTCTAGCCGATGGCCTGCTACGCTATGAATGGGCCGAAGATCATCTGTTTGAGGACCGGGCATCGGTGTTTGCAATCAATCGACGGTTGCCAGTTCCGGAGTTTAGAGTGAAATATGACGATGATACGCTTCAGATCATCACTTCTCGATTCCACCTCACCTATAATAAAGGTGCATTCTCTGCAAGTGGTCTTAGTGCCTCAGTCAAAGGTCACTTCGGACCTCATTCCAGCATTTGGCGATATGGAGCCCCAACTTCGAATCTCGGTGGTACGGCCCGCACACTGGACGAGGTTGATGGGCGCACGGCGCTTGAGAGCGGTGTCATATCCAGAGAGGGCTTCGCGACTTTAGATGACTCGAATTCCATGCTCTTTGACGAGAGCCAATGGGTGACTTTACGACGATCAGGCAAAAGGGTAGATGGATACCTCTTTGCCTATGGACATGACTATCAACTGGCAATCCAGGCATTCTATCGTCTTTCCGGACCTCAACCCCTTCTTCCTCGCTGGGCACTGGGAAATTGGTGGAGCCGATACCACGCCTACACATCAAGGGAGTATCTTGAACTGATGGAAAGGTTCGAGGAGAAGAAAGTTCCACTTTCTGTTGCAGTCCTGGACATGGATTGGCACATTGTGAATGACCCTCGAGTCAAAGAGGCCGGAGTGACGGGATGGACTGGATACACATGGAACAAGGAACTATTCCCGACCCAAAGGCTTTTATGGCAGCGCTGCATGACAAAGGTCTACGCGTTGCCTTGAATGATCATCCTGCAGATGGAGTTCAAAGCTATGAAGAACCCTACGAAGAGATGGCGCTCTCGCTGAAACATGACACGTCGATGCGAGACCCCATTCCATTTGACATCACCAATAGAGCCTTTCTCGATGCGTTCTTCGATGTCTTGCACCGAAAGTTTGAAAGGGATGGCCTTGACTTATGGTGGGTGGACTGGCAACAAGGAACACACTCTCGCATCCCAGGCATCGACCCTCTTTGGGTCTTGAATCATTACCACTTCCTGGACAGTGCACTTGACAACAAGCGGCCGCTGGCCTTTTCACGATATGCCGGGCCCGGTAGCCATAGATTACCCATTGGATTCAGTGGAGACAGTTACATGACGTGGGACTCTCTCAAATTCCAACCTGAGTTCACAGCCACGGCCTCGAACATCGGCTATGGCTGGTGGAGTCACGATATTGGTGGCCACTTTCACGGAGACAGAAGCGAAGAAATGCTAGTTCGTTGGGTCCAGCTTGGGGCATTCTCACCCATTCTGCGACTGCATTCATCCAACAATCCTTTCAGCGTAAAGGAACCATGGAACCTTTCAGAACCATATCAATATGTGATGGCAAAGTATCTCAGCATTCGCCATCGACTGGTCCCATACCTGTACACAATGAATGCCCGCACAGCCATTGGGGGAGTTCCTCTAGTCCGACCGATGTATTGGGCCTACCCCGATAGGGAAGAGGCCTACAACGTTCCCAATCAGTACATGTTTGGCTCCGAGCTCATCATTGCTCCTGTCACTGAACCTGTCGACGCAAATTCCCAGAGATCGGAGGTCATCGCCTGGCTTCCTCCTGGTAGGTATGTTGACCTCTCCACTAGCATCGTCTACGATGGAAACCGGCGTCTTCGACTTTATCGTTCCATCAAAAAATATCCAATCTTCGCACGCGAAGGCGCCATAATCCCAACAGATGGATCGCTGGCTCTTCGAAATGGTTGTGAGAACCCTTCTGTAATCGAGCTCATAGTAATCGTTGGTGCCGACGGTCAATTCGAGCTCTTGGAAGATGATGGCAAAGGCCAATCGGTGGATCAAGTCGAGTTCCAACGTACTCCAGTCTCCTTCCACCAAAACAGCCATAAGTTGGTTATTGGCCCCACAAGCGGTTGTCACTACCAAAAGCTCCACCCCCGCCAATGGAACTTGCTCCTTGTCGGATACAAGCGGCATGGAAAAGTACAAGTATCCATCAGTATGGGCCCTGGTAGTGCAGTTAGAACAGTCCAAGTTGAGGGAGGCAACACGGGAGACGGACGTGGTCATACTTTCCAATTGGGATCGTTTCCCAGTAATGCAGAGATCACTGTTCAACTGGAGAAGGATCCTGCACTTGATGTGCAAGGTCCCGCGGTTCAGATCATCAAATTTTTGCGCGAGGCCCAGATGAATATGGATTGGAAGGATGCTATGAAGAGCATCGTTGAGAGCTCCAAGCCCAGGCTGATTCAGATTAGCGAGCTGAATGCTCTTCCTGTTCCTAATCGTCTGTTAAATCCTATCTACGAGATACTCCTGGCGGACAACCGCTCTTGTGATCCCCGCGAAAAGTAGGGAATGGACAGAATGGTTGACAGTGAGAAGTGCATTCGATGATTTTCAAAGACCTAGATTGTACCGGGAAATTAACAGCGGCACTGTTTCTCCCATGATTTATCTATTCGTAAGAATCGCAACAAAAGCTTTCAGTTGAAACATTCATACCTGTGGAGACTTTTCCGATATGACGCTAGTGCAGATCAGGAACCAGTCGCACCATCGGGATTACTGCCAAAGTATATGTACGAAGAACGAAGTTGATTTGCAAATCAACTTGATCTTCTCATTTTATATACAATATCATATTTCCCTCTGGATAAACAATAAGTTTAGGACAATTCATACCTCTGACCAACAGCATGCCTCATAGTTGCTTGGTAACAGTGCTTCGCAATTTCTGAGGATGAATTAGGTTGATAGTTGAGGTCTTAACTAGACATCGTCATAACCCACGTCAACCATGACCCAACCCAACCCAACCCAACCCATAATGGGTTTTGGGTCGAATTATATAACCCATTCAGGAACCCAGTGGGTTCCTATTTTAGTATAAACAGGCCAAACAGACTACTACTTATTGTAATGGGGATTTCCGCTCTCAACATCGGTGTCCTAGGGTTAGTTATGTGACGGAAGCCTTAGCAACAAGGCCACTATTTTTGTTTTACGAGAATAAGCAGCATTCGTTCTATAGTATCAATTCAACATACATGTTCCCCCTTATGAAAATATTCTACTAAGGTTACTGAGGTTGTAGTATCGGTATACTGCTTATAAAAGATTCTATTATTCGTTCTGTCAATCCTGTATAGCATCATACTTTACCTATCTTCTGTAACGGGATTCCCGTATACTGGCGCGCTACCTATAATCCTTAATATATGTAGTCTGGAAATATCAAAGCAAGAGCTTTGATATTGTGGTCTCTTTTGGCCGAGTGGTATAGAAATCCAGACACTAGAACACGTTGCATATCTTGTGGATAATATCAAACCAGGGCTTAATAACCCGTAGATCTTCACATAACGTACGTTGATTATTATAACAACGCGAATAGCATGTTTTCAGACAATCATTGCGTATAACAAAGTTATCAGCCCAATAGTTGCCAACTGTAATAGCTTCATGATCACCACGCTTTAAAAGAAGCAAATTAGCTATTTCTTCCACCATAACACGCTGAGGTACCTAGCCTCGCTCATCCATAGATAATATCCATTTAAGAAGGGAATCCTCTTCGATTTTAGTTAATTTATAACTATTTGCAAGCGCAATTAGCCGATAAATAGCTCCCTTCATACGATCGCGTAATGTTGAACGCGGGACGTCAAAAATGCGCGCAGCAGCAGCCACAGTTGCAATAGAACATTTATTTAGGGCTTTAATTGCAAGTTCGATCCTGCCCTCTTGTTCCACCAATTTTTGTTGCTTTGTATTGCGTGTAGGTGGCATGGTGGTGGTTTGAAAAAGGAGGTTTCTAACACGCGACGCGTTTTAGTGGGGGCGTGGCGGCTCGCATGAAATGGCGGCTCGCTAGGGAAACACGTTATTCCGAGCAAGAAGTATCCAGCCAGATCGGCGTTTTGAGCTCCACAAGTGTTTTTCATTTGGTCATACCAACAGAAAGAGATAATTGAAAGATGATGAAAAGAATGAGCTTTTTATTTTTTGATATTCTGATGGTCGTTTCATATTCTACCGCCAATAATGTATATAACAGTGCGGGTCTGGGGATATAGATTTTGCATTAATGATTCAACCTATGGCGACATCACCTTGTAGCTGTGTATCTGACTACATAACGAATAACCACACAAACAGACTGCATTAGTATTGTATACCAGCTTGAGCTGAATTACAATGATGATGATATTAGATTCATAAATAGATATAGATGCTAGCGACTGAATTTCTGATGCCACACCCAAGATCCCAAAGCCATCAAGAGAAACAATCCGCTTTGCCAAGACCTCCAGACAACCCCTTAAGATTGAGTTAATTCTTCTTGAGGGATTGAAGAAGACTATATACAAAACGAGAAAATAAAGTTGATTTCCAATCAAATTTGCTCTTCGTATCGACAATGCGGGAATTAATTCCGATGGTGCGGCGAGGTTCCTGGCCTGAACCAGCCTCATATCACAACAACAGTGACTACTTGGATGTGCGTAACATAATTATCAACTTGTACCCCACTTCATAGTCACAAATTTGCATTGCGAGGGTCCAGGGTAAACGGAGTCATTTATCCATCCAACTGTATGAATGAATGTACGATTTTTTGGTAAGGATATCAAAATAGAACACTTCTATCTTAATTAGTTCCTTGAAGAAGCCTTTTTTTAATTCATGTGTAGCCTAAAGGACATACCAGCAGGTATCAAAACAGTAATCTAGTAATGCCACTCTCCACCCAGTGAATACATTAAAAGCCATCTCAAGCCCCTGGTAGGAAAAGAATTAAACATCTACCATTACTCACATAATAGTCGATCAATGTGTATCCTTCATATTCCATTGATGAATGATCCAGCTACTTTATCTCCGAGTTCTCCCAAACGATCTTATCGTCACCCTTCACAGCCAGCTCCACCATGAATTTGGAAATCGCATCAACACGCACAGAAGGTCCAAGCCTATAGAAAAGACTGTGCAATGTAGCTTCGTTTGAAATAACCATAGCAGGCCGCACAATATACGACGTGAAGTCAGAATGTGCTTTCGCAAAATTTAATAACTCAGACTCTACCAAACCCTTTTAAAGTAAGCATATACTCTAGGTTCAAGACTCTGTAACAAAGGTGTCATACCCGAATCCTTCGGTAGTCTCCCATAACCCAGAGCGACTTCGTTTGATCCTGCTCCGCACCAGCACCACTAACATAAATGAAACGAAATGGTTTCCGACAAGTTTCTTCAAATGCTTCCGCCGCCAACATGGTGTATTCTATACTGACCCGGCGGGCGGTTGCTCCGTCGTCATCCTTAAATGCCGTGCTCGGGATCAAACCGATTGTCCTAGGAGGTGGGTGAGTAGGCGATATACTGGTCATGAATATCAGTCCTACCAGATACAAGCTTCGGCGTCTTTAACATTCTCACGGACAGAGGCGGAGTATGAAACAAAGTCCTTCATTAGTGTCACTTGTAGTTTATCATGGGCTGGTAGATCGCGTCGACTAAGAGCTACCACAGAGGTAATGGCAGGATTTCGTAGACATTGATTGAGGGTTTCACGGCCAATGAAGCCGGTTGAACCAGCGAGAATTACTTTCATTGTTTTGTTGAATGGTAAAGTAGAGGACTGCAGATTTGGTTTTGTCCTGCTAAGTTCCCTGTGTCAGGTGAGATAAGCTCGGATTTATCCTCGGCTTCGGCTTATCTCCGTACCCATAGTTAGGTTCAACTCGACCAGTGAATCAACATGTTGATGTGCGGTGCGGCGTAACTGCCGACCGGTGAAGTGGCTGCAACGGTAACTACCCACCGCCGTTATAGTGGGGATCTTCGTTGGCTCACCAATGATTTAAAAGATGATACACGGTGAAAAATGATGCTGTTCATTAACTAGAATCTGTTATTACAGCAAATCGCAATGTCTTTAATACGCTGTACATGTAGTCTGTTTGAAAAAAACTCGACTATGAGCTAGGAGATACACGGTGCAATAAACGTGGGTTACCAATCCAAGACTATGTTAGTGTACATTGTCTATGGCAGAGGGTATCCTTATTCTAACTCCAGACGCTCTTCTGCACGGCTCGAGCTTCATCGCATCCTCTTTGGTGATATATTGTGTCTGTTCCACGATACTCAGTTATGAGGCAATGTCGACAAATGATCACCCAATATGTGCAAAATATACATGCCCGACTCGCACTGTGTATACATTAGTGTTGTAGTTCAGAGGAATTGATTGAGTTATTTATTCTAGCTCTCGATTATGAATGACCTTGAGATTTAGGTTTCACATCTCCAACCTAGTGGATATGCGGGTCCGCCTATCCTCTTTTACGTAAGATGATAATTGAATTACCTTTTGTTTCGATATGGATGGTAGCGATCGATAATTTTATACTACGACATAATGATGAGGACCCAAGTTTCTTTTGACTTTTGAGCTTGCGATGAAACCAGGCGATGAAGGTTGCGTCGTCAGAAATGATTAAATTTCCCAATCACGGCCCACTTATCGTTCCCGCTCTCGCTCTCGCTCTTTGCATATTTAGTTAACTTCAGACCCGCAGGCCCGAAGAATATCGCCCGATCTACCAGATTTTTCAATTCCAAGGATTCCAGCGACTGAATACTCGCACTAATTAAAACCAACATTACTGCTTTCTCCTCATTAGTAAATGGGGATTCTTTTTAAGAGCTACGGCCGATTACAAACCTCCTCACTCTGCTTTTATTTCCCTGCTTAGCCAGCGCTCGTACGATCTGGCACAGCCAATGGAATCTTGAACCAATCCTCCAGGTCGTGGTCTAGCTTCAAACACGTCCTTGGTATCATTAGATCATTCGCTCAAAAAATCGTTATTTATGCTTTCTCCAGAAAGTGTGACAACGTGAAAATTAAGAATCATTCAATCTACGCAGAATCTACTGGCTGCAGCTGTAGTAATGTCGTAACCCTGCAAAGAATAAAGTTATCATATGACACGAACTGCACGTACTAGACTGCTCTAGACGATCGAAATACGCAATAGAACCGCTCAAGTGGTTGTGGCAATGCACATAAATTCCGCTCTAACCCACCACTAACAATACCAATTCTGATATAGTTGAGATTTACTAATTTCCACTGATTGTCTTGGTTTGACCTCTACCTGATAATATATCTCACGCTAGCCATGAAGGTTAGTCGTTGCGTATTGTTTGGAGTTGCTGTTACTATCGTCCACAGCCGACCAGGCGTGAAACGTGCTCTCAATGATGGTATTTCCCCCCAAAAGTAGAATCTTCTTCTATCTTACTAGATGGCATTTTGTGCTAATGACTGTTAATAAACAGCAACCATTCTAAACTATGCGTTGACGCTTGAGCATCTTGAAGCAACATTCTATCAACAGGGCCTACAGAATTACACCCACGAGGACTTTCTGAATGCTGGATTTCCAGACCCTTTTTATTCTAATTTGGGAAAGGTTGCATCAGACGAGCAAAATCATGTCGAGTTCCTTACAAGTGCCTTAACAGGTATGCAAAGCCCGGAATTATAATACCCAAGAATCCGTCCCTAATAACGGAATTTCAGCTGCGGGTGCTATGCCAGTGGCGCAATGCACCTACTCATTCCCAGCAACCGACATAAGAGGTTTCGTTTCACTTGCAAATGTATTGGAAGGTACCTAAGCACCATTTTGAACCCATCCGAAAGCCTTTCAACGCTGACACTTTTACACAGGAGTCGGAGTTAGTGCATACCTTGGGGCAGCTGCTTCTATCGCGAACAAGACATACCTCACTGCGGCAGGAAGTATCCTCACGGTAGAGGCCCGACACAATGCATACCTTCGGGCTGCTCTAGGTCAGGTCCCTTTTGCGCAACCTTTCGATACCCCACTTGATTTCAATGAGGTTTACACGGTTGCTTCGCCATTTATTACTTCGTGCCCTTCCACCAATTCTCAGCTTCCAGTGAAAGCTTTCCCGTCTCTCACAATGGTTCCCAGTGGGAATGTCATGAATGGGTCCACGGCGACTTTGGTGCCTGGTCCAGGTTTCAACTCCACAAGTAATTCGAATCTCTCAGCCGCGTTTGTCACCATTACCGGGCCTGTATGGGCACCTCTTAAACCAATAGGTAATGGTCAGTTCATCGTAACTATTCCTGCAGGGGTCGAGGGTCAAAGCTACATTGTCTTGACAAATAGCATGAGTGACGTAAGTGATGATAATATCGTGGCGGGCCCTGCCATCGTTGAAGTGGAATTAATGTAAAGGACATTCTCTGCTGATCTCATTGGTTTCTTGTCCTAAGTCAGATGCTGAATTCAGTACTTAAAAGCAACGCTTTTTTCAGTTTTATAATCAATCTTGGATTCTTGGATTTCTCGTTCATGGAAAATCTGGAACAGCCTGTATTCGAATTTTATCTTCACTACAATACCAGGCTGCGATGCAGAGGTGAAGAAAGAAGATTTCATATGAGGTTGTGACATAGCGCGATAGGGGCCAGTCGACTTTGTACAAACTAGTCAAGCTACCACGGCCTGCACCTAACAATTTGACATCTGGCTCAAGAAAGGCAAAAAAGTCCTCTGGTACGTTTTTCTAGCCCTATTCCGGATCAAATGAGCTTTCTGTGATTATTTGGCTTGAAGAGACGCTGTTATTACTCAGATTGCTCGAGTCTGGGTTGGCTATCTCAATGTAATTTACATTATCACCCTATCTGACAATTCAACCACCAAAGGTATTGCACCTGAAACATAAGCCTATTTTCAGTCGGCTCCCACGGACATAGTAAATTAATTTATTTTGAGTAGACCGGTAGTAGTCAGGTCAAGATTCCGGTAGCGTTACACACAATCGTTGAGCTGACTATGTTGAAATACTATAAGCACAAATCTGAACGGACAGACTAAGGAGTTTTCAAGTTTTACTCAATGGGGTCTGCAAGCATTACTAGCTCATGAATTAATGGTATGATGAAATTTGAGGATGACTAGAAGTAGTATTATTCAAATTTAGGTCTGCTCGGAACCATCCCTGATGGAAAGATGCAAAGTTTCAAAGAAGTATCGAAACTATTCACTTGGCTCGACAGAAATATGAACAGGAAATCTTCAAAATATTTTTGAAATATGTCCTCTTAAAATGCGCCCATAGTCCCACGATGATTGCTTTTTCAGGCCCCTAGTTAGGATGCAACTTCCGATAGTCATGAGCACCTATCTATAAATTCGTGTACTAAGTTACTTAGTAGGAAAGCCGGAGCTATACGAGACATACTAGAATATCGAATTCTCCATCTTCGGCGGAAGATACTCATACTAATTCTTAAGAACTCTTATACGCTTAACATCATGCTGCGTGACGGCAAGTTTCGTACCTAGAGTTGTGAGTAGTAGACGAGCCAGAAAAGACTTATAGGCTACGAGCGTCCTAATGCCGATCTGCCGTACTACTATTATGCAATAGCGCTTCCAATAAAATGAATTGAATTGAATTTTTCTTTTCCAAATTCAGATGCCCTAAGAAGTGACAATCAGGTTTTTCCCATCCCGATCAATACCAGTAGTGCGATATTCATCACGGCGATAAGTATCCAGACAAGCACCGCAATGATGGATGTGACTATGTGGTTCCGCATCTGGACTTGCTCCACTTCAACCTCACCATGACCTTCCCGGGTCTGCTCGACAGGGACAGTCATGTAGTGGCTAGAGCATGTAAACCAAATAAGGGGAGCAGAGACAAACGGCAGGATAACACTAAGAACAACTTGACTCGCAGTCAGCGTCTTGTCTAGTCCTTCCTTACCAACAGCAGCGGCGATTATAATGCTGGGAATGATACTGATGAAACGAGTAATGAGTCTTCGTAGCCACGGTTTAATACTCCATTTCAACATGCCCTCGCTGACCATCTGACCTGCCATGGTGCAAACTATGCCAGCAGAAATACCTGAAAGTAGCAGAGCCAAGGCAAAAACCAGACCGGCAGCCGGCGCGATGGACGAGGAAAGGAGTTTGTGGATAACAAAAAGGTCGGCATTGGCGCCACCGGGAATATCGTAGAGAGAGGCACCCGCGACAATGAGGATGGCGCTGTTGACGAACAACGCGAAAGTAAACAGCGATAGTGTCAGCTCAATAATCGAGTATTTCATGCAACCGCGGATTGCGTGAATGGTAGGGCGATACTTTACTTCACCGCCATTATTCCCAAGAGGAACGTTGGATTGAACATAGCCTGCAGTGATGTCAAAATCTTTCAGACGAGACTGAACCACTCCGCTGCCGAGGAAGAGGGAGTGTGGCATGACGGTGGCACCGAGGATGCCACAGCTTTGATAAAGACTATAGGTGCAGGTAAGTACCATTCATTTGCGGTATATTCAAGAATCTTCGTCTCACCCTTCAGACTGGACAATAGCAGAAGATGGGAGATAGCCCCGAAAGACCTCTCCGATAGATTGATTCTTGATGAGCGAGAGCTGAATGCAGAACAAGATGACGACACCCAGCACAAGGGCCATGACGAAGCATTCGAACGCACGCAACCCCAACATTGATCCATTGGGTCGCCAGAAGATGAGTAGGAAGAAAACATCTACCAGGGTGATAGCGCATCCCGCTACCAAGGGAATGTTCAAAAGCAAATTTAGCGCAATTGCTGAGCCAATCACCTATTTCAATTATCAGCACACAATACGCAACGCTTGTCATAGGAAATCCGCACCTCCGCAATATCAGTTGCAATGATGGCCGCCTCTGCAAATACATAGAGTATGTATACTACCCAGCGTGGGAGGTGCTCACGGTAATTCTCAGCCAGGTTGAGACCGGTGACAGTGCCCAGCTTGATACACAGGGACTGCAGAAGGATTGCAAAGAGATTGGACAGGAGAACGGTGAACAACAAGGCGTACTTGAACTGTGCGCCGGCCGCAACGTCGGTGGCGTAGTTCCCCGGGTCAATATAGGCGACTGCGATGAGAAATCCGGGCCCGACAAAGCGAGCAAACTTAGCCAGGCTGCGCGCACAGGACAAGGTCGACGACGACAAAAATATCTTAAAATGACGGCAAAGTAATCCGCTGCTTTTCGAGTGCTGCTCATTCCTTGGGGTCGTAGCAATCACTTCACCGTCCAGGGCCTTCTCGCTTGCGGGATTCTGGTCCTCCAAGCCGCGCAGTCGATGGTCGATGCATATTGTGTCGTCCCCCACGGTATTTTCAGTATTTGTAGTGCGCTTGTCGTACACACACGAGCTGGTGATACCATTAAAGGCATTGCGTGTGGTGGCGTCCGGGCTGTAATGTGGTGGATTCTTATTCCTGCTCGGGTGCTCGAAAGTATCGTCGGTTGGCGGGGGCGAATTCATGGTGTGGTTGTGCGGCCTGACTGCAGGGCTGGGAGCGGGTTTAAAAAGATTCTTGCGGTCGGGTGCCAATTAGACACCATCTGTCAGAATGAGGTTGGAATTGCAGGAAGCGTCCGAAACCTCATGAATGCGTTGTTGCAACGGCGGCGATCTAGAGTCAATGATCTTAAAAGAGGCGGGCCTAGCCCAGCCTTCTAAACTCTCACCACATATACTGTGAACTAAGGGAAATGTAAGATGAAAGTGCTGCCTGCTCATGTTCCCAGTCATCTGCCTTCATAAGCGGTTTGGAGACTATTTATTGTCGCTCGCGTTGTCGCCCTATTGCAGAGTGTGCAATGCAAACGGAAATAGGCGAGGGAATGGTTCCAACTCACCAAAGAATTAATTTCTACAAATATACATACCGCATTCATCCCCGGTTCTGATGAGAAGCAGACGCGATACATCATAAAACATCGCATCAGGAGACCCTTAGGATCGTTTGGGCATTCGTGCGCATACATGAGGATGGCTCCCAACAGGGCTATCCCGGCATTGGCGGCACCAAGAGGGGAATTGATGAGAGACATATGGCACGATGGCTGCAAAAGAATAGTCGTATTGCAATGAAGGTGACGGTGAATAATTTTGCGCTAGTATCTAATCGCCGTCCATACCACCAAAACCTCCATTTTCGCGTCTACCTCCAGTAATCATTTTTCGACATGTCAATTTTCCCCCATTATAATAAAGTGCCTGTTACTCAAAAACCGAATGCGAATGGTTAATTTAGCTCAGAAAAGTAACCAAATAATACTTCTTTCCACATCAGGGGCTGCAGCAGTATTAAGAGTGTCTAAATTACCCCTCTTGATCTGCTTGAATGAATCAGCCATCGGTCGGAAATACCTACCAACGGTGATAAGTTAACGGTTGTTGAAGAAAAAAAATACATTTTACAACCGCTAGGGACTGAAAAGCAAGACTTTCAATTCAACTACACTTTCTATTTGGGAAGACATGTGGTCTTGATGCCCAAAGTACAATTTTAATTCACTAGAGCCAAGCTTATCATATATATCATGGGCCGTTGAAAGAAAGCAGCTCGCTGAGCTTGCTGGACAGCGGAAATTCTGGCCGATTCAGCACTTTCTAAGTAATGATGGGCAAAATAATTTGTAATGACAGTTGGATTATTTCTCAAATTAGATTGCTTATTGCTTGCAATCCATACAGCTTGGCGTTTGTATCACAATTGGGATCTTTGTTCCACTTAAGAACTATGCCGACTCGTAAAGGCAGAAAATTTCCGCATTGGCCCCGTGCCGATCAACAGGAGAAAACCATAATACGGAGAATGATTCAGATCTAACATCATACATTATTATTACCTTTGTTCCTGTGCCTTTACACGAGATACAACGGCGCATAATTAGGACCTTCGTAAGCATCATTTGGACCAGCATCGACAAGACCACCTTCGAGAGGGGGAAACCAGTTCAGGGCTCAGACGATGACACTGATATATTTCCGAGGATGTCTACCGGCACAATAAAACAAGAAAATTTTTTAATTACGCCAGCAGCGGCCCGCAGATCCCCCTGGCCCCAGAGCCGCGCATAGACAATTGTCCTGGGGCGGACATAGGTATCCCGAGAAGGTCCCACCATGGGCAAGCGAGGGCCAATCGGATATTGTACTGCCAAGCGAGAGCGAGAGCGACCGAAGGCGACCAAGGGGATATTAGAAATGGTATCGATCTACATCTAGAGTCACGACCAATAGCATAGACTCAGTAATTTCGGGTTGGGGTTTGCGAGGGGCATGCCATTCATCGTAAGTTTGCGTAGTCAATGCCGCTTAAAATACGCAAGGTCGCACAGAAACGCCTAAAGGCGAGTTCCTGGCAATAAACTCGAGGACTGAAACACAGCCATTAAAAGAACGGGTGCAATCCAGATCCTGAATTGAATTAATTTCGATTGATTGATTGATCAACCTAGAAGATATCGCTTAGAAAGAAAGATCACAATATTCCACATGGGTGAGACAAGAATAAGGAGAGGTTCGCTCTCGCTCTCGCTCATTCTCGGTTCTGTATATACATGATTCCATTGGCTCCAAATTTAAATGGATCTGATGATTGACTCCCCACCAGCTTGCACTAAATATCGGAGTCTTTCAACCCGGTTCTGAACTGTATTTATCGCACCAATTGAATTCAGAGCTAGGATCTAGCGTCTGAGTAAACCAGATCTAGGTCTTACTTTGAAATACCGGAGATTATCATCACCTTTGCACGGACCTTGATTCTGGACTTGAATCAAGATCGACAATAAATTCAGCTTGAGCGCATGTGTGATTAGGAATACTATATGCTCGGTATGGAGAATAAAAAAAGGAGTTACTAATGCAGTTGCCGTTGCAAGGTTGTGAGCCGGATTGTCTTGCACCTCTTGCACTTTAGGCTGGAGCTTGATTTGAAATTATAAAATGGCTTCTTGATCCTTTTTGAGTTGGCAATTCCCATTTTGACAGTTACTCTCACTCAAGTCACTCGCTATAATGAAGTTCTCCTCTGTGGCACTCGCTGGTGCAACTATGGGCCTTGCCTACGCCACTCCTCTTACTGAGCGCGCAGACATCACTGATGCCGATGTCCTGAACTACGCCCTGACCCTAGAGCACCTCGAAGCTGCCTTCTATCAAGAGGGTCTCAAAAATTACACCCATGCCGACTTCCAGAAGGCTGGTATGCAGGATCCTTTCTATGTGAACTTGAAGGAGACTGCCAGCGATGAGCAGCAGCACGTTCAGTTCCTGACCAAGGCTCTCAAAGCCGCCGGCGCCAAGCCCGTCGAGGCCTGTACCTATACTTTCCCTGCCACCGATGTCAACACATTCCTTGCACTCGGTAATATCCTTGAGGGTGTCGGTGTCAGCGCCTACCTGGGTGCTGCCGCCAGCATCATGGACAAGACCTATCTCACTGCAGCCGGCAGTATCCTGACTACCGAAGCCCGCCACAGTGCTTATCTGCGCGCTGCCCTTGGTGAGGCTCCCGCTGCTCAGGCCTTCGACAACCCCCTCGATTTTGACGAGGTTTATACCCTTGCTTCCATGTTCATTGTATCTTGTCCTGAGAGCAATGGCAAGCTTCCTGTCAAGGCCTTCCCTGCATTAACTATGCCCTCTATGGCCCCCGCCACAACCGGCTCGAAGGTTGAGCTGATGGCCGCTGGTGGTGTGTCTATGGACACTAAGGATGTCTACGCCGCTTTTATCACCGTCACTGGTCCTGTTTGGGCCCCTCTCGATTCTACTGGGGATGAAAAATTCGAGGTCACCATCCCAGAGGGCGTTGCTGGCCAGAGCTACGTGGTTCTGACCAAGGGCAATAAGAATGCTTCGGATGACAACATTCTTGCTGGCCCTGCTATTATTGAGGTAAGGATATCCAATAAAAACCTGTATAGCTCATTACAAAATTGTATGCTAACTTCTGTCTAGGTTGGGAAGCCCAATGGACCTATAGGAGTGGGCTCTCAGTGCAGTGGCCGCAGCTCTGGCCCTATGGCCTCTAAGCCCTCCATGTCGGCCTGGTCGTCTATGGCAATGCCGATGCCCACTGCGTCTATGACCATGTCCTCGGGATCTATGCCCTCTATGTCCGTGTCCGCCTCTGCCTCATCTACCCCCGTCTTTAATGGCGCAAATGGAAAGAGCGTCAGCGGCTTTGCCAGTTTTATGGGAGCTCTGGCTGCTGTCGCTGCCTTTTTGCAGTAAGCTAACTTGATCTTTTTCGGAATCTTTGGCATGCCCTGCATCTATGTACAGAAGAAATAGGGTTGACCTATTACTCAACTAAATAGCCGCTTCAGGCTCTTATTAATTTAATCCCCTGAGAAATGCTTAAAAAACAACGTGTATCAAAACAATTGCAGAAAGATTCCTCTGAAAATTCTATTTATCCATCTACTGTAACCCACACTCTTATATAATGATTTTATAACTGCTGACGATTCTTAGCGTTCGCTATCTGGTCGCAGTGAGTAGTTCCAAATGAGGTCCAACTTACCAGTTGACGAGCAAGTGTTGCTACTGCTCCTTAAGTATCGACCAGCAACCGTACCGTTGCTGTGCTAAGCCTTATACGGGCTCGGGTCCTGTTGAGTAACTTCGAAGGATGAGCCAGATAGAGCGCCAAGTAGGCCAGTCCGAAGAGCTCCCCCACCTACTTGTAAGATGTTTGTCACAGGAGATGGAACTGAGTGAAGAACAATCCGAAGAGTACCCTGTAATAACTTATTGAGATTGATCGCGAGGAACTAAATACATGTGCGTAAAGAGATATCCGTATATAACTAGCCCCTCCTATCCTTCAGTAGGATTCCATAGTTCGCTGGTGTGTGATTGGTTACAGCGGTATAGCGGTATAGATTGAGACGGCGAATTAGAGGCTGATTTCGGCTTTGCTAAACGTGACTTGATCCTGCGTTCCTTATTAGGAACGATTGGCTCTCGGTGACCCATCTGTTGGATTGCGAACCCTCATGTCACAAGGTCCGTAACAGGATACTGGAGCTCTTGAGTTGTAGTATAACAACCTTATAAAGGTTACTAAGAATCTTCTATCTTGCTTCCAAGTAAGCCTACAATTTGGATAAATATAGCTTTCAACTTAGTAAGGGCAAGGATTAAGAAGTCATTAGTGGCACGCAGGTAAATTTACTACCATCAAACGACGCGGAATTGGCCAATTTACCAGATAAATGGCCCAGATGATCAATATTCCTGGGGAGTTTGTTTGTTTGTTTGTTTGTTTGTCTGTTCTTTGAGTATTTTACTGTCAAATAAACAAGACCACTTGGCATAAGTCTGATCATTGTACGGCGTTTGGTAGATATTCAGTTACTTACGCAATGACAGCGCCCCACAGGATGTTGCTTTCGGTCTGGAACGAAAGCGAGACCGAGACCGAGAGTTCGCGACCCGTGTATGCACACCCTACAGAGTACTCCGTAGTGTATGAGACATTTTGGGGACTGCCTAATCATACGTTTGTCAAAGTGATATTCGTAAAGTTGAATCCAGGACACGTGCGTAGATAGGTGCTCGGAAAAATGGACGCCATGATATACTAGCAAAACAGTCATGTACGTTCCCTGGCTGCCCGCTGTAATGGATGAAAGGTTCCGTTGTGGAGCCGCCAAAAGCTACTCCGTACACAGGTGAGCGGGGCTGGCCCTCCCCGTCAAAGCGAACTGGGTGACGATACCAGAATCTTACCTTTGTCTCTCCTGATAGGAACTCAACACGGACAGCATCAATCCTGGCAGACTCCGGGATCGTTTCCCAAGACTGACAATCTCTGGTTTCTATCTTGATCAGACGATCTAACACCAGAGAGGGCTTTGATATCGACCAAATTCCTTGCTCGCTGCCGCACCCGCTAAGCAAGTGTAGGGCCTCTCGTCTAATTACCCAATCGCGACATTTGAATGCACAGAAAAAAAGAGGTGCCACGACTCCCGACCTCACCCAAGAGTCTTGTAACGATCTCTGGGCCATGAACCTCTTCCCCTGTTGAATTGTACGCAAGAAATGGGATGAATAATCGTCGTATCTCATCTCACATTCCCAAAGTCGGCCATCAGTGAGGCTTTTGATAAGAAGAACTTCACTCCAGATATCAAGAATCGCAATCGTATCTCGCCTCGCTTGCGACTGGCCACGCTGTAGGATCAAATGTTTCCAATTCTGAAGCCTTTTCAAGACAGCGGAAGGGGTGCTTTCGGCAAACGTGCCAGTAGATAGTTGAGGTTTCATCTGCAAAGCCAACCATCCAAGAATTAGCAACGAGCCACATGCCTCTTCCGGTGTCTCGATCAGTACATCGAGTTGATATTCCGCTGCGAGCTGAAGCGGATAAGAATAGCTCTTAGAGCCAGGCTCTAGGTCAAGAGGGACGGCCAATCCAAGTGAATTTGGTAGAAACTTCCAAGTATAACAGTACCAACTGGGCTTTTGTCCATTTTCACTTTTTGCCATTTTTGTAACAACTCATAGCCCGCGCGGAGATGGCAGCCACCCGCCTTCGCATCACCCTGGCTGAAAGCGAACGCTAGCAAAATCCCACAGGAAACTAAGACTGTTTCCATACGTGGACGTCGTCCAATATCTGCGGTTAGGTTTTGTCGCAGATGCTCCAGTGACTTGCTGCATTGCCGAAGAGAGAACGACGTTATCTGACCAGCAGCTGCTGTTTTCATCATACCACCCCAGTGCAGAGAACCTATACCGATAGCAGCGTGACGAACAGCAGGCTGGATTTCGCTCGCTTGATGGACAAGCATTCCCCAGAATGCTTTATTGAAGTAGGTCGCATTGGTATGTGATGTGACACGGCGGAAAAAGTCCAGGAACCATCGCTCTTGATAGGTCAGGTTGATCTGACTGGCGTGAGCCAATGGAGCCGAAATACATGAGCGGGGATCGCTCTGTTTCAAACAGTTTGTCCTTTGCGTTCCTTGCAGTCTGGCTGGTTGAAAAGAGCGAGGCTGTTCGACGAACCCTGCCGGGGCCAGAGGTCTGTGCCTCTCTATTAAAGGCTTGGGTGGAACATAACCTTCACAAAATCGACCGGTATTTGTGCACCTGTAATTCAGTCAGTGAAATCAGCAGATCCATTCGCCGCCGGCACGTGTCGTTCTACCTAGCACATTTGGGCTTGCCCTCATCACATTTGACCCGTCTTGTTCTACGATATGTTCCGGTCAAAGCTTGATTTCCGGCAAGATGATAGTAAGAACCTACTTGCAGGTTCTACAACCAGTGTGTACTTTCGGTTTACTGGCACGGGTCTTTTTTGATTGGGAGGGCACGCCGTTCTCGAGATTCATTTTCGATAAAGTGCAAAATCTCATCAAAGCAAGCGAGTCGTCTTACTAGTATTGTGCGGGTCAGATAATCATCGACCGATTCAGAGGCAGCGTTAGGACTGATAAACACAACTCAAAAATTATGCCTGCAATTTCGACAAGGCTTCATGCCACGAACCGCAGGAAGCTAGTTAAGGAAGAGTGCGCGGGGTCGCAAAGCACTTGCCACCTTCGTTTCCGAAAAAATAGAATATCCGCCTCTAACAACGCATTATCTGAGGAACCAAGCCGAACCATCGGAATTAATCCCGAAGTATGTATACAAGAATTAGGGCTGCACACGAATAGAGATTTCGCTTATTCGTATTTGTCAATTTGCTTCAACCCATTATTCGTATTCGACTACTAATTTTCCCTATTTTTGTTGAGTATTACGGTGGTCAAAGCATGTAGTGGGGATCATCAAGACATAGATAAATAGATGAGGAGCCCCACCTCCAACAAGATAAAGACCTAGGCCAGAAGTCTGGCTACACCGCCGAATTAGGCAATTCTGCCATACCATTATCACCATGTTCAAATATATGTATCTCAAACAATTCATTGGATATTATCACCAAATTTTAATATATTATAAATTAATCAATAATCAATATATATAAAAAGAATTCATTGTCTAGAACCGCGTATAAAAGCCGTAGGCTCGCTGGCAAGCAATTACACGCGCATGCGTCGATCTAATTAAGCTATCAATTTTATTTTGATCTAGGGCATCTCACGCCTCAATTATCGCTTTTTTGAATAGTTTCCAATCAGCGTCAGAGGTGCCGTAATTCAAAAGATTAGGGTATAGCTCATATAATTTGCGTTTGAGCATACGCCATATGAGTTCAATAGGGCTTAGATCGGGCGAATGTGCAGGCTAATCTAACACCTTAATACCGTAACGTTTAAACCACTCTTGCGCCCTATATAAACGATGGATTTAGCGTTATCTTGTTGAAAAATAATTCCAGGTTCATAGTGTTGAATAAAACCTTTTTCCAGGACATCAATGTATGATTGGGTTGTATAGCCCCCATTTTGATTCTCTGAAAAGTCACGCTCTATGATCATAAGATTTGTACGCCCCCCCTAAGCCAGATACCAGCCCAAACCATTTGACTAATATCCTTTACATGAGGCTTAACAAGCATAAGTCCCCGCCGATATGCTTCTCCTTCAAGGCGTATAACATATTGGCCGTTTAAATTCGGAATACGTTGAACGCTGCATTCATCAGAAAAGATGAAGTCTTCGAGGCGGGAGTTAAGGGCCTCATGTCGCCAAGTTCGATAAAATTTCTTTCGCTTTCGAGCAACTGCCTCTGAAATAGGTATACAACGGCGTTCTCATCTTCACCCATGAGCGCAATCAAACCCAGCTTTCCACTTTTGGCTATGAGACAGTGGTCAACAGCGTGACGGCCGGTAATGTCTCAAGTGATCAGGCGCCATCGCCTAATCCCAGCATACCTGTTCCAGCTAGAGATGAACCAGAGCCTGCGAATCAGCGGTTTTTTAGGAGTCCTGAAACTGGTGCAGAGTCCAGAAAATTAAATTCTCTGCCTGTCACGGAGGCACATTCCATCCAGTTCGACGCAAGAAACCTTTCAGCAACTCGCGGTAGCCACGTGGAAGTGCGGAGTGACGGCAACGGCATCCGTTCAACATATTGGTATCCTGACGACGAAGCGTTATCAAGCCCTATCTCGCCTGAGCTACAACAAAAAAAGCAGGCAATTTCCGGATCAGAGGCAAAAGTTTCACCAAGAGATTTATCTAGATCGTGCTCCGTATCGGTTGTTGTGCCTATAATCCGGTCCCGCGGACTACCAATAACAAGGTCCGCTAGAGCCAGCTCAACACGCTGCACAGGGAAAAGGAAAAGTCGAACAAAGACCCCTTGCAATGTTGACAGCGATGATTCCGACGAAAGTCACTATACGGATGGGAACGATTCTGGTGTTGGTGACATCGACGCATTGCCACGTCTACCGAAGAGGCAGAGACAAACTGCTGCAACGAAGATCCAGCCCGCTCAGGCTCGACGTGAAAGCCTGTATCGCGTATTTTCCTCGCCGGCACCAGAAGAGGAAATCGCAAATTCAAGTCCCGACACAAGTTTGCAGGACATGCAAACAATTCCGATCAGAGGCTTTCTCACGCGGCAAACCTTTCTATCAAGAGTCATCTACTCGTGTACCTTCGAGGAAGATAGGCAGCCTCCCTGTCCGTATGAACAAACAAAAGCTCGCACATACGAGGAAAGCTTAGACAAGAAAGGGCACACCACGCATCCTAGGAACAAAAAGGCATCAACGCGTGCCACTCGTTTCCTGCCCGATGAGGACGAACTGTTGATTGAACTGAAGGAAAAGCGAAGCCTCCCATGGAATAGGATCGTGAAGCATTTTCCAGGGAGGACGAACGGTGCTTTTCAGGTTCGCTATAGGATGAGGCTCAAGGACAGCAGGAACTGGAAGTCACAAGCGAGGTCGGAGCCGAAGGGTTCCACGTTCTGCAGCTACGGCTGTGGCTTGACACATCTAGATCTCTATGCCCCTTTTCTTCGGCGAGTTGCATTTCCAGAAGATCGAGAGTGTTGGCTTCGAGGCAGTCTTTGACTCTTTATGTTCAAGATATGGAATAATATTTTTATGGTTCCATACGACACTCTTTTCCCAATCTGGCATAGACCAGCGCAGCTGGTCATTGTGTTCTCAAACCGCCATATAACCCCCTTCTAAGGACATGCTGGTAGCTAGTCCTAACATGCCGTTTTCGGTATGAGGCTGGCCTCGTGGCGCGCAACTTCTACCGGCGTCACAGCAATAAAACGTTCTAGAAAGGATATAATAGAGATGGCTTCCTTAACTTGATAAATTGTATAAAATTCTAGCCATGGTCTAGGTGACCCGGAAACCGAAGGGCACGTCCAACCGCTCGGAGGCGGTGATGACACTTTCGAGGCAGAGACACGGTCCAAATGAAAAATGCCGACTGATCTTGTCCGAGGCCACAATTGCTTCAAGGGCCTCGGACAGAGAGCCTCGCTTATGGGGAATCGGAGGCCCGTAAATGGGCGCCACTTCTGGTCGGAGTTCTCGGGTTCCCTTGCTTGAAAGTTTCGTTCGAAGAGTCTCCATGTTAGATGGTTCCACTAACTCCAGGAATTCCAACAACTCAAATGCCACCCTTTCGTCCGATTCGCCGCTGCTTTCATCAGAGGTCTGGTCGTTATCCGTCGGTTCGTTTGGCTTGGCGGACGAGTCAAATATTCTCACGACAAATAGCACATCACGGTCAACATCGTACTGCAAGAACTCCTCAAGACATCGATTTTCCGGCTCATAACTACAACCAGCCAAGAAGTAATGCTCGACGAAGCAATATAGCCAGATCAACCACACAGAAGCGGTAGCTTGTGGGGCTGGAATTGTTGTGGAACTCCCGAAGTTGGTTCTGTCAAGGGGGCGGATCGGCTCTATGGGCACACTCTCTCCGGGGGGTTCGTCCTTCACGTAGGAGACTCTGTACAAATTCCAAGTTTTTAGACCGAGTAGCAGCGGTAAGGAGTAGATTTGGACCCGAGGTCGAGTTCTGCTGTTTCAGACGGATCATCAGATCAGGCGAGAGAAAGTGGTGTAGATCGCGCTGCACAACCTCGCATAGAAAATCGGGAGAATGATTCGACTCTCGTCGTGTGAGCCATTCCCGACCGATGCGTTGCAAATTCTCCCCCCAGATGTAACCTTTGGGCTCTGGCATCTCATTTCCGGGGAGAACTTCTGTTATCGACCCTACCGTTTGGGTGTGATGCTGAACAATACGGCTGGCCTCCTCGAAGAAACGCGACGGCACGTCGTATCCGCAAACTTCATGGGCAGCACACATCACGGTGAAAAGCACATGGAGAGCCCTTCTCAGAGGACCGCCTTCTCCTCCAATGGCCCATACCCTTGGTTTTGTATCATGCAGTGTGGATAGTGCAAATTTGAATTCTGCAAGTAATAATCGCAATATCCCGGAGTAGACATCAAAGTCAGGTATACGGGCTCGCATTTGCGCTTCCCTGGTATTCACAATGTAGTCGCGGGCACTGCGGTGGAGAAACCGCACTTCATAGGTGAAATAATCATGTCCGTCTCTTTCACGACTCCGCTTTCGGGACATCTCTAGTAGGCCTCGGGAAAGGCGATCCAACTTACACGAGACACGCTCAAGTCGCTCATTGATCTCATTCTCTGTGCATGGTCGCATTGGTAGTTCATAAGGGAAGCTCGGATTGTCGAGGTCCTCGAGCCATGAGTATGCGATCGCATTTCGGACTGTTGGCTGCCACCGGCAGAAATTGGGAGTCGTCAAGAGGAATAAGTGGTCCGAGAGCAGCTGGTCGTCCGGATCGATGGAGCTAAGGATCTGATTGAACAGCTCATCCAGCCCCTTCGGCATCAAGTGAAGCTTCCTTTTCAAGTCTTTCTCACTGCCCTGATATCCTATACTCTTCAAAAGGGAGCGCACAACCAGCCGTGCCCAGAGAAATACCCCGTCGGAGGCGTTCACAATCTCGATGACCAAGCCTTCATATAAGTCCTTGATACGATGGAAGTTAGGGTCCTTCTCAAACATGGCCACACTGAACTTGGAAATATCCTCTCGGGTGAGATCATGGATATTAATTTGATGATTCAAGTCATTCGCGAATGACTGAACAAAGGGAATATGAGGGCGACTGCTGACACAAAGCTTGATATTCTCCGCTTGTGCTGTCCAGGACTGAAGATCCTTAGAAAACCGCCAGTGGTCGACCTCGTCACCCTCAAACTCATCCAGGCCATCAATGAAGAAACAGAAATAGCTTTTGGAAGAGCTTGCTTCTTGGATTAGGCGATTGAATGCGTCCCTAACTTCATCAAAACGAATCGGGCCTAACCCGAAGTTTGAACTATTCCAGAGCTCAGGGAAGAGACGGGGAATGAAACTAGGGATTTGCCTGCATATTTCAAACAGCAGACTTCGATATAGGCCCTCGAGAGACATCTGTGTCTCATCTCCCGAATTCCAGAAGAAGAATCGAACAAAAATCAAGGGTCGACCCCCAGCCCAGCTTTCTAATCCTCTCTTGACCCGAGACGACTTGCAAAGGAGCTTCATCAAAGTCGATTTCCCGGAACCTGCCTTACCGGATATATGGAAGATGTGACGGCCAGAATTGAGCCAGGTGAGAAACTTATCTCGAGTACACTTTCGCAGGGTCCCCTGCTTTTTCTTTCTCTTCCTCATACCGTCTCCTCTCCCTCCCCTCCTCGTGGTTTTCTTCGGACTCGTAAGAAGAGTTGCTCCGATCATCTGTCGGTTGAGATTCCTCGTCAACTATCCACGCGAAGGTCCCACTCTCAGCATCTTCAATGTTGTTCTCGCGACTGTACATAGATGTAAAGGCCAGACGCTCCAGGATCTTGTTTTCTTGTGAGATTGAAGTCGTCACAGTCCGAAATTCGAACAACGAAGCGCCTAATTTGGCCAACGGTCCCTCTTTTGACCCGTATGGATTATCTGGTGCTGGAGCCGAGTTAAGGGAATCAACCAGCGTCAAAATAGTCTGGCATAACTCATCTAGCTGGGAGGCCGTCTGATTTTGAAGTGCTTTGCCCTCTCTTCGAAGGGCCGCGAGCTGGCTATTGACTAGAGAGTCCTGCTCATCGGTTTTCTGACTATATTTTTCTTAGTACCTCCCTATTCATTTCACCCAAAGACGTACCCGAACATGACTTGTAATCGGATTAAAATCTGAGATTGATACCCATTCAGTCGTCGCTCAATCGAATCAATATCCTTTTCCTTCCGCATACTGTTCCACTTCACCATCAGGCCCTCCCATTTCGATTTCTTATCTCCCACTTTCAAACGTCGGAGAATTTGATAGAGCTCTGCTGACAATGCGTGACAGTTTGCAGCCAAAGCGCAGAGCTGCTTTTCGTTTTCGGTCCGGGCGGGAATGTCCGTGACCAAGTCCTGTGTGACAGCATTCAAATCTTCCACCAAAACACTCAGGCGTTCATTCTCGGGGGTCATGCCATTCGGAGCAGAAAGGACCTTATTTACTCCAGAAATGACTTTATAGGAAAAGTCAATGAATGTGAGTATGTTGCCGGCAAGGCCGATGACCGTGAGGGGGGTCCATAGCGCCGTCCCGACCCTAGCGCGCGAGGCAGGCAGTGGAACGAGATACTTTCAACAATAGAGATTGCAAAAAAAAGAGAATTATTTGTAGGTTGGGCGGAAGGCCTTGCCCGATGCGTGTTGGTGCCACTAAACCCTATGGGGCCGACGTTACCCCTCAGTCTCAGCCGCTCTATCGAGATCACCAAGGCCCGGTGGGGCCGAATTCAGCAACGATCGGTTGACTTGACTTGTTGGAGGGCGAGAGAACACAGGGACAACTGTGACCAACTAACTAATCCCGGCTCCCCGCGAAAAATGATAGGTTCAGACACTCCGACGCAAGAGTAGTTTCACCTCCAGCCCCGCTGGCTTGGCTGGATCCTTGGGCGCAAAGTGAAGCTCCCAGGCAAGATTTTGCTTGCTCCAATGAGCTATTCCACCCAGATCGCCGGGTAACGATTCTATGTGGGTACATGGTCCGCGAGTTATGAGCAGGAAATAAACACCGAAGAGGTGTCCTATTTGTTGAGACAAGATATGTCGGATGCTACCCTTTTACAGGATAAAGCATGGATATCACCTTGCAGGTCTAGTTCAATCCCTCCAATTAAGCAAGCTCTTCACCCATCCTGCTTCAAGTCTGCTGAACTCTAATGTCGATATTGCATCTTTCCACCTGCCATTTTCCATTAACCTCCTATAAATTGTAGATCCGATCGAACTTGTCTGCCTATGCGATGTTGAATTTCAGAAAATTTCGGCGAGGGTCATGCGGTCAAGTGACATACGACATCCAATCTTCGGGGCCAGATGTGCCATCGGCGTGGTACAGATCCGAATCCTCATAAGACGGTGTCATAAGGCAGGTAAAGGGACTTGTAGGATTGGCTTATAGTGCCACCTTTCTCTATATATCGTATAAGGCTTCTTAACTAATATATCCGGAGTTTGTAATGTCTTTTGCCTGCTGGGTCCTGCCAGCAATATTAGCCATTATAGCAGGATAGCGGCCCAGGACATTATATTATACTATATACCTCCTCTACACTAAGGGCTGTCTAGAGACTTCTTTAGCATCAAGTTGTATATCCTGGTCGGTAAGCATCCGTTTCAATACTAAATATCTTCCTCTCTTGTTATATCTAGAGGAAAGTAGAGAGCTATTCTTAATATAGTTTACAGATATCTTTAGCCAGAGTTGCTTGCCAAGACGGGCCAGCTCAGCCTATATACGCAGCTGCTTCTCTATCGCTGTCTAATTAATATCTGTATTCTTAAAGCGTTTGATCAAATCTCGCTACGATCGATCGTTTATAGAAACCACTACGTTTGTATCATCTGGTATAACTTAACGATCGTAGGCTATTTTACTGTACAGGATTTTGACCGTCTCCTGTTCGATTCTCGGTTAAAGAACACTAGGAGGTTCAGATAGATCCTGCTCTATATCCTTCGCTCTACTTAATCAGATAAGTATATCCGATATAGTTACCAGATATTCCTTCATTGTCTACCAGGTATATAGGGCTGACCGGACCAGTTATTCCTGAGCGACTATTTACTATTTGCTCAGGCTCAGGAGAAATACAGCCCAGTAAAGGCGTCTAGTTACAACCAATATAACCAGGGGTTAGGGCACATAAAGGTGTCGTATCCCACGGCTGAGAGAACTGAGGGTTAAAGGTATATTTATCATTGAGAGCAGAAGCCGCCATTCCCTCTAGACAGCAGATACCACCGAGAAGCCTAATAATAGCATCACAGAATATTAGCTAAGAGCAGAACAAAACAGAATACAAGAGAGAAGAATAGCTAACAGGATAAGCAGAGCAACAGGGAGAATCATAGAGGGGTCGACAATGCCAAAAGAGTATCGTTGATTCTGTAAAGACCGACAAAGACTAGTTACAAGAAAAGGAAAGAGACAGCAGATTAGGAGAGAGGACAATGTAAAGATAGCCCTAGGTCTCCATACTAGAGATTGATCAGTAGTTTGGTCTGTTTGCTCAGATATCGATAGCTCTAGACAGCAACCCTTCGATAGCCCACAGTAGCTATACCACAAATAGAAACAGAGGATTTACACCTGCTATCCACCACCAAAGTTACCCTAGGCCACCCCCCCATTCAGAGACTGAATATCAGTAGACCACTGCCAATAGGGTCACATAACTGTAGGGCTAGGAACAGGTGTTCCTTAACCTTGGTCAGCACCTGTGTTAAGACCCAAACACTTTTACAGACCATCTTAACTATGGCCTCGATATCATTCGGTCAAAAAAATTCACAATTTCAGATAGGAGTCAATCAAAGATCAATATACTTATAACAAGATAGGATTTTAAGATCCTACAGAAACAACCTCGACCAGTTAGGTAAGCTAACAGAGGCCTCCGCCTTCCAGAACAATCAGAACTCCGCCCCAAACCTTTATCGACAGTAGCGTTCCGACACAACCCAGACTTTATTAGACAAAATGAAATCCTGAATCAAATTCATAAGAAAGCATCGATAGCGGGATCTAGAGTCGCTCTCGTTAGACTCAGTAGCGTTAGATAGGAGAATCATAGTCAGAAGAAGGCTCTTAGATACTAAGCAGTAGGAAAACACAACTTACCGTTGAATATTACCACCGAGTTCAACAGCAATCAACCAACACCTAGGTTTTCTGGGTTCATACGAGTAATAGAAGCTCAGCATAGACCATCTCAACACACTAAAAAGTATAGCCGCCCTCGCAAGACTATATAGCGATCAGGGCCTGTAGAAAAAAGCTGAGATGCTTGAGGTACAGGTGATAGAGACTCACAAGACAACGTTCGGCAAAGACTATCCTGCCACGCTATCAGCTATATCCCTTCTAGCAGGGACATATTAGGGACAGGAACGATAGGATAAGGCTGAGAAAGTTAAGGTAAAGGTAATGGAGACTCCTATAAGACGGGCTCCACCGTCCCCGCGGGGCCTTCACTATGGCGATCGGCACCCCCCTGCCCCGCCGCGACCGCCGCCGCTCCTCCATCCTACGTCTATCAGGGATCGGGACGGATGGCACCGTTCGGTTCGTCTCGTGGCGTGCTACCGGACAGTAGGTATGACATCTGGGTAGCCCTGCTGGACAATCTGAAAACCCCCGTGTACCCGTCGGGATCGGGTCTCTGGACTAGTGATGCCGGGTGCACTGACCGCAGTATCAATGGTAGCACTGTCAAAGATATACTATAGATACAAGAGAGAGAGCCTACAAGATATACCTAAAGCTCAATTTATAGCGATGATATCTTCGGTCATTTGGTCCCCGCCGGCGTACTGAATTCGACTCAGTATGTAGACTAGAATCGTAGTGATATATATCTCTACATGTCTGCCGTCCGTCCCCCTGTTCGGCCTGATTTTCTCCTCTCTAGGATCAAAACTACCGACGGTAAAGGGTGATCAGACTCTCTCAATATTGATCTAATACTACTGAACTATTATAATCCCTCTCTAGGACTGAGGGAAGGGGTATAATACTGATACAGTCCCTATCGGATTATTTATATAGAGAAGGGTACCCCCCCGCTAACTAGAGGATCTCCATACTCTACGTAATCTATATAGCTTACCTATGACTGTATACCCCTGTAGAGCTCTATCCTCGCCGGCGGTAGCGGCCGGCGACAACCCGGACCAGTTATAAGATACTATTTGCCCGACGGCTGCCGCCGGCCACAACGCGGACCAGTTATAAGATACTATTCGCCCGACGGCTGCCGCCGGCTACAATGCGGACCAACCAGGGCATATACTGTCTATTATCTATCCTTAGCAGACTCTAGTCTCTAGGCATAGAGGAAAAAGCAAAAAAAAAGAAAAGAAAAAAAGAAAAAGGGGGTGAGTTATAGCCGTAAGCCTGTATATTAGGGGTTAGTTCCCTAATCCTGTTAATCTAAAGGTATTTTCCTCTCACTTTATCTATACTATAACAGTACTACCCCTGTACTATTACTATCCGGAGTACAATGCGATCCTCTGCTAGGCATGCGAGATTACAGTCCTAGGCCGTATAGCGCAGCGTTATCTCCGGGAAATACATTATATACGAAAGGCCCACAACCGCTGCCTATAACTCTGTACCGTACCTAGGGGTATTCTTCCCCGGCCTGATTATACCGACTTCCCGCCACTCCCCTATAGCAGCAATATAATTCTACAGCTCCTGGTATATCAGATCTGGTGTTGTAGGACCTGTAGGATATATCTTAGCAGCAGCACCCGATAGGTCCGGGAGCACCACTACCAAAACTATCCTACAGTCTGCAGACCAGAACTATATTAGGTCTATGCCCAGCGCTGGTTCGCTAATAGCCGGTACTGCCGCTACTGGATTATAGGGGTCTCTAGCGTATAGCCACAGGACCTTCCTACCTTATAACTAACCTCTACCACCGCTACTCTATTGATTCTACAGACAACCTGGCTTACTAGAAGCGGGACTAAGTTACCTCTTCCACTACCTGCCAACGTATAGCCACAGGACTCTCCTACCTTATAACCAACCTCTACCAACGCTACCCTATTAATCCCACAGACGACCCAGCTTACTAGAAGAAGAACTAAGTCATTCCTTTCACTATCTGCCAACGAAGGACTGAATAGTGATAAAGATAGACCTAGGGTACCGATACAAGCCGATAGAGATATCCTATAAAACGACCAGACAGTATAAGAAGAATTATAGGAAGAGGAGGTTAGCGAGACTACAGCTGAAGGGTTTATTACTGCTGATCTTAACAGACAGGATAGTCCTCTACCACTACTATCGCTACTCCCAGACCCACAGTTACCGGAGCTACAGGACAGGGGCCCCTAGAGCTATACTATCTGGCCAGCCAGACTAATTATTCACGATAGCCCTAAGATCTAGTATTAGCAGGGATACCCTACCCGGCCTATCTGGTTGTCTACAACCTATATCGCCCAGTTTGTCCCCGCCGTTGACTATACCTATAGAGAGTTTTATATCGACCTTCCCTATTTCTACTACTCTAAGCTAGATACAGACTACCCTTGTACAAGAGTACTAGGTACTCTAGGAGGAACAGAATCAGCTCCGGCCAGCTACTAGTCTAGGGGTATCTACTACTGCACTAGCTACTGTAGAGAACTCACTCTTTATCTTTGACGCCTAGCGCCAGCAACAGGATGATACTACTCTATAGTTATAGTTTACTAAATAGCCCCGATACTTTTACCAGCGCTCACTGCTTCATCTGGCCCGTGCGGCAGGCTCTCCCTATACCTCGCAAGTCCTGCCTGCGCTACAGGAGCAATAGGGCGGTGGATCTCTATCTCCTTGTCTAGATAAGCAGGATAAGCAGCAACAGAAGCACGCCCGGCACAACCAGATTCTTACTATCATCGTCCACGCAATAGACCAGGTTTTGGATCGTGGCCGGAAGACGTTAGCGCAGACCTATATATCTGTCTGGGAGATCTTTAGCTGCCGGATCCCCCGCTAACGAACGCAGAGACGGCCCCTAGGACGGCTCTAGCCAGAGACCGAGCGGCAGTACGTACGATATTGGAAACAGTTTCTCTGCTTTCTTGTCCGTGCTATTTCCCTCCCTGAACCAGATCGGATCTCTCTGCTAGGGGTCTATCTAGATAAGGAGCAGTCCTATACGCTCTAGATCCTATGGGAGACCCTGAACTGTTACCTACAATGCCCAGACTTAGGGCCCTGGGTAGAGAAAAATCTCTTCCAGCAGCAGATTCAGCTTGCTGACCGGCTACAACGGCTTGCCTCTCTAGGGGTTACTGCAGATAAGGATTAGCGATTACTGTATAAATCCCTGGATACTACTACTATTCCTTAACCATAGCTAAGGACCTGATCTACTAGACTATCCCAGCGCCATAAGTATTCTCTGTCTATACAGAGCAATAGTTCCTACAGTGATAGGTCCTGTCTGTCTCCAGATCTACCGCCTAATCTATAAGCTGGCCAGCGACCCTAGCGAAAGCAACCCTGCTTAGACTGTCCGCTGGCAGCAGAGCCACAGATTATACAGAAAATTATAGCAGTATGTATCCTGACCTACTCTAGTATTAGATCTTTGCCTACCGATACCACTAATACTACCGATCCTACCGATTCTACTGATCCTACTGATCCTACTGATCCTACCGATCCCACTGATCCTACTGATCCTACTGATCCTACCGATCCTACTAACCTAACTAGTCTCTCTGAAACAGATTCTAGCTCTTTATACTTACCTGACCCTGCTAGAACAGACTATAATAATTCTAGCTCCTGGAGTAATAATCTTAACAGTAGTAATAGTGATTCTGAAGATACGGATAAAAATAAGAAGAAGAAGGACAGAGATAGGTTTCCGAATCCTGATGAGCTACTTCTAGATCTGAATAAATCAGATTAGGGATCTGACTCTAACTAGAGGGAGGCAGATCTAGAGAATCTTCCCTACAGTTAGTTTCTAACCTTGCCAGCAGACGCTGAGCAATGGGTTACCGAGGTAGTCTTCTTGCTCTGTATTAGTTGCCTGACAACCGACGCAATCTATTGGCGGGGCGATAAATTTTATTCCCCACTGGTAGCCTTTACTACAGTACTCGGGATGCGGCCCTAGAGTCTTAGTATCTACGAACCCTATCTCTATACTATAAAGCTAGCAGGGCTGGCCTAGGTTGCTCAGATTCTCCTGCTTAAGTATGCGCTACCGCTGCAACCCTACTGCTTCATTAGTGATATCCCCAGCCGTATATCCTACTGATTCTACATCCAACGTGCTCAGGAGATTCAGGGTATATATAGCGCCCGAAATACGTTCTTCCCTCTGAATGATATCCTCGGTATGCTAGTAGTCGGCCTAGATATTATCCGTCGAGAGCCACGCCCAGGAACGATTCAATGGTCGTATAATCTACAGACAGTCTACCATTATCAACTACTAGATAGCGGCCTGTATCTCTCCCAGCTGCGTCAGTGGGTTTAGAGAGTTATTTAATTAGCTACTTCTCTACTGGAGTATAAGCTTCTTCTTGGCTACTAATCCCCGGTAAAGATAGAATTACTAGTAGACGTCCCGGCAGAGAGTCGGAGCGGGTTCTCCTTTTCTGGATCTGCCGGTTAACCGGCTTTAAGCTACTGCCGGCCCGATCCTACAGCAGGCAGAGAACCCCCTAGAGGGTATTCCCCTGCTACGCTGTTATAAGCAGTAGGACCTACCGGCTGTACGGTGCTATCTCAGGATCAGTACAGACGTTTCTGTAACAGCTTATGTTAGCTATCTAATTTTCCTGGGGTTAACCTAGTCGGGGTAGTAAGCTGGTGATAGTGAAATAGCGGAACAGTGCTATAGCACTGCGGAATCTGTATATCTATAAGGGGGAGATGGTGATCGTTATATACTATCATAAATGCCGGGGCCGAACTCAGCAGCAACACTGCTCTGCGTGATTTCTTCTACTATCTGTTAGCCAACTAGTACTTCTGTACCTGCTGTATATACGCCTATTAGCAGTGATGCTAGCTACCGTCGCTCGGGAGCACTACCCTAGATACCGCCGGCGGGCGCAGTAGGAGATATATAATCCTGTATCACTAAGCGATATAGGGGATTATCTAGGCCAGCAAGGCCAGGGAGGCAGTACCTGTGATCTCTTTACCGCACCGGGGTCACGGGCCATAAGCAACCTATAGCGCTCAGCGTATGGGCGGCTACTGTAGCAGAGCAGCCGAGAGTTCTTTAGTACCTTGACCCTTAACGCTCTAACCTATCGTTATTTAATTATCGCGATTACTAAAAAGTATCTACGGACGCAGGCCACAGTGGTAGACCTATACGCTGCCGCAGAGGCGTTGGACAACGTCTTTGCTGTGCAGGCCGGGCACAGCGCCTCTGTTAACCGCTAGATCTATGCTGTTGAGAGCGCTTAGCTACTTTAGCTACAGCTAGAGCTACTGCAGCTCTACCGGTACGCCTCTTATCTATGGCACCGGTTTATCCTGGCGCCGGTGGAGGATCTATGTCCGGCTCTAGTCTCTAGATCACCGCCTATATCAAATCTTCTGTTAGAGCAGCTATACAATCTGTTAAAGGACATCCTGTAGGATAGCAACCGCCGATGTATCTCGCTCCTAGGGAATTTCTTCTATTTCTACCCCCGGTAGAATCTGCTGCTTTGTAGTAAGTGCCGCCGAGCGGTCACACAGATATCGGCCCAGGAGCACCTGCAGGCTTATTATATGTTTGGTATTGTCCTAGCGTATACGAAAGTGGCCCTCGATAGTCTGAATCTGGAAAATCTACAGGATATCTACCTTATACTCTAGATTGCCTAGCCAGTAGCTCTGTTTCTAGAACTACCTAAATATAGTCGGGCCCAACAGGGGGGGGGGGTGGTCCGCATTAACAAGGCTTGGCAAGGGGGGGGGTGTTGGCATTTAAGGTTTGAACCCAACACCCCCCCCCTAAGTACCTTAAATTTTAGTATTTTGTGATCGGGTCTTCAAGATCTTTTAATAAAATAGGTGAAATTATCTTTCTATCAAAAAATATTTGTAGATTTCTATGTAGAAGAGGCTAACCCTAAGGGGGGTAGTTTGTATAGGAGATTTTTTGATGGGGGATGCTAAGGCTAGGTCCTGCGGGTAAGCTATACCACTTTCAG